CTCCATTGTAGGTGAAAGCAATACATCTTCCTTGTTCAGCATCATAGTAATAACGACTGGATGTAGAATATGTTAATCCATAGCTCTTCATCATGGTAACTCCAGCATCGAAACCGGTGCTTCTGTAATGACACAACATGAGAAAATTATAATTTTACAAAGGATACCTGAGAGAGTCAATTGGACGACCTCCAGCATTGCTGCAAACGCTAGCGACTGTAGGACAGCAAAGTTGCATAGATCCAATAGATGTACATTCGAAGTTGCTGGTACAGCTGCTGGCAGTTTGACAGTTGTTAACTGGTTCATCTTCGTTTTGGCTTGTTCCAGGTAAGTATTGTGGAGAACCACGCTTGCAAGCTGAAAGAATGGGAATTATAGATTGTCTGACAAGTAGAACATAAAAGTCACGTCATTCACGTGGTTCACGTAGTTCACGTGAACATCGTTATTGACGTGAACATGATATATTTTTTTTTCATTTTCACAATTCATTTCGCGCCAGAGCGGTTGCTTTCACGTTATATCTAATCTGCTCACTAAACCCCTCAAGTTACAACTTTTTTAAGAAAGATAAACTGCGAAAGTGTTCTAATAAACTTATGTGAAGTAGTTTGTGGTCGGTTAAGCTAATTTACAAGCTTATACATCAACTTATTGCTCTTTATTACATAAGTGTTTTGATGTATTTTGGTTTCGTTTGTTAAGACGGAACGTCGGTGCCTGTTATCTTCTAACAGTCTGGTATCTAATTCTGCTTGCTTTTACTCTGCCTCTCGTAAGCTCATATGCTACAATCAGTTCATAAACTTAATCTTGACTGCATCTTCGTCTAGCTTCTTCTTTCCGCGTTCCTTTAAGGTTGAGCTGTTTGAGCACGAGTACGTCCGATTATCAAGTGTTTACCTTCACTTTGTATCGTCCCACCCCATTACAAACACATTCTTCTTCGATTCATTATCCTTTACGTGGACGTTAGATGTAATATTAGCAGAATATGAGTGACTGGCTAAGACTCTTCTCCTTTGTTCGTCTCAGTCTCATATTCCCTTTTAAGAGTCTGCTCACTAACTTTTCATCTTTGACAAAGACGCGTAAGCTGTTAAACATAGTCAGAGCGAGAGGGAGAAGAATGAGAGAATGACATTACTGAACATAATTCACCTCAACAACACGCTCTTCCAAAATGTTGCAGTTGGATAGACCTTTTTTGAAGAAGAAGAAAAAAAAGAAAGGAAAACTCACTATCTCTACAATAGGATTCGCAATGTTCACGAGTTTTGAAGTTGTTGGGGGATTGCATCTCGGTCTCATCCCATGGATCCCACATGAACTGTTCGCAGGTTCCAGTGACAGCATTGTACCACCATCTAGGTCTTACTCCAGCTGGAGCAGCAGATCCAGAATCGGCTTCACGCTTGGGTTGGATACAAGTGAAAGCTGAAAATGGAAAAAATGAGTTTCATTTGCCAATCAGAAAATTTCTGGAACAGCTAAGCCTCTGAATGAGATATGAAGCTGATATCATTCCGAATCAAGTGGCATGTAGAAAATAAAAAACAAACCTCTGTTGGGACAGCAAATTCCGTCAGTAGCAGGATGAATATCATAAACACCTTCCATGGCAGTTTTAACATTGGTAAGAGAAGATGAGGAAGTAACACAATCGAAGATATCAGCAATGTAAATTCCATTTCCTCCTTGATTATCATTGGAATAGACACAAGCTCCTCCTGTAATGAATGTATATGATGATGATGTCTCATTATATTCTTTTTCATATCAATTATATATCTTTGTGTATGTATTTTGAGTATTCGCAAGCCCCTCATTTCCTTCTCCTTTACTCTCTAGCTCATGTGTCTGCTCGATCTTCGACGGTATGTGGGAGGAGAAGATGATGAAGAAGGTAGTGGTGGGGAGGGGGGGGGGGAGGTAGAAAAAAACACGAAAATCACTTAATCATTTGCAGTATTCACTTTGACTAAATAAGAAGACGAAGGAGGGAGGGAAGGAAGGAGGGAAGGAGGGAGAAGAAGTGACCAGAGGGAATAAAATACGAGAGCAAATGAGTTGAGCAAATAATGCACTTTTCAATGACCTTTCTCACGACTTGCATACACAACAGATAAACTCTTCGAAAGGAAACAAAAGAATTGAATTAAAGTAATATTCAGATGTCTTTAGAAGATATTTCTGACATCATACTATGTGGGAGATATGAAAAATGATTTGAGGCGAGTTAAAATGAATTTTTTGAAATTCGTTTTACAACACTCTCATCCCTAGATGGTCATTTACAAACATCATCAGCGCATCTTCTATAAGTTGTGACTGCTCAAATATTTGATGGTTGCGAAGATAGGGAGAGATAGAGAGAGATAAAGAGAAAGAGAGAGAGAGGTAAAGAGAAGTTTCGATGGGAAAACCTTGTCCAACTTTCGAAAAACATCAGAATGGACGATAGGTATCCATGTACTTACTACTCTACATCTTAACATCTCATTCATATGTCTTAATAAGGACGATCGAGCAGATATGAGGATGATTTGAAAATGAAATGAAACAGTACCTCCGTTGGCGACAAAGCTGGTGTAATCAGTAGAAGCTGATGAACAGAATTGAAGAGGATTGACATGCTCTCCCATTGGGATATCAGCGTTATCAGGATCAGTCATGGATGGGTTTCTGAGCTGAGAGACTGGCATGGTCAACAAGTCATCGTCATATTCAGGAAGAGGACATCTGCAATTGATAAATAAGTAAGATGAAACAATAAAGAAACATACTTTGGTACTGGATCACCATCTTCTCCTGAGTGAAGAATACAAACGACTCCATCACGAGACTTGGCTTGTACATATGGAATTCCGTTAACATCTTCGGGGCATTCGCAACGAGACTTCTCACAACTTTAAAACATTCACATTGTCAAACATTTACAACAAATTCAAATACCGGGATTCTGGCCAGACAGCGGAACACTGTTCGGCATATTGACAACCGCTCTCACCAGGATTCTTCTTCAAGTAACAGTATCCTTGGATGGCAACGAAGTTGCTCAAGCAAGTACATGATCCTGTGGAACAGAACATTCCCTTTAAAAACAAATGATTATATACTATATAGAAGTTAAACAACATACAGTGAGACAATCGGTGTTGAAAGAGCAGAAGTCTCCGACTCTTCCGGAACCAGCAACACCTTGGCGTTTGTATCTGACATTTCCAGCCCGACACTTGCCGTCGATGAAGAATTGGTTTTTGGCGCAAAGCTTGCGTTCAACTTCCTTCTTGACTAAGTTACAGACAAGGAAGGCATTTTCGTGCATATCAGTTTTACTAAAAGAAAAAAAAAAGATATCAAGAGACGAAAGAGAGAATAGAATTACTTAGTGGCATGGTCACAGTATAATGACTCGGCTGTGAACTCTTCTTCACAAGCCATACCAACATCTAAGAGATTACAAGAATCACATGCATTTCCGATTTCGCAACGTTTATCGGCTGCGACTCCTCCTAAAGAAAAACAAAATGAAAAAAAATACAAAAATAATGCAAATAGGGGATATGACAGTTACATGCCAATGAGATAGGTTGGAGGAATGAAAAACGAACCTAAATATAGGAGTGTCAGTCCAATCAGCCACTTCATGATTGGCCTAAGACCTGTGATATGCTAATTAGAATTCACACAAACAACTAAACGATTGTTGACGGCAGCAACAAAAAATGAATGAAAAATTCGAAAAAAAGTAAACAAAGAAGAATGAAAGTTCACTCGTCAAGCCACACCAAAGAGAATGTGAAACTGACTAGGTAAGTGAGTGAGTGTGAGAGCTGAATGAGTAGCTCGTACTGGCTGGGCTGACTGACCGTCGGTCGTGTGCTGATGCTCTGAATCGTCTTAAGTCAGAAGAGAAGAACCTCCCACCTCCTAAGATGGGAGAAGCCAGCCCCCTCCGCTGAGCCGGTACGACTCCGCCCTGTTGTCTCTCTTGTCGACGTCTCGTCTAAGTATGAACCTCATCATTGGCTTTAGTCTAAGTAAAATAGAATAAAGAAATAAGAGATACGGGAATGAGGAAGCACAGGCAGATCAGAGAGTTTCAGAGACAAACAGAGGAGGATGGTCGGAGTAACGGAACCGACAGAAAAGAAGACCACAGAGTGGACGAACTGTTCAGAACGAAATCCAAAAAGCTCTTTCTTTTCATGATTAGAATCGTACAGCAGGAGTTTTCGAGTTCGTGTATCTCTCATTGTCTGTAACACAAGAGCATTAGCATGAGCAGATTTCAAAGTTCCCAACTTTACGCTCAAAGGGATTTCATGTCATCTCCCCCATTACTTTTTGTAACCTTGCATCTTCACTTCAATTAGTTTTCCAACTTCGTCATCTTTAACTCGGCACTTGACAACAAAAAAATCGCTGAACGGTCATCAAATGCAAACAGATGAGTCGGCGAAAACGTTAGTTAGTTTCGATCAGGATTAGTATGGCGCTCGTCACGACGAGGACGTCGAACACTCGGCTTCTGTGGTGAGTCTGAAACGCCGATGGTCAATTTAGCTGTGAGCACACGCGCGATCGTGGCCATTCAGAAGACGTGGGGAGAAAGAAGGAGAGTATGAGAAGACTGAAAAACTTCTATAAATAGATTAGAATGTCAAGAAAGAACAACAAGGTAGGAGGAGAAGAGAAAAAATAGAAAATAAAGTTGCGTATGGTTATGAACCTCCGACAAATTCCAAAAATAGAAGACAGATCGCATTATTAAGAGACAGTTAAACTGCTTTTTATTTATTTAATATATATATGTATATATATAGACAAGAAAACGGAACAACAGATATTCGAAGAAATAAAAACACATCTGAATTTCTGGGAGAAACAGACGTCAGAGCGAGGAAACAAATTTGAGAAGCTTCTTGGACAAGGAGACGTCAGATGAACAACTTAATTCAACGGAAGTATTGGCAGATATTACCAGAATATTCTCAACGTCGACGACATTGAACTGAACGAGATCGGTTGCAAGCTGGGGCTGAAAATACAAAAATGTTTCAAATCAAGTTGAATTCTGCTATTTCCTCTTCAAATCATCATTTTCTAATTTACTTCATGGTTGACTACAATATCCAGATTTCATCATATTCTTTCTCTCTCTCTTTCGCTTTTTCCCAACACTCTGACCTCTTTTGTCTTTCTACTTACTACATAGGAAGCCATGTTGACTTTCTTGTGTGACGTAGCCACGCGGACACATTGGCCGCACCTGTCGCCGACGGCGTCGTCCACCGGCTGACGATGGACAGCACTTCCTGTCCAGACATGAGTATCCGACAGGACATGGTCGAGCAGTACTACATGCTAAGGGCATCTGGAACAGAAGGTTTATAACGAGTATTGAGCAGGAGCACGAACGTTGCTTGTTGGGAATAAGAGCGGAATTCCTCCATTGGGACATCGAGGTACTCCAATTGCTGATCCGGGAGTCACACGCTTTCTAAAAAGCGAGTCATCTTCAGCAGAGCTCAAAGATAGACTTACTCAGCTGGTTTAGATCGGGGCTCGATCGGTCTTTGTGTAGACGTTGCCTTGTAAGGTTGTGCCGTGATTCTTCCCCCAACTGTAATGATGGAGGGCTTTTTGGAAGAAGAACAACAGATGTATCGGCTAATAGTTTTAGAGTATGAACATATTGAGCCTCTTGGACATGGTGTTGCTCCAACACAGTTCTGGAGTTCATAGGCTTTGCTTATCATAGGATATTTTCCCGCTCCACAAACATTGGCTGAAGTGAATTGAACTTATGACAAATGATAACATTTCGATCTACCTAAGCATCTATCCTTAAACGGAGCTTGACCATCGGGACAGCGACATTTTCCTTTCGCGGTACATTCAGCTCCATTCTGACACTGATCATCAGCTTCACAGTCATCGTTTATTCCAACCAATTTGAAGCACTTGCCATTAATCTGAAAGGAATGAAGAAGTGTTCGAGCATTTGATTAAAGCCAAGTTACTTCAACTTCCAGTGCGGTGCAACCAATCTTTTCACAAGCACCATCACGTTCTTCGTAGTTCTTCGTACACTTGCACAAACGATTAACACATTCAGATCCCGTATTACATTGAGTGCTGAAGATACATGCAGCTCCTGGAGTACCTCGTAGTCTGTAATGTAATCGTCATCATAATCATAATTTCATCATTAGGCTTTTAATTAATGCTCTACTTCCTTGTAATCCATTCATTTGCTATAAGGTACGCTTGCTTTTTTTTGCGAGCCGTCCCGTCAATCTGTTGACCTTTCAACTCTTAGAAAAACATTGTCTTAAGTACGACCAACAGTTCTCTTTTCATCCTAATTAGTTGTGCAACTTAGCAAAAAAAGAAGGTTTTAAAGACACACAAGGGATTATCCCAATATCACAAAGTACATACTTGCATTCTCCGTTCGTCAATATACTATCTGAAGGACATTTCGTTTCTGTCGATGTCGCGGCTTCTTCTGTCGTTTGGATGGAAGCTGGTGTTGTTGTTGTTGTAGATGATGATGATGATGATGATGACATGGGTACATCTTTACCTCCCTAAATTATTTGTGATTAACATTCTTTGTTTCCCCAAATTCCTTAAACATACAATTCGTGGAATCATTTTTCTCATCTCATCCTCGGTACAACAAATATTTCGACTGTTTCGTGATCGTTGGCAACTATACCCATCAGGACATGTCGGATTTCGAGGATTACATTCTAACGGACCACCGCTTAGATCAATAAAGGCTACCGATTCATTTGGACACCCTTTAAGTAAAGCAATCAGATAACATCGACAACTAATTTATTTTAATACCTGCTTTATGACCACAACACTGAAATTGTTTATTTTTATCAGAGAATTGACAGAAGTATCCGGTGGGGCATGACTGTCCAGAAGCTGTACATACAACTGGACGATTTTCTTTTACCAAAGCAACTTGCGACAGAGGGCAACCAAGTTCTGTAAAGAATAGAATGAAAATAGGGTATCAAGCGGATATGCTAATGAGCGCGCGTGTTCATAATACAGTTCATTTCTCAAACTTCCCGACGCTTGAGCGGTTGCTTCTCTTTTCATTTTCCACTTTATCATTTCATTTCTCTATTGTTCTTATAGTTCAACATATTCATTACTCTTTCTCGCGAAACGTCCATTTGACCGAGCAGCATTTTCTTGATCATTGGCTGTGCGTATGAGCTTCTTGACTTCTCTCTTTACAGACGTGCATCTAACAAAACTTCTTTAAATCAACGCTATTTGCTCATGCTGTTCTTCAACATATATAGAAGCAAACGAGAAGCTGCGATGGTGATAGTGGAGATGAGAACATACGAGAAATAAAACTTTGATGAGTGGAAAATGGACGAGAGAAGAAAAAAAGAGAGAAAAGAAAAGTTTGACCAACAAAAACGTTTGACAAGAGAGCGCAGGCAGGAATAAACATGAATGAGTATGTGTTGCGAAGAAAAAAAAAGAAGAAGAGCAACAGAAAGGGAAAGTTGAAAGTGCTCTTCCGCGTGCGCGTTCACAAGCACGTTCTCTTTCTGAATACGGATCAAGTCTCTTGTTCTAAGCTGTGTTTAACAGTATCATCACTAAAATGGAGAAGCGTCGAGAATACTTTTCAACTGAATAATAATAATATATTAGACAGTGTTTGTGTTTCATTTCGCAGCAGACTCGGAGAAAAGCATATGAATACCTTCTTGTTCAACTTCTTCCTCTTCAATTGGATCTTTTCCACAACATTGATAGCGTTGGAAAGCTATGGCGAACTGGCAAGAGTAAGTGGCTGGGCATCCCTGAAACATATGATATTCAGAAGAAGCTTGACAAGCTTGATAACCTTATTCTGTAAATTGAATGGATCACATTGTACGATCTCGTTCTTGCGAGTGAAAGCATATTCATTGGGAGGACATCCTTCTGCAGAAACATAAACATTGCGAATGTTTTAAAGTACAAAATAGAACCTGATATAGCATTTATTTCTCCTTTACAGCAGAATCCACTAGCAGATGCTGGAGAACTTCGATGGCAACGGTATCCAGACGGACAACTAATGAAAGCTCCAGGTGTACAAATCTTGGGCATTTTTGTCTTATCGTCTACCAAGAATTCAGCATCTCCTTTGCAAACATCTGTAGAAGAATATATTATGAGCCGAATTCATAAATCAAAAACTTTTCGTTGAACAGCAATAGCCTTGAAGCACACTCTTAGTTCTGCTTTGGCATGTGTAGCCATCGGAGCATGTGTTTGCAACTCCTATCGTACATCGTTGAGGTAAAGTAGTTTTGGCTGCTCTGAATAAGGCTCTACCATCGGGACAGACATCTAAAAAGAAAAATATAAAATTTGAACAGCCCCTCTCATAAAGGTATTTGTGTTTTCTGCTCAAGGCTGTTCTTTGAATTCTTAATACACATTGAATTAGCATATTATTCAAAAGTCACATAGCACAGGTGTTTTTCATTTTCACGTTTGTTGATGTACTGTGCGGTTGTTCCAATTATCCAAAATAATCTTTTTCTCGCGTAAATGACGTTTGCTGTAGAAAGTGTGTGTTGTTGACCATATTTGGTAAACAACAAAACTGTCTACGATGGCGCGATAGTTGAGAAAGAGTAAAGAACAAAAGAAAAATGCGAAACGCGAATTATAGAAGATGAAATGAGACAAAGATGAAGAGTGAGTTAGTATAACAGACAAGATAGAGAGGACATGCTATTGAATGATGTCTGAAGGTATATGAGCATTTGCTAAACTCCATACATGACCATGTTTGTACATTAAATAAACATAGAGCTGTATTATTCTGTCAGTTAGACGTTGCATCAGATGAATACCTTCAGGTAATTCAAGAAAACTTTAATTTCTAAAGGGACCAAAATGTTTCAATAAAGTTCATTGATATGAGACGAAAGACCAAATCATTTGAACACGAGCGCAGACAGTGCCCACGAACGAATTTGCGTCTCTCACGAAGCGTGTGATCAAACACAAATAAGTTCAAAATTCAGATGTAAGTTTTATATGCAAATATGAGCTTACTGTCTGTTGTTGGTGCGCAGCAGTAGTATCTGTTCTTTTGTGTACTGAATCGACATAAGAAGTTTGCTGGACAACTTCCAGGAATGTTGATGGCACATTCTCGTACTGATTCATCCATTGGATTGATGAAGGCTCGCTCACCAGCTGGACAAACATCTACAATTACTAATAAGTGCAAACGAAGTGAAGTCACAGATAATACCCATGCTTGTTGAGCCACAGCATACATAGCCAGAGGTGAGGGAATTAAAACGACATTGGAAGTTTGCTGGACAACTGTTCTTCAGAATATTGTTACAGTCGAAAGGCTTTTTCGTGTTCACATCCTTATAAGCAATTTCTCCGACACCACATCCTGAACAAGATAATAGATATGCTTAGAATGAAGAAGGATCCATACCAACTGAAGAACAGAAATTGTTGCAATCAGTTTGGGAGCCGAAGTTGTTTAAGTTTCCATTACATCCATTGAATTGGAATGAAGCACATTCTTTGGTGATAATGTTGAAATAATATCTTTAAAGATTGAACTTCATGAGTCGAATCAACTAATAGCTTTACCGAGTCACAGAAAGCTTCGAACAGTGGTTTCCTTGTTGAGGTGACATTCCGCAGATATAAGCTGAAGCATTAACATGAACCAAGAACTTCCTAGAACAGTACCTTTTGTCGGGCAACATCGACTAGCCACATTTCCATTTGAAGGGATTGTGAGACATTCATGAGTGGAAGGACATGTTTGGACATCTGAGCATGTCATTTGGCGATTCGATCCTTCTTCTCTCAAAGGATTTCCTCCATTAGGACAGCCTTTAAAACTTTTCGTAACAAGCTCATCCGTCAATCATGTATTACCTCCAACTCCACAGTACTGCTGACATTCTTCGGAGTTTAAGAAGTTGTTGCTGTTTCCGTCACATCCTTCATATTGGAAGGTTTCACAAGACTGCTTATTTGAGTTGAAATAATAACGGTAGGACCGTCCTGATCCGCATTGAACACCTTTCTCCGGATTCAAAGAACATGTGAAAGCTGAAAAAAGTATGTGAGCATTGCGTACGAAATACAGACTCTACCCTTCGTCGGACAACAACCATATGTTGTGCCATCGTAGATACACACGTAGTTCACAGGACATTTCATGCCATTCTGCTTGTCCGAACACTGTTGGAAGTTTCCATTTCTGTCTTTGTAAGCTCTACCATGAGGACACTTAGGTTCCACTGGAACATCATCCTAATTAACTGAATTGAAGAATTTTAACTGACTCGTAATTCCTCGGCATCTTTGTTGACAATGAACCAAAGAAGCGAAGTTGTTATCGTTTCCTTGACATCCAGTGTAATGGAAAAGCTCGCACTGTCTTGTAGCAGCGTTATACCAATATCTTCGAACAGAAGATGTGCAGTCTCCTAAGCGTCTGGGCTGGGTACACAACGATTCTGAAAGCAGGAACCTGAGATTCGAACGGGGAAGGTAAGGGACTAACGGGAAGTAGGGCAGCAAACTTTGTGACTTCCTTGACAAGTATGGGATGAGGGACAATCGTTGTTTGTTTCACAACGCTGCCATTCTTCACCAATTCTCAATGGGTTCCCATTCTCGCAAACAACTGAAGAAGAGATACGCAAATGAACAGGACGATGAGGCTTACGTTTGGAACAGAAGGCTTCACAGTCCTGCTTGGTCACGAAGTTGTTGAAATTTCCAAGTCCATGATACATGAAATTGACACATCTTCCCTGATCAGCATCATAATAATAACGAATACTAGATTTTCTGCAAATAGAAATTTGTGTGGTTTGTCTTTAGTACAAAACTCACTGTCCAGCAACAACAACACCTCGATCAAAGTTCTCAATTGGTTTCGATGGGTACGTTCTTCCACCAGCTGCACTACAGATATGAGCTGAAATTTAGAATATAGAAATTCATACACTCGCACATGTTGCTTGAAAACATTTTGAACTTTTGATGCGTGGAGAGCGGTTGCTTTTTTTTGAACGAGCCGATAAAACAAATACCTGTCGTTGGGCAGCACATTTGTTGAGACCCGAACAACACACAGGAGTGTTCTGAACCACACTTAGCCAGAGAGGAAAGACAGTTCGTTTTCGGAACTTCATCGACAATAGAATGCTTCGAAGCTACAAACTCGCTTGTTCCTCGTTTACAACCTGGATTATGCTTATGTGATATGATAATTGAATGGTACGTACTATCCCGGCAATAAGACTCGCAATGTTCGGCAGTATTGAAGTTATTCGGGGAAGCTCCTTGGATCGTATCGGGATCCCACATAAATTGACTACAGCTGCCCGTTGCAGAGTTGTACCACCATCGTGGAATGGATGGCTCAGGACCACTTTCCATAGGTTGAGTACAAACGAATGCTCTGTTATGACAACAAATGCCATCAACGCTTTCAGCGTACTCAGAGAAAAGCTGCTGGTTAACCTGTAATGAATGTTACTGAGACATGTTCAAGTGATTGTAGCTACCTGGGGATGATTGACACAATTGTAAATATCCGCAATATAAATATCATTGTCTCCGTCGGGATAGATGCACCATGTTGATCCATCTCCCCCATTAGAATTGTAAACTTCATTAGATCGTGAATTACAGAGAATAGGCCTAAAACAATATTTCTTTTTCCAAATGTAAAAATCACCGCCTACATATATTCTCCTGGGTTCAAAGGATGAGTTGAAGGATTAGCCAGAACTGTAGCTGGGTTAGGAACTCCATTATGTGGTTCTGGTAGAGGACAACTAGGAGGGATTCCGGCAGCCACACAAACAGTTCCATCTCTAGTTCGGCTTGGAACAGTTTCATCTGGACATTCACACATTCCAGAAGATGAACATCGAGCTCCGGGCCAAACGGCTTCACACTGCCGTGTTTCAACACAACCGGATTCACTTGGATTGATCTCTATACGATATTCATTTGAGAATTGTAACACTACTTATTTCTCTTACTCGGCCAACAATGATGTGAAATGGCAACAAAATCAGAAAGACATCCACAAACTCCACCTCCACAGAACATTCCCCTCTGACAATCCGTATTGAAAGAACATGAATCGCCAACTCTTGAGGACCCTGATCAGACGAATAAGCTCACACTCTATGGATAACGTCATGTACCTGTTGATGAACGTTTTTGACGATGATGACTCAGATCTTCTAAGCTGTTATAAAAGTCGCCAACTTCCTCGAAATTTTCTTCGTCATCCTCGATCGCTTGACATTTACGGGTATTTGGATTAAAAAAGCCTCGCATGTTTTCATATGAGCAATCCAATTCCCTCATCACGAAATCCACACAAATCAAGTATTTCGAAGACGCATATCCGACTGTCCTTAAACGGAATAGTAGAATAACTATCCTTTCTTCCTTTTTTTTCTTTTGAAGTTTCTTTTTTTTTTCGTCACCGACGGTCAACTGACATGAAGCTGTCAAATGCGCAAATTGGTCAATTATTGACATTAAAGTATTGAGGAAATGAGTTGACACAGAAAAGTTTTGACAATTCAAATCTTATTTGTCGAATAAGCTTAGAATGAATAAGAAAAAAACAAAAATCGTACTTGGTATCGTTTCTGCAGTAGTAATATGGCAGTCGTTCATGAGTGTTACATGATTCTCCGGTTGTTATAAGATCACATTCTGAACAGGGTAAGCCTTCTTCACAGTATCCCCTGACTACTGGAGTAAAAGCTGCAAGTACTGATAGTTAGCAATGAGATGAGTGAAGGATGGAAAAGAGTTAGTACATGAGAAAAGTAAGAACAGAAGTAGAGAAAGACATATTATGAAATATACTTACCTAATAATAAAAATATAAGGAGCATCAGGCTCACGATAAGCTCTAAGCTTTCGAAACACTTTACAACTGGACAACACCTTCCACACAGAGATATAACAAATGACTAGGAAGAATAACCAATATGGCTTGAATTTTGAAGAATATTCAAAGAATAAAGAACAGTCAAGCGTACAGCAGATTCAACCGTTTGAACTGTCTGGGTGAGTGTTTCGTTTCGCCTCCGGAAATGGGTGGAGTTGGTGAGGTCAAAAAGCCTCACAATGATAGAAGAGGGAAGAGATTTCACTCTTCACAGGTATCTTCATACGTATCATGAATAGAGAGAAGAGGAACGTAAACGGATGAGAGATAAGTACTTCAGAGAGATCGGGAAATTAAAAGAGATAATGAGACGAAGTAATAGAGAACGGTCGAACTGTGAAGATAAAGCCACGAACTGACACCTATCTATTGACATTCTAATCCATCCAATTACGAGATATTACGCCAACGGCTTTCTTTTATTTGTAACTAATTCAAAGACCTCCGAAAAGATAAAGATTAAGGTTATACTGTTCCTCATTCTTTTCTGATTGAGTATAGCTGGATGACAAGCCTGGTACGAAACGATACCCTTCATTTGCACTTGGCACCTACGGCTGCCAGATTCTTGTAATTTCACACGTGTCATATCTATCTCTCTCTCTCTATATCTTTCTCCAACAATTACTTCCTCTAATCAAAATTAGCTTGCAAGAATATTTCCCTACTTTGATTCTTTGTCAATGATCTTTTGATCGTATGAAGCAAATCATTTATGGGCAAGTCGTAATTGCAATTTCTCGAGTGGTCAAGCCTAGCCAATCAACATATATCTCTATTTCAAGTATATTTCTATATAAATACCCTTAAATAACTTCCGTTTCATATCACTTTCTCACACTTATCGAAATAACATAAAGCTACACTCAAACTACAGGAAGCTTCAATCAAAATTATAAAAAGGTCAGACTATCATTGCATTGTGCAGTTGCTCTGACTATGAACTGTTTCATAACTTATTGATTTTTCCCTTTTTTTTCATTACGTACTTCATTTTCCATTTTTTGGTATCAACTGAAGCTTCTAATTGGAACTCAATATGATACTCAATTGAATTTCCGTGGACATGCCACGTGGAATACTTTCTCACCACGTAGATCCATTCTTACTGTTGTTGACGCGCTGAGCGGTTGTTTTGCATATATACGTTCTCTCAAGACGTTTAAATAAAAATCTTTTATTAAATATGACTACTGACGGTTTTGAGCGTACATTCGCTCATTTAATAGAATCTTAACAATAATTTAAATATAAAGTTCTGGAGATGAAAAGCTATAAGGATGTTCTAGTGTTTGAAACGTTCCGACATGTATGCTTAGAACCGGCGTAATATGAGATGTAAAATCAACGATAAATGATGTTTTTTTTGTGTTTGTGGAAAGAGAAAAGAGATCATTTCGTAGTAAGAAGAAACCAAAATATTTTTAGCGAATCTGTTGCACCAGAATTTGGAGAGATTTTACATGTCCTCGAGCTGCTTGAAGCAAACGCATGCAATCATGTCTTTCAGCCATGTCTGAAACAGAAAACAGTAGGATAAGCTGTACAAGTAGGTTGTCTACCATTGAAGAACTTGATCATATCAGTGAAATCCATGTCATTATTGATAATAACATCACGGTAGTTAGTAACCATAGCTAAGCCGAAGAACAAAGCAAAGTGTTGAGTAAAGGTACGAGAAGCTGCCCAAATGGTTTCCCACACACGGTACGTACTGTCATAAGACAATTCTAAATATAGACAAGGTTGCTGAATGAATGATTTATATTAAAACTTTACAAACCTCGTTTAAAATCTAATAAAAACCAGCGATAACTGAAATATAAATGAGTGAAGTCATCCGAAGACGTCAATCGAGTATAAATAGCTCCATCGACCACCTGAACAAATCATTTATTCAATAACTTTTTGAGTTTCCAAATCTCAATTTGGGAGGTAGTAAAGCGAGACAAACCTGCAATAAAGCTCTCAAATTGGATAAACATTGATCCATTCCGTTTCGCTGAGGAAAATTATCGCGAAGACGTTCCATAATTATGGTGAAACATTCAAGTGACAACGCTTCTGCAGATGACAAATAAAACGAAAAATTCGATGAGAATCGCTTACCATCTTCAAAAATAACTAATAAAGGAGCCAATATATCACACATTCCCTGAATATAACCTTCTTCTAAATTTCGACGGACATATGTACACATAACCCGACTGGAAAAGCATTTACGTTACAACTCGTTGTGCATGGTCTGAAAACAAACCGAAGACTCTCTAAGTTTTCTTTGTTTGAAAAGAAAATCAAATTTCTGTCACATCGTTCGACATCCTTGTCTATGCGATGCAAGTTTGTTCCGAATTGAGCCAGTAGGATATCTTCTTCTTTCGGCTTCTCCTGAAAGCATATTGAACTTTCAGTTAGATGGAGAACCCTCAGAATTTACCGGCTCTACGACTTCTTGTTTTTCTTCTTCAAAAACATCGCTCATTATGGAATCTTCTTTAGGAATCGGAGAATTCTTACGATGGCGAGCTTTAAAAGGTTTTTTTTGTGTAAATGGCACAAAGGAAGATTTCTTTTCTTACCAGCAATGAAAGCTTCCTCATCTTTTCTCCTGACTTCGGCTTCCAGAACTCTCCATTTCTCAACGTCCTCACTGAAACACAAACAACAATGGATTCATTTATGGAATCGATAATGATACCGATATCTTTGAGTAAATTCTGATGTTTTCGGCTCGGGTGAATCTTGCCAGTTGAAGAGTTTAAGAAGGAATGGCCAAGCCTGAACGACTATTCTTTAAAAAACAAAAATGTTTATAAGAAGTTCATACTTGTCTTCTTAGTTCTTTAGGATTTGATCCTTCTATGCCTTTCCAATAAACACGTAAAAGGAATTCCTGCTCTAGTTCTGGCTGGAATAGCAAGAGAATTTTCAAAATTACGAAAAATTAGTCAAAAACTAACAGTTCGTTCGGCTCTACATCGCTTCCAGAAAGCATCATCAACAGGCTGTAACTCAACCTCATTGTCTATTTGGCGGGTATTGACCAAGTAAAGCAGATGCTCGCGAATTGTACGAAGATGACGACAATATGTGAGCCCTGCAATAGGTTTCGGTTATTTCATTTGACACAAATGTAATTATAGAATAATAATGTTAATTGCATTACTCACATCCCGTAAAAGCTCTTTTGAGAATTTCATGACGCACAGACTGGCAGGCTCGATCCAATTGAAGACTGCAAAGAGAATCGAACGTAAGACTATATTGAAAGAGGAAATGAAGAAGTAGAAATAGATGATAATAGAAGTAGAGAGAGATGAAAGAAAAGAAAAATGCTTTCAATATAACGAACTTGACCAGATTTTCCACGTTGCTCTTGATGTATGGCGAATTAGGCAATGATTGGCTGTAAGAAAAAAAGAAAGTTTTTGTCGACAATCATCTCGAACAAAAAACAAAATAACTCAGAAGAAAAGGAGGACAAGTCTCGCAAACACAGCACATGAAAATCGAAGAACTCGTCGAACAATCATGAACATACCACTCATGCTCTGCTGAAGTAGGAGATTGCAATTCTGGAGACGGTATCGGATCTTTTCCAGATGTACGAACGATTCGAAATACGAGATCCATGATGGCCATTGTGGCTGAGACGGCCGTCGAACGTTTACGCAACTTTGGCAGCATTTTTTCTGAAACAATAGTAGATGAGTAAAATGGTATGGCTTCTTGCTCTATTTTTCAAGCAAAAAATTAAGAACCTGAGCCGTTTCCAGTCCAAAGCGGAGGTTCTAAGCGAAGTAACGGAGCTAATCCACTCTCTAAAGAAGTCAGAAATGTAAGGGCATGTTGGCCAGCTGGTAACTGAAGAGGAGGCGACTGCACACCCTCACAGTCAACAAACGATAACGTACATTCAGAATTTTCATCTAAAAACAAAATATATATATATATAATATATATGAAATATGAATATTTGAAACAAAAAAGGGAGAGAAAATGAAAATGAGCAGCAGCAGCAGGGAGACAAACCATTCATTTGAATTGGCCAAAACAATGAAATTTATTTTGTGCTATTCAAGAAGCTTGTCATGTACGAAGGTGAATGGAGGCAATGGTTCCATGAAATCATTGGCTCCTGCACCTTAGTACACATGCAGTTAACACTCGAATATCATATAGGATAGAATGAAAGAATCAGATGTGAATGTTCAAAACATCATATTTGGAAGAACGTTAATGGAGAAAAGGAAAGCTCAAGTCCTCCGCAACAGAAGTTGCAGAGCAGATTGTTTTGGGAGAGAAGGCAAAAAAGGCAAAAAAAAAGCAAACTTTTGTTCAACAAGACATGAAAGAAACAAAAAGGAAGAAGAGGATGAAAAGCACAACAAGATGACAAACAAAGAGCATTTGCAAGGTGGAGCAACAAACGAAGTTTAATACCTAATAGCTGATCTTACCTTTTTGGTGAAGATGAATATAGATGATGTCATTAATATCAATACTAATAGCATGCTTCCATAGCCATTGTTCATCTTTATCTCGAATAGATGCAGACGATGGTTGTGAGCTGCAAATCAAAAACAAAATATAAATATTTCAAATGAGAGATATGTAAGCTTACCTGGCATGCATCAACTGATTTGGAGTCCATTTTAAAGATAATTGGCCGTCATGACTTTTGTGTAAAGATAAATATCCTAAAAATAAGAATAATAAATGAAAAAAATTCAAAAATAATTATTTTCAATATGCACAACCGTTCTTCACAAAATATTTTGTACAAAATGAAATGTGATGCGTACAAATTAGCATAACGACGTGGTTAAATAACGTAAAGAGAAATAGTCGGAATGAAAAAATCAAAACAGAAATTAGCAATTGCATAGAAGAGAGAGGGAAGAGTAGAAGGCAAAGAGAGAGAGAGAGAGTAACAAGAGGGAATGACTTTAATTGCCGAAAGCTTGATGAACATGCATGTTGTACGAGCTCATAGGAATCGATAGACTATACAGATGTAATGATGTAATATGAACTCTGAAATTGGTTTGAACAATTGAAAAAATGAAGGAAAATGAAGCTTTTCGTAGTCAAATAGGATTTGATGAACCTACGGCTAAAATATCAACAAAAAATGATAAATTATGTATGAAAATGAATGAACTATGTTAATAGAATGACTGACAGATGAATAGAGAGAGAGAGAGAGAGGGAGAAGTAGAACCTGAGCTTTCAAACAGCAAACACATTAGAATTGTTGGAAAGATCAAAAATTATTGAAAACGTTTTGTGAAATAAAAAAATTGGCAAGAATCCACTTTACCTCTCGAAGTACCCTCTGAGAATTAAACGGAATGAACAGGAGGTTTATAAGAAAGAATAGAGAGAGAGAGAGAGAGGAAGAGATTGGGAGAGAGGAAGGGAGAAGAGAGGGTTAACGAGAGAGGGAGGAAATATAATGAAGTGAACATCTAAAAAAAAGGAGAAGAAGCTTCGAGCTTCTGCACTCGAGCTGTTTGTCCAAAAATCCTTAATGAAAAATGAAGTTGAGTTTGTAATTGCGAATGCTTTTCATTCTTTTTTCACGCGGGCCATTCAGATGCCGCACATGCACATAACATAGAAGTTATCTTCTTCACATGATGAAGAGTTTCATTTTCAATAAGTCTTATGAAGTCAGTGTGTGTGATTCGCAAAAAGGCTATATATGGGCTAATTGCAAATAGAAATCTCCCTAGAGAGTGAAGACTTTCCAACAAAACATAATAGAGATGTGAAAAAGAAATAATTGGATTGAATGCTCAACAAGTAAAGCTTTGAAAAACGTCTTAGTGAGAGGAGAAGAAAAAAAAACGCTGAATGAGCTTGAGCTATAAATGAGCAGACTGATCGACCAGACAGCACAAACCCAGTTTGAAATCAGAATGTGCCAACAACTACATGAGTAGATACGAAACATTCACAAACCTTTTACAGGAACCTCATTTTCTTTGCTGGCTAGGCACACATTATTCTTTCCATAGAGAAGAGACGATTTGAAGTTATGATGAAGTGAATATACATAATCTCGGCTACTAACAGATGATGAGCGATGATCTACAGAAGATCCTACGATGCTACTGCACTGCCGTTGCATCTGAAATTATTTTTTTTTTGTGAAAACTGAAAAGTGAAAGCAGAGAAAGAGGAGGAGGAGGAGGGAACAAAACGGAATGAAAAAAGAGGAAAAAAAAAAGATGAAAAACCTGTAAAGGCGGACGCGAAGTAGATGTGGAAGAGCTACTGGCTATGGAACTGACAGACGAAATACCACGTCGATCACACATCTCTTCAGCTGAAGGCTCACACGGTTCTGCCGTAGACATTCTTTTATATGTCACAGCACATGGACCGACTGTAACAGAAACATATAATGATAAGAAAGACAACGGAAACAGTGAAACAGAAAGAAAGTAAATAAAGTCATTTGAAAGTTTCAGAGAGCAACAGAGACGCCTTGATGTAGATCGTTTGAAGCAGCATGTGATGAGAGGATATCATGCTTCATGAATTTTAGCAAGGAATAAAATGAGAAGAAGGGGCATTGAGCGCAAGTCGGGGAGAGAGAGAGAGAGAGGGAGAAAGGATGAGAGGAAGAGATAGAACGACAACATAATAAGTCAGTAATCTGAATAATTGAAAGATTTCCTTTCTAACATATGAAAGTTAGTAAACTTGAAGTATTTCAGAAGTAAGCGATGGAAATGGAACGGAAAAGCTTCCAATCTCCGGTTAGAAAGGATAACCAGGGATAAATGCCAGCAAAGGCATTGGAAACGGAGACAATAAAAAATGCAAATATTGAAGCGATTTGCTTCAAGAAAATCACGAAAGCTGAGCGGAAAAAAAACACACAGAAGAAGCTCATGTTAATACGGTCTTCATCATTCATCACGCCGATTGCAAGACTGAGTTGACGGAGAGTATAGAGAGTCGATAGCTAAGCGACCACTATTGGGACTGGGCCAAAAGCTTGTTCGTATATGGTCTGACAAGGGAAAACATCCCAGCAAATAAACCAAAAACAACTAAAAGCCACGTGCGTGTGTATGTGTAGAGTAGAAGAGAGAGAGAGACAGAGAGAGAGAGAGAGAGACATCCTCCATATGGTATACTAGGTGTCAGCTTTATAGTCGAAATGAAGAGGAAATAGTAATGAAGTTTTTGAGGAAAATAGAGATTTGCTAGCGAAATGAATGAAATTTGCTTTATCTCGACTTTCTCAGACTTATATGAAAACAGGCAGACTAGAAGAGAGAGAGGGAAAGACAGAAACAGAGAGAGAGAGAGACTGAGGAAGAAGAAAGAAGGGATGGAGGTGGTGGTAGTAGTAGTGGTGTTGGTGTGAGGAGGAGGAGAAGGGGGGGGGGGAGGAAGGACGTAGTAACAATAATATAATATCTATACATATATAGACAAAAATACCACAGAAAAATGAAATGTTGAAAAGTCACAATAGTGAAAGGCTTTTGCCAGAAAGAGAGAGAGAGAGAGAGAGAGAGAGAGAGAACTGTGTGAAAGCGGCTAAAAATGAGGAGAAAAAGGACGGAAATTCAAGATTAACAGGGTTTCCAGCGACGAGCCAAATGGAATTTTTGATTTGATATCCAAATTAAAATTCTTTTAATTGAAAAATTTGAGAGCATAGACAGAAGCAGAAAGCCATAAAAGTTACGAACATTTGAGGTATCTCCCTCTCTCTCTTACTTACTCTCTCAATCTCTCTCTATCACTCCTTTAAAACTCAGAATGAAAGGATATAACATAGAGAATGCAAGAGAGCAGAGAGAGAGAGCGAGAGATGAGAACGAAAAAAACAACATTTTTTTCCTCAATGACAGCCACATAACATTTTCCGGCCACCATATTTGGATACGAAGTAAATGAAGAGCCGAAAACGGATTTAGCTTGAACGGAAAACCTTCAACCCTTGAAACAACTCAGCTTGCTTCGCTTCTCCAGCTTATTGCCTGAAGGGCATTTGTGGTCTCGTATTGATTGGCACGAGGCCAAACGGAGAGGACGACGGATATAGGAGAGAAATATATGAGAAGACTAAAGCAAACGCAGAGAGAATGAGAAAGAAAGGGACTAATAGAAGAGAATATATTTCTTTCTCTTTTTTCCTTTAAAAGAAGGCGGAGAGTCTGTTAAATGAATTCAAACGCAAAGAACATATAATGCGGAAAGGAGGCAGCTTAGAGCTCGAAGCCCAAATACGGAAATCACCTGACATATCACTTCCAAAAATTAAAGATTCTGTTTGGGTGCTTCAAAGCTTTGTCCAAAACCAAAAGAAATAGCAAACATGATGTGAGATGCCAATATTTTGATTTGGATGAAATGGTGGTAAGCAGTGGAAAAGAGAGAGAAGCTGAGAGAGTACTGTCGAAGAACATTCCATCTGATGGATAGGATGATCGGAATCCTCTCAAAAACCAAACATGCAAAAGAGAGATTAAAAGAAAAAACAAATGATCTCTAGCATTATGGTACAAGAAGATGTATGGTATGAAGGTGAAGAAGTCAGGAAAGCAATCATCAAAGCTCGAAAGAACCTACGAAGTAAGGCAGCTACCATTCCTCCTTTCGATCTGTCCATCATCAGAGCTGACGGATCATACAACCGACTGACACTAAAATTTGAGTCATTCGTGAATTCTGAGTAGCTTTTCCCAAACCTTTTATGGCTTGACAAGTAAACTACAATATCGTGCAAAATTCGCATGTGAAGAGCTTCTCTGATCCATGCTAAATGCTGATTCGTTCCGGGTCTGAAAAAAAAGCAAATTTCAAAAAAACAGCTGCAAACATGAGCAATCTACATTTGCGGGTTGAGCTCATTAACTTTTTTGAGGACCCGTTCCGCCTGTGGACATTTCTTGCTAGCCGTATGCAATAGAGCTAATGAAGTTTGAGTTCCAAATAATCCGAGTAATCGTCTTCGTAAGCCATCCATCAAACATGCTTCAATGGCACCTAAAGCTCAATCATAATCATCTGTTATACTTTTATAAATATTAAAATCATCAAAAACATACATAAATGATATTTCTTATAATTGTTATTTGCTAATTATTATTTTAGTGAGTACATGACAACTTTGGGCATTAGTGCAATTACTGTTTGAGCAGCAGCAACAGCAGAAAGCATGTACCGTTGATAATTTCGTGGACTAATGCAACTGTCATCAATTAGTTTATTGATCAGATAATTAGCATAATCATGAAAGCTTCTTTAGCGTCATAGCCTGTCCATTATTATTGGATAAAGACGTGGACAACGGTTGTTGCATTATCTCTCTTAGTCTCAGTCTCACTCTCTCTCTCTCTCCCTATCTTATTGTCTTTGCATTTTATTCATATTTTTGAATAAAATTATAATTGAACTTTCAGAACAAGCAATAATATAATTATAATTGTATAGTTATATAATCTATCAATTTATAATTATGCAGCAGAATAATTATATTTTTTAGTTTAGAGAACTACTGCTCGAACACATTCACACACATGCACACAGACACACTTACACACGCTGCTGAGATAGTGTGAATCATGCGGAAATGTATTCCCCGTCTTTTTGATAAAAAAAACGGCCGCAAAAAAAAAAGTTGAATGCTTAATTTTACTTCCGTCTATTACTCGAATTACTCGAAAATTTGTAAGCAGTAATTGATGTTCCGTTGAAAGTGTATGTGTGTGTGGTGTGGTGTATGTCTGTGTGTGTGTGTATGGTGTGTAGGGAGAGGGTACATCAAGACAACTCTCTGCTATTCATAATGGAAACATTTGGCGGATCAAAAATTAAAGTAACGTACCGCATAATGATGTCACGTACGGAGAATTAATGTCCAAACTTCGCTTTGTTACAGCTTCTTCCATTATAACTTTAACCTCAAATATGGAAATTAGCGAATACATTGACGTCTTTCATCACTCAATTACTTCTCTTTTCAATTTATTGATTAATTCTATTTTATGAGCTGTACTTTCATCGGGATCAGGTTCATCCACAGACGTGACGCTGAACTTATCTGTCGCTCGTGTTCGTGCTTCTACTCTGAACGACCAATATCAAATTTTCTCGTTTTTTTTTTCTTCCTCGTGTCTTCTTGCAAGAGCAGAGTGAAGAAGAGCTTACCTATCCCAAACATCTGGAGGTTTTTGATTATTATCAGACAGGCCGTTAATCCATTCAATTACGCTGCTGCGTCGACGATCTCCTGCCCTCATGAGACGGCGACTTGACCGACAGCTCGATGGTGCGGGATTTACTGCAGCATCAGCACTTGCATTTCGGAAGAACATCTGAGAATTGTGAAAAATAAGAAAACGAAGACAATCGAAGGAAAACAATTATTGAAACCGAACGAGAGTAGGAGGTCAAAACCATAAAGTTCTTAACATCTCAAAGATGGAAAAATGCTAATAACAAACATTCGGAAACATCGGAAAGTTACGTCTCGGTGGTTTGGAGAAGTGCTCGAGAGAGAGCAGTGAGAAGGCGGGTAAAGAGGATAGAATATGAAACTTTCCAACTCTCAATAAGAAATATCAGACGTGTCTTTTGACGTGTGAATGAAAATACAGATGTTAAAATGTAAATGCATTGAGGGAGTAAGAAGAAAATAGGAGGACGAGGAGCACGACGATCTGATGAGGAACTAAAAGCTGACGATGTCCTCATTAAGTAACGATTAGGAAAGATAAAGCGAAGGCTGATCTTTCTCTTTCTTGGAACCAACATCGAAAATGGGGCAGAACTGTTGTTTTTGTGTGCAGCATTTATAGAGAGAGAGAGAGAGAGAGAGAGAAGGAAGAAGAGAGTGGAAAAGAGAACGAAGGAGAGAAAGGAGCTTCGATAAAGGACAGATTCCAATGAATTCTTTTTAAATTTGTTGTGAAACGGCTCTTCTCCGGCAATGTAAATTGCCTAAGGGGTGAAAAGAGTCTCTGCCAGCTGATGACCCATCTATGACTGCCATCAGTTTTTCGATTATAAGCTTCTCCTAGAGTTTCATAGAAGATACACCATTTTTGGGAGGAAAAAAAAATAGAAAAACCAACGGTCAAAATAGATGGGACGACTGGCTGACAGAGCAAGAGGTAGAAATGAGACAAGACGAAGAGATAGAGAGAGAGAGATAGTAAGAGAGAGAGAAAGAGAAAGAGATGGAAGATCGAAGCTGTTTCGGAGGGAAAAAAGAAGAGGAAAAGCTTTCGAGCAATTTGAAACACCTCAACTACTTCGAAGTAAACCAAAAGCATTTTGGCTGACAACCAAACGTTCTCTGAACTTTCTCAAATTGAACTTTACATGGCTAAAGTTTTTTTTTTCTTCTCAAAAGAAAAATAAGCTTTTTGTGAGTAAGATCATACAATAGAAACGTTCAATTCAATGAAAATATGATTTTTTCTGATGAAAAACAAAACAAAAGTTGAGAGAGGGAGTGAGAACGATAGAGAGAGAGAGGGAGGGAGGGAGAGAGGTGAAAGACAGGTTGAAGGTTGGACAGCATTTGAAAGAGGAAATCTACAGAAGTGAGAGGTAGAATGAGGAAAGAGTAGGAAGAAAAACTGAAAAAAAGGAAAGGAGAGATTAAAGAGGGAGAGGGAGGAGAGGGTGTGTAAAGATAATGAAGAGAAAGAGAAAGAGAGAGAGGAATGGAACATGTAAAGGGTGAGATGAAAAGAAGAGAAATGGCAAGATAGAGAGGGAGAAAAGGCCATTTTGAATTTAAAAAAAGGCTTTTGAATTAGTTAACTCAATTCATAGAGCTGTTTGAAAGGTTATTAATTATAATTAAGAATTATGAATATGAATAGAAAAACTTGAGCTTAGGATCATTCAATCCTTGGTTATCTGGCATTTGAGGATCAAACAGAGAGAGAGAGAGAGATAGAGATGAAGAGAGGGAGATAGAGAAAGAGAGAGGGAAATATGAAGAGAATAGAACAGCTTTAAGAACATCTATTTAATAAGTGAAAAATAGAGAGACAGCAAGCCACAGAAGGGAAATGACTAATCTGAAGGAGAGTAAGAGAATGTTGCCTGGGGCAACTTAAATCTTAAAATCCATTCAGTAATTATTGAATATTCGATATGCTTCATCATGTGTATGCCCCCAGTCCCCATATATGATAAGAAACAAAAGCTGTGATGTGAAGACAAATATGGTCAGATAATCAACAAGAATCACATATTCACAGAGAGAGAGAGAAACAAGGAGGGAGAGAGAGAAAGAGAGAGATAGAGGGACTGAAATGATATATAAGCTTTGCAGGCAACACATGAGGCTTATAAAGATTAAAGCTGAAAAATTCAATTGAAAATATCTGTCACGCTTGAAAGGTTCAAACCTCACATACAAACTTTCAAACGTTCACATCGAGAGCAAAAAAAGAAGTTTCATTCTTCATATTTGGTTCGTCCAATATTTGAAAAAAAAAAAGTTTTTTTTTGGGCTCTCAGCTCTCCACTCTGCCACTCCTCTCACGCTCTTTTAAGCAAAAACATTAAAAAATGATTTATGCAGAGCTGTCATGGAGGAAAAAAACAATTACAAACAACAAACAACATACACACACAAAAGTCAACCGCTCACTTCTGAACTCAAATCACGAATGAAAAGCTCTAGTTGATTGGGCGTGAAATGCACGTGAGTTTCACATGCGCTTGACTTCTCATATTCAAAACCAAATCAATACCCCCCCCCCCCGGGTTGGTCTCCTTAAGCTCATAGCTTTTAACATTAAAACGCAAATTTTTCGGAAGACAATTTCAGTTTTCATAAAAAAAAAAAAAGAAAAAAATTCTTTTTGGTCCCACTAGTTTGCTCAACATCATTCCTCAGCTTACAAGAGACAGCGTGAGGAGAAACGAGCGATAGAGAGAGAGAGAGAGAGGGAAAGAGCAAAAATGGAAATTCAAAAAGAGAGAAGAAAAAAAAAGAAAATTTTTTATTCTGAAAAATCTTAGGTGCGATTGAATTGCAGAAACACGAAGAAGCTGTAAATGGAGAAACAAAGCTTATTTAGATAACATAGAGAATTCAGTTAAAATTGGTGGACAGACATGCAAACTCGAGAATAGAGGGAGGGTTAGATGAAGATAGAGAGGTGAAGATAAAGAAGTGAGCGATAGAGAGAGAGAGAGGAAGAGATAGAGAGAGACAATATTTATAATATAAAAAAAGAAGACGACGAAGAAGAAAAAGGCAAGAGTACACAGCTGAACGACCAAATTTGAGTGCATTAGTCGAAAAGCCTTTTCAGTTTAGAGAAGACATGAGTCTTATTGCTTTTTTTTTTCCTTCTTTATCTCTTTGTCTTCGATAATTCATTCATTACCGAATTCATTTGAAAGAGACATAGAGAGGGAGGATAGGAGGAAGGCTGTGGAAGCGAAGATGTACGAAAGAAATCTTCATGGAATTGGAATATAGATTCCTTTTTGAACTGAGAAAAAAATATTTTGTTTAGAGACATATGCGAATAACACGTGTAATCCACGTTGTTGCTATCTCACGTCATCTACGTGAAAGACTCTGACGTCATTTAGATGTAACTCATGCGCATGAAGCGGTTGTGTTTTTCACACACACAGGATATGTAATAGGGTAGAGAGTAAGCTAGAGAGAGAATGAAATATATCTAAAAAGAGAAAGAGATAGGAAAAAAAGAAATTTCTTGGGAAAAAATGAAATAAAAGCAGGGCCATGAACCTCCTGTGATACTCGATTCGTCTTCAAATTTTCCATTAAAACGACGAAAAGAAGAAGCAAAACAGTTTCAAATGAGAATAGGAAAGTACAGTGTTGGAGAATAAGGTGAGAATCTTAATGACAAAAACAACTGAAGAAATGGTTGAAGCCGAGAAAGATAGAAAGACGGAGAGATGGATACAGAGAGAGAAAGAGATTGAGAGAGAGAGAGGACGAAGCGGAAAATGCAAATTTTCTTCAAAAAAAGATTTTTGTTTCAACAATGTTCAGATCGAAATTTTCTGAACGAAATAACAGATAGTTGAACGAAGTAAAGAGAAGCCGTCAATCAAAGAGTGAAAGATAAAAAAATTTTTTGCTGTCTTCAGTTGAGGATGTCCTTTTTCTAATTTTGATTGAAAAGGAATAGCTAATCTGACTGCCCACGAAGAGATATACAAAGATGAAGAGAGAGAGAGACACACAGAGAGATAGAGAGAGAGAGAGAGAGAGAGGGTCGGAGTTGAACACCAGAAAGTAAGAGCAAAGAAGATTGTTGAGCAACGTTCATAATGCCTATCAAAGATATTCAGAATAATTGGTGAAGATGAATAAAGTAAGAAAATGGACCACAAACATAGTAATGAAGTTGTCAAATTAACAGATGAAAGAATTAAAGGAATCATACTATGGATGGATAATGGGATTAGCGGAGCGTACAGAAAACTAAAAGATGGATTAAAATGAGACGAAAAGAGAAAGAGAGAGAGAGGGAGCGGGACATGAACGAAGAAAAGATTATTCACGAGAGCAAAAAGAGGTGAGGAGAGCATGAGGATAATGAAGAAACATTGAAATGAAAAGAGATAGAAGAACTTAAATTTCCTCCTCCACTTTCTTATTTGGCTTATGAAGAAGCTGAATATTGATGATGAAAGTTATTAGAAGAGCTTTTTCCTTCTCCTTCTCTCTCTCTCTCATCTTTCAACTCTGAAAATTCTAATTGATCTCTCTCTCTATCTATCTCTCTCCCTCTCTCTTACTTTGCTCCCCATTCTCTGTGGGTCTCCCCCTGCTCTCTCTCTCTCTCCGCCTCTCATTTTTTGTCATTTCTGAGAAACGAGAGATTACTTTGGCATAAACCAGTTTTGTTATTATTCGATAGAAGTTTATGATTATTTGCTCCAAAAAATGGAGAAAAATCAAAATCGTGAAGTAAACAATCAAAAACAGGATAACGAAACTTGACTTATATGGTATAATTTGTCTCTCAAAAATAGAGTGAGAGGGATGGAAGAGAGAGGGGAAGAGGCAAATCAGCTGAACGCATACACACACACACACACCACACCACACACACATACACATATGCACGAGAAACACAACAACAAAATATAGAAAAAGATCAGGATGAATATAAGGTTATAGTTTTTCTGTAGTGAGACACAAGACAATTGGATGGCCCCTGAGGGCATTGGCGCAAATCAACATTTTCATTTTGTGGTGACAGCCTCAATTGACAGATTTCCACAAGAAGCTGTTTCCAATTGAATTGGCTATAGAGCTACTACTTGTCAACAGAGCACAGATAACAATTGAAGTAAAAAATGGATAGAGAAAGAAAGACAAGAAAGAGAAAGAGAATGAGGAGAAGAAGGCAAAAAGAATGTTGCTACAGATTAAGCCATATTTGTGAGTGATCTTTCAAAACAAGAAAGAAAAATTAGGAGACAAGCTTCATAAACAGTAGCAAAACCCTTGAAAGGAAGGAGATGTGAGGAGAGACAGCCAGAAAGAGAATAGAGAGAGAGAGAGAGAAAGAGACAGAGACTGAGATAGAGAGAGAGGCGGAGTAAGAGCGAAGAAAGTGAGAAGGAGCAACAGAGGGAGAAGGTATGAAGACAAGAAAATGAAATTTATCATAAAAACGCCACCAACATTGCAAGGATTGACTGCATTTATTTGTGTTTCCATGTTTTTTTATGAATAAATGCAGTTTTCTATATGAGTGAAGAGATGTTGTGCTACAACTTCTTCTGAAGACATACTTGGGAGGAAGAAAATGAAAAATATGGAGATGAGGTTAATCATCCGATGCGGTCTTCAAAATCCGACGATGTCATCTAGCAGTCTGATGTTATCAGGCTTTATGCTGTGTTTCCATCACAACATTCTATCTGAACAACTTGAGCCACGACATGGAAGCAGCAAGCACTGGAGAGGTTAAAGGAGAGTAAGCACGAACAGCAGACAGAGAATAGAAGAATGCATGAAGACCTCAAAGAAAATAAATGTTGTCTGAAGTTTTTCACTATTTTCCTTCTACTTTACACCTGACATAACTGTGTCGATGTGAATGAGAGCAGATCTTTTTCTGCAACTTCTGTACGTGCAAAGATGAAATATTCACAACGACAAGTTGTATAAAAGGACTGGCAAGGAGGTGGAGCAAAAAAACGAAGGAGGAGGGGGAGTGACGAGGTGATAACAACTAAAATTTGCTTTTAATATCATATTCCTGTCATCTAATAGCCGGATATGAAACGGAAATACTCACTTTCCCTATTTTTTGGCGGTTTCCCCCTCTCTCTCTCTCTCTCTCTCTCTCTCTCTTAGCTCGTTAAGGGAGAGAATGGAATCGTTTGGCAGTAGAAGGGTTTCAGTAGAAAGATGAGAAAATTGTCAAATCAAAAAAAGGAGGAGAAAAAATCAAAAGCAGTAACACATCAACATAGATTTGGATATAGCGTGGTACGAGAGCGTCAGAAAGTTCATTGTGTACAAACAGAACGAAAATGAAACTCGAACACCCCACATACACAGACACAAAAAAACATTTGAGATGAGTCGATCAGCCTTCCAAATTCGAGTGTGAAAACGAGAGATAGAGATACAGAGAGATACAGAGAGAAAGAAAGAGAGAAAGGAGGAGAAGGAGGAGAGTTGTCGCCGAGGAAGAATTTGTAGGTAAGGCGACGAGCATGGCAAGCCCCCACATCACGCACGAAATGGACAAAAGCTGTCATCGATGACAATTTTCATGAAAAATTCCCTGATTTGTTCATCAGATTTGTTCGCTAAAAATCAGAAAAATGTCCAAATTCTTTGGCATTTTTAATGTGAGAATACATGATGTGATTTCGATGAGAAATGGAGCCATTACATCTAATTTTCAAATTCCATCCAAATTCGTCAATTCAACATTTTCAGTTTTTCAACCTTGCCAATACACACATACACACGAATTTTTTAAATTCATATCATCTCCAATGTGTGTGAAGAGCGAGAAGAGGGGGTGGAGGGGGGGGGGGGGGGAGGAGAAGAGAAGGAACTTGCAAGAAACGAAAGATAGAGAGATGGAGTGGCAGAATGAAGCAACATGTTCAAGGCGTTTGCCATCCGAAAAAAGCAAAAAGGAAAAAAAAAGAGCCAAACGGAAGTGCGGCGTGAGGAACTTTGACCATTTGGATGGAAATTGGAGCGAAAGATGAAAAGAAAGAATAAAAAAAAATTAGAAGGATCTGTTTCTCTTTCAACAATATCAAGCTTAAGTTACGCCACGACGATTAGGCCGCCGTTTATGCGGCTGCTTAAGGAAATCACCCCAAGAAAGTTCGGGTTCTCTCGCAAAAGAGACATTTTCTTCAAAAATCATTTTATTACGAAGAAGCTTGGAGACGAAAAAAATCAAGGACAAGCCTCTAACGGCGGGCAACGGAAGACGGATTCAGATATGAGCATGAGGACAAGAGAGAGAGAGAGAGAAAGTCAAAAACTGGGAGTGAATCTGATCGATCACATCAAATCTTTCATGAAAAAAAAACTTATTTTTTTCAATTTCTACTGACGAACAATGTAATGATGAGAATGGTCGGAGTGGAAAGTTCAGATAATGACGTGATATATATGAATGGAAAGAGTTTTGAACAACCAAATTAGGGGGATTGGATGGAGGAGGGGAGAATGGAAAGTAGGAATGAGACGAGAGTGGGTGAAGACGAAATTTGCTCAACGTTAAAATACTTTTAGAGAACTTTGTTCTTTCTGTTAAAACAGAAAAGATATCAGGCTGAGGAAGCTGCTCAGCTATTCCCGCTCGCTAGTTGCTAAAGAGCATGAAAGATACAAGCTTACTAAAAACTCCTTATATAGTGTGAATTAGAATATTACCGTAATCTGTTTTTGATTTGAACATCGGGCACTCTTGACATAAGAATTTTCAACGAATAGTGCTTGATTAAAGTAATAGTCTAATTGAAGTCCATCTTTGACAAGAAATAGAGATTAATTGACAAAATAAACACTCTTCTGAGGAACTTTTCTCAAAGAGCCGAACGTTCATATGCGATGGGAGAGGAAGGCAGAGAGCATGTGAAAAATGGATTTTGGAAGACCTGCAGTACAAAACAGTTCGGAGCAGCATTAGAGAACGGGGAAGAACTCAAATCTAATAAGTTCTTCTTGTCTCTTCAACACAATTGAATACATGTAGAAGGTGCAGGACTTGCCTTGTATGCCCTTGTGTTCGTGCAAAATTCGAAGATAAAAAGAAGACGAAATGCTCATCTAAACGTCTTTGCAAATCTCATTGAGAGATCGATTGATAGGATACATCATAATTAAAGAGGACTAAAGGATGTTAGAAACAGAAAGAGGATGAAGATTGGATGGCTGATGAAAAGTGTAGAGAGAGGGGATCAAGCTAATCAACTTTCGTAAAACACTTTATCCATTTTTAGACTCAATATGAGACGTTTTAACAAAAAAAAAGGAAGAAGAGTTAGTCAATTTAATTACTCAAGCATCATTAGGATGACAGCGAAGGTTAGAGTCGTAACGTTCCTTACCCTCTACAAGAACGATAGCTCATTAGCAATAATCTCAAAGAAAGTTGGCGAAAAGACATTTGAAAATGGCTGATACTGACAGCTTACGGGAAAATAGAGAGAGAAGAAAGGTCTACAATCGAGAAAAAATATAAAATAACAATGGATCTAGATGCCAAGAAAAACATATAATTAGCTCGAGCTAGCTTTTCAGATGACCGAAGAAGAAAACAAAAATAGAGTAAAGATATGGAAAGATGGGATGTAACAGAAACGTAGCAAAACAAAGAAAACAAGCGAAAATTCAATTGTTGTATCCCAAAAAACAGGATAACATAAGTTTAATGAAAGTTAAATAATGAAAATAATATTCTTAAGCTCCAACTACTTCACTCTCTCTCTCGGTCGTTTGAGCGTTCAACTCTTCTCTCTCTCTCTCTCATATCCTGCATGCGGATATGATATAGAGTGCATGAAGACTTACTCAATGTTTTCACAACAGTCCCAGATGAGGAAAAAACAAAATGAAGTAGAACACAAAAAAATATGAAAACTGAAAAAGGAATAATGCTATGCTGACGAGAATTCCCTCTCTAGTTTCATCCATATATAGAACATACACGAGTTGATCATCAGCAAAAAAAGCGAGCCGAACGAAGACTTTGATGAAGACAAAACAATGTGGGAAGATGAAACACGAGATAGCAACTTTGAGCTCGAATTAAATAACAACAGTTTAGGAACAAAAACACGAAAACTTAAAAGTTGCAGACTGCTTTTCGAAATTCGCTTGTAATGTCGTCGCGTTGTACGCAATAGACGCCTTTTTCATTTTTAATTTTACGTTCGGAGAGAGCGGTTGCATTTGTGACTTATTAATTAATTCCTTCAATTAATAACTTCCAGGCAGCAAGCTGATATATAAGCTCAAGAAATTGGAAATCTATCCTCTTCTGCAATGTTTAACTGGAACTAATAGCGTAAACGAGGATTCCAAATGTGCGAAATGAAAACAGATTTACTATTCTGACAAAAATTACAAACATAATGAGAAAAATAGGCCAATTAATAAAATGAAATAAGTTCGAAATCATAATCGTAGAGGTATTTTGTATTACGCAAAACATTATTTTTTCAATTTCTACAGAAATCATATAACAATCAAAATTTTGCAATCACTTATTATTAGGTTCCCTACTTTGAGGATTCGGAGCTGCCGGCCTTGCATTTTGCTTAATCAAGCGGTGAGGTGGAAGCCGGGGACCATCTTGAATTATCTGAAATTGAAAAATTTCAATAATCATAAGATAATATGAAATACCTTAATCGGCAAAAGAGCGGTAGGCCTTCCATGATTTGTGGCAGTAGGTGCTGGCAGCTTTGACACCGTAGGAGGTAGTGAAGTTGAGGAAGTGGAAGCTGGCGGGAACCCAGACTCCATCTCCGCAACTGACTTCCTAGGACTTTTATCAGCTTCTTCCTGTAGAAACTGAATACAAATCAGAAATTTCCGAAACTCTCCCACCTGATATTGCATCCTAAGAACTTCGCCAAGAGGTTTGTCTTGAACATTTGAAGGAAGGTGGCTTAAGTCCAAAGGCTGTTGAGGAACGGAAGGTCTACCAGAGGTGTTGAGATCATCTGAGAAGCACAATTATTCAGAGCAGATGAAAACTTTAACGTACAGCATCTAGGCATACCACCTCGCATGACCATTGCCCTTCTATTGATTTGAGAAGAATTGAAGGAAGAGTAGGTGGCCATTCGTTTTGGATCGTTCACTGCCATTCCTCTATATCTGAAAAAATTCAAATTTCAGATGAACTTCTGATTCAAGTAGGAAGGCATGAGTGAAGATAGAGACTCATGAATAATATATAGCCGCAAATGGTTCGATGGAATTATACTGGGAAACACTTACACAGTTCTGGAAGGAGGAACTACCCCTGAGATCGTTGAATAAGTTGTTCTCACAGGCATTCTAAACAAAACCAATGTGAACACAGAGTATATGGAAAAAAAACTCTTACCTAGCTGGTGGTGGCGGTATTCTACTTCCTGTTACAAAGCGTTGGGTGGGAGGGGGTAAAGCAGAAGGCTGAGATATGGGACTGGGTTCTCTGTCCTCGACCAATTCTTCTTCTATTTTATCCTTAACGAAATGAATGATGAAACACTGATATCAGATTCGTTTTACATCTAAAATACTTGCAGCTGCTTTCTGATCTTCTTCAATTTGTTTTCTTTGGAGCAAACTTGCTTCTCGAGGTATTTGGGGGCGGGGGTTATAAGCATTCATATTATGGGTTGGGACATAAGGTCTAGGAGATGGTTGGGGTCTCGAAGTAGATTGGGTGTTGAATAATGGTCTCATGTGCGAAGGCTGAGCAACATTCGGCCTCTTCAATGTGTCAAATCCTCTTGGTTTAATTTGTAACCGCTGAAAGCAACTCATAGAAACAAATTTGAAAAACGAGCCCATACCGGTACAGGATTGAAGGTTATTGATGGCCTAACTGCTCGAGTAAGACACATTGTAGGCGTTCTGCTAACAGCAGAGCGATGAGTTTTTTCCGGGAAGTTTTCACGATTGAATGGTCGACATCTAAAGTCATCAGTTGAAAGATTCTTGGGGGTTCAACAAACCTAGCAGCTCTACATGTGTCAGCTTCACGTAATCTCTGCAATATTAGAAAATTCGAAAAAGGATTAATGAGTAAACTAACAGCTTGCATTGTCATATTCAACTGCGTGGGAGACATCAGAGTTCCGCCTGGCTTCGCACCATAGGGAGAATGTCGTATACGAGATCTAGCTGCACGGATAGAACTCTGATAAAGAAAACTAATTAATCGAAAATATTTGGAAACACTTACGATATCGAAGTTCTGACGCATTTCATTTGTCAGATCATCATCACTCTCATAATCATAGAAGAACTATAACAAAAACAATAAAAAAAGAAAATATAAGAATGTAATACCGGGCTGTTTGACATATCAGAAGCAGGTTGCGACCCTGTAAAATGAATTTGTGTGAGACAAGGAAGGAATTCGTACCTCGGTTTGAGAAATTCCCAATGCTGATAGACAATGGATAACGATGAGATGCTCGATAGCCTGTGTATGAAACAAGTCAACAACTGAAGGAGAAAAACAACTCACAATGAATGGGACAGAGATTTTTGGTAGTATCATTCGTGAAAATAACCACATTATTACAAGAATCACATTTAGGGAACGACGGGATTCTACCTCCCTTGGTAACATCTGAAAGGAAATTAAGAAATTGAAATAGAGATACGCAATAACTATAACTTACGAATGAGACAGTGTTTAGCACCAGGAAGCGCTAACCTTACACAACGTGAGCTTCCTTGTGCAGGGATTGGAATGAAATCATCGTTGGCAACAGACGAAACCAACTTTCCTACAACGTCTTCAACAGCTACAGAATCTTCGGAATCACCAAATAAACAATATACAGAGTCCTGATGGATAAAATGATGTCAACATTGATCAAACACCTTCATTACCTCAGGCACTCGACTTTTCATGGCTTTCAAACGCTTCGTAACCACTGTTTCTTTGTGATATGTTCTCTTGGCCAAATAGTCTTTCAGCTGATTGCTGTCCAAACTAGCTCCTGGAACTCGGTTGTTGAATTCACAAATTTGGAAATTAATAATGCTCACGTTTCCTCTTCGATTTAGTCGGTTCTAATGTGAACTCAGCGGTCCTCCTGATATTTTCTGCCGTCATTTCTCGGTAATGTTCCAAATGCTTGATTTCCTTGTTCAATAATGCCATACGCACTTGGAGCACTTCTTTATCCGTATAAACACCAGCTTGCCTGAGATGGTGGATATATTGCACGAAACTCTGATGCAAACTTACATCAAAGGAATATCAAGATCGTCTTCATGCGAGAAGAAGTAAACGCTATCTTGCTTCGGGACAGTCCAATGGCTGCATGGAAGTAAGAATTCATCTTCATCACTACAAATCAAGTGATTAATAAAAATATCTTCCTCAGAACTAACCTAACGAGTTCTTCCGATTGAATTACTTTCCTATACTTCTTTTTGGTTCCTTCAAGAGAGAGACGAGCCTTCTCTTTCGTATAACGCCGCTTCAAGTTATTAGCTAACTTTGTGTGCTAGAACAAAGAACATGAGGTTGTACGTGCAACATAATGAAATCTCACTAATTCACATTGTCCACCATTTAAAGCTAACTGCTCTTTTCGTCGAACTTGTCTACATTTGATGAGAGTTCGATTGCCAATGTAAGCGCACTCAGAATATATATTTCTATCATATTCATTAGGCAACAAGCAAGCTAAAGTTCCACTAGCAGGCAAATACTGATCAGGTGGACGAGAAGGCTCCGAAATGGACCCAACCATTCTTAACAAGCGAATTCAAATTCGGAATCATGAAAGGAAATTGCGCGAGAAAATCGATAGCTATGTAATGAACAAGAATGAAACAGGATGGTATGGGAAATTGAAATGAATTTTCGTTGATAATAAATAAACTGCTATGACAAAGTAGAAAAAATAATAATAATTAAAACAAATTTTAATATTTAAAAATGGAAATGTGACGAATGCATAGACCGGGCGTCTGACTGAAAATATAGAAATGAGCAAGGACGCTTTCGCTCGTCCGTATTGAAGTTCCCACGCCCAGATATCGCATTTTACATTTAAAAAGTTCTCGAGCGAGAAACTTTGACTTTGCATATTATTATTTCGAAATCGGTTTAGAGACAATGATATCATTGATCTCCGCTCAAGTTTTTGAATATCTCTCTCTCTAAAGCATTGCCCTATGGCTAAATCTTTTGAATTGTGAGCGATGTATCATCGGATGTTATGTGTTTACGAGTTGCAAAGTGTTAAACTAAAGTTTTGTCTTATAGCAATATGTCTAATGTGGACTATCCAACTAATGTTCCTCCTATAGTATTTACAAAAAAAGGCAATGATTTGGCTAGGAACTTAAAGGTTTGATCACATCACAGATGTATTGTTTCAAAGGTACATTGATTGCAGACGCTCAGTGAGGCTTTATCACACGCAGATAGTAATGACGACATTGGAGAACCGAATAGGTACCAATCTCTATTTCAGCATTTAACTGGATCTCAGTATGTTTATTTGTTTTCCTTCATCTCTGACCTTATCTTTCTCTCAGATTTTTAAATTATGAAAATAACGATGTTCGTGTTTATCTTGCATGTTGTATTGCTGACTTACTTCGCATTTTTGCCCCAACTGTACCTACTTGTGAAAGTTCTAAACTTAAGGTTTTTTTGCAACGTTTTTCGTTCGTTCAACTGTTGTTGCAGGAAATTTTTATTCTCGTTATCGATAGTTTGAAAGGCCTAGCCAATCCTTCAGGACCCACGTTCCGTAAATGTTTCTACTTATTAGAGGTGAAGCTTTTTTGTGCTCTGTCATAGTTTATCTGTTATGTTTCAGAATATATCAACACTTAAAACTTTGCATCTATGTAATGAGTTGCCTAGTGCCGATGCGAACGAGGTCACACGCCACTTCCTCAAAACTTCATTGGAGGTCGTGAAGAGTAAAGTAAGAAATAATTTTGTCTCTGTTCTTTACATAGTTACCATTTGAGGCATGGGCTCCTCAACGTGAACGTTCCATGGAAATCAATGAGGAGAAAGAAGATGATGACAATGATGAATATTCATCGAGGAAAGAAAAGGTTTCTATACCATTCAAGACCCTATGAGCAATCAATCGTTTTCTTAGATGATTCAACTATTTATCCAATTGAGCACGAAACTGTTGTCAGATCTAGATCATGTGGAGAATCAAGTTCTAGATGTTCTATTTTTCTATATCGTTAACCCTCAGAAGGTACAACTCACTTCCTCGAGTAATTATCTTTTTGGTATTTTCAGTCAAATTTTCGAGAATCGTATAACATAGCCCGAGCAATATTTCAATCCCACACTTCTTTGGAGAGTGCCATAGAAACGGTTAAACTTTTTGTTTTTAATCTTCGCAACCTTTCTTTTTAGTTGTTGATCAAATCTTTAGTAGTGGGTGGATTCCCAGAGGAGTGTGAATTAGTCGGAAATTGTAAAAGAAAGCTTCATGAAGTGATTATTGAACTTCATCTGATTTCACCAGAACTCGTCAATCCTGTAATCCCTCAATTGAGTGGTTTCCTCAGAGTAAGTTGAACTTCTGAATATCTCGATCATACTGCTTATCCAGGATGAGGATTTCCAGTCAAGGCTCTTCGCCACGAAAACTATGAGCTGTCTTCTCGTCCATCCAAAGTGTGACATTGTTGATTCCCAGCCAGAAGTTTGGAAGACTTACCTCAATAGGTTTGTTTATAGTGTTTGATCAGCTTAATGTGGAATGATTTCAGGCAAAGAGATACCTCACGTGAAATTCGAGAAGAGTTTGCCAAGCAAGCTTGTAAGATTTTACTAACACATTCTCAGGTGCGAGGGGATTTAAGCCGTAAGTTTCGAGGTTCATAACTTCCACTCAAATAGTCATTTGTAGAAGGCCTTTTGCGATTGTTGAGTGATGCTGAAGATGAAGTTAGATTAGCTGCCTTAACTAGCGTAGTACAAGCAGCTCGTAGTAAGCTTGAAGCTGTCAATGAAACACTCATCTTGGCTTGTTGTCAACGAATGGTGGATAAGAAGGTAAGGAATTAGTTTGATATCCCCTTCATATCCATATTTAGCCAAACATTCGGCACGAGGCTTTCTCTAAACTTCTAACCCTACATTGTAAAGTAGTCTGTGGAGAGAATTACACAGAATCCGATAGACAAGTCGTAACCATCATTCCCGAGAAAGCTTTATGTTTATATCTGAGATATACTTCTGCTAAAATGGCTGAGTATAAGGAGGAAGGGTACGTTGCCTGCTTCTCTCCAATCTATCTTTTCTTGCATTCAGAACCATGCTTGAACGATATTTCTACGCTCTGATCATTCCAAGAACGATGGACCCTAAGAAACGAATTCCATTTATGGTGAACCTCTACTATAAACTCAATCAATATGCAAGAGAGTGAGTTTGATCTAACCTCTAACTTCTCACCTGGCATTCATTCAGAGCTTTTACTTGTATAATTAGTCGTAATGCAGCCTATAGAAGAATAGTTCGGGAAATCCTTGATTTGATCTCTAAAGACGATAAAGGCCTCGATAAAGCTAAACAGATTGATAGCAAAATTGAGAGAGTAGCTTCAGTTCAAACTGATGTTAATCAGGTATGGATTCTCTTGTATTTCAAAGAAATTCATTTAAATCTATTAGTTCACACTTGCCATGCGACAATTTACTAACATTCTTGCAACTGAGCCGAAATCTTTCAATTTGACTCTCAAAGTAGTAGGATTAGAGTATACTTTGGACGAAATTGAGAAGAGCGGGGTAAGTGTTCTGAACTTCTTCATCGAGATCCATCTTCTTCTAGAAAGAGTTGCTCAACTTCATTGCTAGTCGAAACCTGCCTAAAGAGCAGCTCAAAATCATCAGATACTTCATAGAAAGATTCGTTTGTTTTGTTATGGACAACGAGTCAGCTCACGTTAGTTTTCTTCTAATCCTCACCAGATTGTTCCTTTTCTTCAGGATCTCGTGCGAACCGTAATAAACGTAGATCGAGATGCTACTTGTGGAAAAACTGATGGAGATGAGAGAATTCGTTCTGCTCTTTCTCTTCTTCTTTCGTGGACGGACGGCTTTCCTCACCTGTTCCTCGAGGAGAAAACTCTTAAAACAGCACTGTCTTTACTAACGTCTTCTAACCCTTGTACAAGTAAGACTTCAAACGTAACTTCTCACTCTGTCATTCCTTTTCAGTTGAAGTCGGTGTGAAGTTTTATTCACTAATGTTCTCGAAGTACGCCGATAAAATGAAAGAGCGAGCATGTTTCTCTGAAATTCAAGATGTAAGTTTCGAAAAGTTCTTCCGTAATCCATATTTGAATGATACAGCTCACTTGGCGTTACATTGCTAGTAACGATCCTTACTTACACCATGTTTCTAAGCTGGCTTGCAAGCTTGCCTGTAAATTCGAAGAAAAAGAAGTCCTCAGTGGTCCAAATGGTCGATTCTCTGAAATCATTCCGGTAACATACCTCGACAGATATATTTGAAAATCTAATTCCTTTGCAGCAATTAGTTGAGCGTTTGAATATCGATGATCCAGGATGTTTGAATGCTCTTAGAGTGTTATCATTTATAAATAGCCGATTACCTACTCCTGAATTCGCGGCAACTATTAAAGAACTCATTCCTAACACAATACTTAAAGTAAGACAACTTGAAGCATAAGCATATCAAATAATTTGATTCCAGTTAATCCTTAGTAACCGAACTAGTGAAGATGACCCAGTCGATTTAGATTTAGATGATCAGAAAGAGCTGAAGAAGCAAAAAATGCCAAAATATACTTTACCCAAAGTAAGTTATTACTATCTTTTCCTGCAAATTTTTCCTCGTAGATTCACGCACTGAAGCTTCTCTGTCGTTGTCTAAACGGAGATGCTGATTATGATCCAATAGCTGCCAAAACATTGAACATCCTAGTAGGAATATTGAAGAATGGTGGCAATATTCATTGTCCGAAAGATAGAATCTGGTAAGACGACTTCATTCTTCAGTAGAGATCATCTCATTCGCTTTGCAGTAATATCGAGAAAGCTGTTCTGAGAGGAACTGCTGGATCTTGTGTTCTTCAAATATGCAATCGTTTGAAATACTGTAAAATGCTCAATTGCGAAACTTTCAGCAACCTGGCTTATTTAATAATAGTGAGATATCTGAAACCATTTGAAAATCTGATCCCTTTTTCAATCTAGGACCCCAGTGCTCCCGTTAGATCACATTTTGAACAACGTTTGATAAAGGGATTGAGGAGAACAAGATTACCAACTCAATTTCTATCTATCTTCAGTTTAGTGCCAACCCTAGAAATTGAAGGCGAAGCTGCTCAAACGTAAGTTCACCTTGCATTTCTATTAAGTTTTCTCCGTTTGTAGACATCAAGCAAACCTTCAGAGACAATTGGTTCAAACCCTTTCTACCCGGGTGAACGCTCTTAGCGTTTCAACTTTCCCTGAAAGTAAGCTATAGCGTTAAGACATTAAAGATATTCACATTTCCCAGAACTCAGACCTTTCTACCAAGCCGAATATGCTATTGCTTTTAGTATCCTTCTCTTATCGGAGAACCCGTTGTATAAAAAATACGATGATATTGAGTCCTTACGTTTCCTGCAAGAGTAAGTTGTACCTATGTGTTTCCTATACAATCAATTTTGATAGATCTCTTTGGTTCGTCATCGAAGCCTTTGTAATAAACAAGAGCTTCTATAACTTTGAGTTGATCTTCCGAAGTTTGGAACACCTGAGGCTTTCTACCAACGCGCAGGCTGAAGCGAAAGTTGCTCAGAAAAAATTGAGCAGGACCAAGTGTGATGAATTGAACAGAGTATGTCTTTTATCTCCTTTTCTTTTTATGATTTCCTTTTTCAGAAACTATGGGCTCTGACAGACCTGGCAATCATCATGATTCTATATAGAGGCAAAATACAAACCAAAAATGATCCCGTAACACCTATGCTACCTAAATCCGTTTTTGGCACATTGAAGAATGGAAGTGAAAAGGTTACCGCTCACCTGTCAGATATATATACTTTTTGCTTATTAGGTTTTTGCTCCTGAATCCATGATAGAAGAAGAAAAGAAAAGAAAAGGACGAATACCGCATAAAGTGAAAAGACCTCTGGGTTGCAACACTGTCAACAAAGTCAACGTGATGACCATCACTGAAGATGATGATGATGATGATGATGAAAATGAGAACGAAAACGAGAACGAAGATAGAAATACTACGCTTGATGTTCCTGAAGATTCAGAAAATGACGATTTTGTTGAAGTGAAAACGAAGAGGACACGTAGGTCTACGAAAGAAGCGGCGCCACCGGTGGAAAAGAAGGAAAACACTCCTCAGAAGAGAACTTCCTCTCGTAAAAGAGTGGCTGCTGGAAAGTCAGTGAATGAAAGTGAAAAGGTTTCGTTTCATACCTGGTTATCGTATATATATACTCTATTTACAGGCCTCTGAATCCGTGACTGAAGAAGTGAAGAAGAGGAAAGGACGATTACCTCCTAAAGTGAAAAGTCCTTCTGGTTCTAATGCTAGCAAAGTGAATGTGTCGTCCGTTGCTGAAGATGATGATGATGATGATGCTGAGAATGAAAATGCAGATACTGCTCCTGAAGAATCGGAAAATGAAGATTTCGTCCAAGTTAAAGCAAAGAGGACTCGAAGGTCCGCTAAAGAGGCTGAGCCCGTGGAAAAGAAAAAGAGTTCTCCTCAAAAAAGAACTTCATCTCGTAAACGACTAACTCCTGCTAGCAAAAAATCTAATATTAAAGAAACGTCTCCTGTGTCACCTGTTGCTAAAAGATCTCTGCGGAGTCGAAAATGAATAAAGTTCTCATTTCATTTTTTTCTTATCATTTACATTTTTATTTTTAGAAATTTATATAGGAATGCATATCACATCGGGCAATGCGAACATGGCAACGTTGAATATCATTTCTAGCCTAGTGATGGATATCTTCAGGATGGTGTTTCTCATGAAGTAATCTATGTCTTTTCGCGATGGGATCTTCTGCTATGTTCAAGTAGTGATGGTTAACAAAGCGTCCTAACTTAAAAATAAACAATTCTGTTAGTTAAACTCTAATTTCTTTTTCATACCTGAGCTGTTTGAGCAGTGAAATTGGTGCAATGGCATGCGAACAGAAGTAAATTACGAGGTTGAACATGCCAAGCAAATCTATGAGTACGATGAAGATCCTGTGTGCAATGTCTTCTCACCTCATGAACACAGATGAATATATACAAAGAGCAGATGTCATAGGTCCGCTGATCATATCTGGGCTTTTCTAAAAAGGGTTCAAGAAGTTCATTTTCTTATGCAAACCTCCAAATCAGCAAGAGCAGCAAGAGGTAGACCCCAGTTGGCAACGGGTCCCCAGAAATGGGTGCTCATGAAGTAATGGCGCCATTCGGCAAGAGAGTGCTTTTTGAAGTACCCAACTACATGCCCAACTGCTTTTGACATCTGAAGCAATGGATTTGAAACGATGTGCTCAAACGGAATAAACGAAATAGTAGACAAGAAATATCAATAGACAAATGATAACACTTCAATCATGCCATCATACGATTCAACGAAATAAACGAAAAAAAAAGTAAAGGTTGTATCAATTTGGTCTCGAAACGATCGCAACTTAGTTAAGTAGAAAATACATCCATTGGTGTGCTTGATCTCGTAAGCAGAATATAGAAACAATAAGATCTCCATTAATCAACACCACTTCTACAATGAGCAATCCAAACCACATGAGCGGCTTCGAACCTAAAAATCAGGGATATCATAGTAAGTTCATTTTTTTGGAAACAACTATCAACTTTCGCAATTACAGGGGGTCGTGGAGGATCTAAGTATGAAACAGCTCCGTCTATGGAAATTATTGAACCTTTTCAGTTATAACAGTTTTGATAACCATAGAGGAGGTGGTCGAGGAGGCGGACGAGGAGGAGGGTATCATAGAGGAGATGGTTTTCAACGGGGACGTGGTGGGCAAGGTTTTCATAGAGGCCGAGGTGGTCAAAGAGGATTTCACAGAGGCGGCGGCGGCGGAGGCCGCGGAGGAGGTGGACACCGACAAGATGTGAGTTATAGAAGGAAGTAGTAATGTTCAAAAACTATTTTAGCAAGGCCCATTTGATCCCAAACAATACGTGATACCACAGATGATCACTAATCCATGGTACTCATTAGAAAAGCAATACGCAGAGCAGTTACAATCAGAAAATGATCAGCAAACTTCGTCAATGTGATATATCTGACGGTGTACAAAAAAACTGAGTTCATTCATCAGTTCTTAACTTTTATGAAATTTCGCTATTAATGCAATGAAGCTATTGATTACATAACGCTTAAAACAATATGAAACCGCCAATACGTGTACCTGCATGTGGATTTATGAAATCATAAATGAACAAACTTAATTAAGTTAACAGTTTGCTATGCTCCGTTTTAAAATTATGTTTTAAGTACATTAAAAGCAGCAGCACAGAAAATTCTTGTTATCCTGAAAGCATAAAAACTTATTGTTGGATTAAAAGAGAAGTTTCAGAATGCAATGCCTGCGCGCGTAGCGTAACCGACCGATCACCAGCCCGTTATCATTATGAATGGAATCACGACGCAGCCAAGCTCACTCGTTACAACTCGTCAATTTAATAAAACTCACTCTATGCACGAGAACTACAATCCGTAGAATTAACATCAAGATCCTCCACCAAACTCCATTTTTGGTACTTCGAGAGCTCGTTTCACATTTATATTATACCGTAACATTAACAAAACATGTAATGCACATCATAGACAGAACAAACAATTCAAGAACAGTTGCTATATACGGTCTAGATAGAATATAAAAAAACAGCTTGGTAGATATCGCATATGCATTAGCAAGATAAATAGCGAGATGGAGAGGATGAAAACCAAGAGGCTTTACAAAACTATAAATTAAGAACAAACCCAAAGATATGAGAAATCTACCCAGGCATTACCTGCACCATAAATATAACCATTGCTCTTTTACAATCTTTTTCTCTACTTTGTAATCTCGAATTAAACAGTAAGGGGGGGATGAGTACATTTTGGGTAAAAATGATTAAGACATAGTCTTTAATAGCGAATGCGCATCATATCTGTTCTTAAGACCAGACTTTTCTTATTAAGTCTGCAAAGAAATTAGTTAGTTTCAACTGAAAATGTTACTTTCACTATGAAACACATAGTTGAAGGATGACTTACCTGAAAACGAACAAAAACCTTTGACAGCACCCTGAATATAACTATTGTGTCCATCAAGAATAACTATAAACTTGTGTGGAAATGATAGGATAGCTTCTCACTTACCTATGCATATCACAAGGAACGTTTATTCGTAGAAATTCTAACATAGAACAAATCGCATCAACATCAACAACAATATAAGTAAGCAGAGAGAGAGAGAGAGAATGATAGAGATCTACAAAAGAATATTCTTGTAGTGATGGACTCGAAATGCGTTACCTGATACTGCCTGCTAGCCGCCTCCAGCAAGACATCTTCCTATTAGCACCAGAAAACTGCAAAAGAAATTTTAGACGCAGAACAAAAACATAAATGGTTAGTTTCCTTTCATAAATCTCTTAGGAAGTATCTAATCTGACAACAATCTAACTCTCTCTCCCCCCTCTACTTTGTAAAACGCAAGACTTGAAAAACTACCATCTAAGGTAATCCTTCCGTGAATAAGTTCATCAACTCGGAAGTGTCACAAATGCGATGCAACGTCCACTAGCAGAACTGTCTAGATAGTCTACATCATCTTCAGAACTGTTTTGTAGAATGAGGTTTTGGCATCCGCGAATAAAAATAATCCCGAACTATATATTCTTTTAAACAGAAAAAGAAACACGAGTATCAAGTTATTACGGAATATCACACCCCTACACTTACAAACCGAATGAAGAAACGAAAACAAAGGAATGACGACTCTTAAAACAGATAACAACTTTAGGTTAACAAATCCCAGAATTTATCAAGATTCGATTTGGCTGGTAATGACTGAGTATTAATGGTTACAACAGAAAAGTTCAAAAAAAAACCTTCTAATTTCAATAAAAGTACGTATCTACTCAGAAAAAAATACGATAAAATATAAAAATATAATAACTAAAATGTAATAAATTTACAATCTCAATGCTATCTTTCATGTTGAATTAGATTACACTACATGTTCAGCTCCATACTTACCTGCTAATGAATCCAAAATAGAGAGAACTTGTTCTTTAGCTGATTGACCCGTGGTTAAGGAAGACGTGTCACCCACAACACCCTAATCATAACTTATCAATACTCGCTTTCATGTCTCTGGCTCTACCTTTAGTGTGTTCAATACTTCAACACAAGCGGATTCCGGTAAATTTTGTAAAACAGCTCTGAGAGGCGAACTGTCCTCTCGATTACGCAAGACTCTAGCTACAGCGTCATTTATCGAAGCAGCTTAAAGTACCTGCTATCAAAAACAATAATCACTAAATCGCTTACCGTCAGCAGTTGGATTAGGGCGATCTGGAGGACGCATGGGCAATGCCGGTCCACTCTGCAAAGTAGGCGGCGGCTTTCCAAACTTTCTTTCTTTTCTCTGTTTCTTACTCCATAACTCATGACAATCCTGCAAGTATACTCAATAGAGCCATTGTTACAGAACACCTTACTTGATTTTGAGGCAGGCTGAGCCGTGCAACTTGATGGGGATCAATATGCTTTACCCATTTATGTCTCAGAGCTTCTGAAGCAGACAATCGTTTCTTAGGGTCTAATACAAGCATTTTGTCCAACAAATCGAGAGCCTCTTCTGGCATGAGACTGAAATCATAAGATTAAATGAATGTCACCTAGGTTTAAACACTTACGCTCCGAATTCTTCCCGTAAAACTCTTCTATATAATTTTTTAGGACATAATGTATGATAAAGAGGCAAGGTTTCAACATCCGGCCAATTTTCTGGCGAAGGAGATCCACACACTTTCGAAATAAAGTCGAGCTGTACAGGCTCATTGTTTCCCATGAATATTGCCTTTTTGGTGAAGAATTCAGCTAATATACAACTAAACGGTCATAAATTAGTTATCGATTTTCAAAAGAATAACAAACCCGACGCTCCATACATCGACTTGTGGCCCGTAATGTTCCTCGCCTAACAACAACTCTGGTGGTCGATACCACAGTGTGATTACTCTGTTCGTGTACAGTCTTTTCTGGTCTTCATAGTAAAGCCGAGCGAGTCCAAAATCAGCAATTTTTAATTCACCTCTGGAAAAGATAATTGAGATGGAGAGCTTGAGTAACAAGACACACCTGTTATTAACAAGAATATTACTGCATTTAATGTCTCTGTGCAAAAAGTTGGCGCTATGGCAATACTCCAATCCCTGAAAACGTGAAGAAGTATAAAATCAAGTGTGAAGAACTCGTACCTGAAGTAGTTGTTTGAACATGCCGGCGATTTGATCAGGAGTGAAAGCAGGAATCAAACTGTTTGCCGATGCTTCTAATAAACCTGTCAAGTCATGATCCACATATTCGAAGACAAGATAGAAATTGACTGTAAGAGTAAGATTGCCAATCATAATTCAGTTTCTTCTTACCTTTGTCACATCGAAGATCATTAGTGGTTTGTTTATCCGTCACAATGTCATGCAACTTCACGATGTTTGGGTGGTTTAACTGCCGCAAAATTTTTATTTCACGCACAGCTGTGATAGGGAAGCCTTCCTTCTCGTTTTCAAGCCTCACTTTTTTCAAAGCGACCCTTTCTTCTGAAAATTATCTATGCTTTACTAGTCTGTCTATATAAGCTACCTGTTGATCTGTCTCTGGCTTTGTAAACTTGGCCATAAGTTCCTTCACCAACTTGTTCCACAATTTCGTATTTTTCGACGAAGCCACTGCCCCATTCGCTGGATAAATCTATCTCCCGTCTTTCTTTATTAAGTACACTGAAAAAAATTCATGAGAATAGAGAATACTTGAAGTAAACGTACACTGGTTGTTCATAATTTCTTTTTTGGGATTTTGGAAGAGGTAGAGATCTAGATGATGAGGAAGATGAAGGAGTCGCAACCGATAAGTGAATAGTGTTTTCAACTTTCACAGAAGGAGCTGCGGGTGGAGGGGGGAACATATTAAGACCAGGAGGCAAAACCCCCATAGGGGGTACAGCACCTGGCGGTAAACCAGGGCATGCAAATAATGGAGGGGGTACGTTATAGTTTTGACCCTAAAAAAAAATGATTATAATGTAAATGTTATAATACAAATGCTTACCGGCAGGATAGGAGGAGGTGGGGGTGGTAGAGGTGGAATTGCTGGGAAAAATGGATTCATAGTCATTTGAGATTGTGTCGGAGGCGGTTGAGGAACCGGCATAACCATATTCTGAAAAAAATGAAGTTAAAGCTTATGCAGATATGATAACGAACCGTATTGTAAAAACTGTACTGATGGTGCTGTATAGAACTGCTTGATACACCCGAGCTAGAAGTGCTAGGCTTAGTAGATTTCTGAGAGGCTAAGGTTATTAAATTGTATTGTGAGAGCTGACCACCTTCATATCATCACTACTTGTGCTAGTGGAAGAACTATCTCTTTTCCGCTTATGACTTTTTCTCTTCGACTTATACTTTCTTGGTTCGCTATGCGTAAATAATGAAGACAGTTTTCCTCCATGCTTGAGGCTGCAAGTAGTTTTTACAAACTTTTACGCTTGATTGTAGCCTACTCTGTGTAATCACAGCTCGAGTCTGACGTGCTAGAACGTCTTCTTCGTCTTCCACGTGATCTTGAGCTATGCGGAGGAGTGCGAGAACGTGTTCGAGACCGCGTTCGGGAGCCGGATCTATCACGTCTTGAACATATTAACTATACACTACTAATAAGAATCTTCTTACCTAGACTTACGGTCCCTCTTTCTATCGGATACTCTTTTACGGTCGGAATCTCTTCGACTTCCTTCTCTACTATCTCTGCCGTTTTTATTATCTCTGTCACGCCTTGAAAAATCTCGATCTCGGGACCGTGAACGCCTAAAATTGTTTTGATAATTTGTTAATATTGTTGAATAGGCGGAGATACTATTACCTTTTAGGTGACGGAGACCGCTCCCTCTTTTTCTTTTTATTACTTTTATGACGAGGACTCAAATCGTTGCTTTTATTCCTGGAGTTTCTACCCGAAGAACTAGGGGATATCCCTGTTGATTCTAAGCGCAAACATATCAAAGAAATGTAAACGAAAATGTACCTTTAGATTGTGTTCTTCCATTGGCAATACTAGGAGCCTCTGCGGAATTCGATTCCTCGCTGACCGAGTCGAAGCTCATTTCAGCCTGACGCAGTTTTGTTAGTTATTGTTTTTGAGAAAGAAAAACTCACTTTGGATAAGTTATCCACTTTGATATTATTGTGTTGGTTCAGCCAATGTAGAAACTGTAAATATAGAATAAGGTAGACTGAATTATACGATAAATTAAAGCTTATTTAGAAGCCTTCTGCGATATGTGTCGGTATTGATGACGAATTGGCGTTATTGAGGTGGCACACCAAATGCGTCAAGTCTTGCGCCATTTGCGCTGGCGTTTTTTTGAGTCGAGCGAGGATTAAAGCATGGACTTGAAGTCTGCATCGCAATGCAAATTTTCAAGAGAATTGTCACTGATGTTTAACTAACAATAGCTTTCCAACAGTAATCCACACCTCTTGCACATCTTCAACATCTATTAAAATGAGAATACTTTTTCAAGAAATTTTTGTTGAAGTACAGTAAACCTTCAAGTTTCGTTTGAAATCCATACTGTTCGCCACCCGACAGGAATGTGAATAGCGAACAAGAAAAGAAAATTCTTTTTGTAAATACTCCAATAAATGAAAAATCACAAAACTGTTGCTTCGGATGTTCTTCATTCAAATTGATTAGGTTCAACCAACACATGATTCATTTGAAATCTTGTTTGTGCGTACAAAAATCTACTCCCTACCTCTGAAACATTTCAACCCCCCCCCTCCTCCTCAATTGTGATATATGTCGTTGTTATTTTTTTCATTTGTTGACATTCCAATAATTCAGCCACTTCCGCTTGAATGATTCACAGTTATCTGCCATTTGGCTGATGTCCAGCTCATCTTTAACGTATTTCCTGGCTTTCGAAACAAAGAGTTGATCACAATTGTGCTGCCCAGTGCACTAGCGCCAAACCATTCTTCAATTAGCCGCTGCTCTCCCATCATTTCATAGTCAGCTGTTAGGCTCCCAATGTCTCTCGTTGTGATAGCGTCCATCGCCTCCGCGAAATGCTATCCTTTCGATTTCTTGCGCATTCTTGCGATAATTCTTCCCATTACTATATGTTATATTATTAGATTGTTTCTTCAATCTCCTTTCCTCTCACAGTTATCGTATATTTCTCATTTTTTATTATTTCAATTCTAAAGTGTTTGTGTATGCTTACGAAATGAGTCATGTTTCCTTTCTAAGATTTCTCATTTCTCATCATTTCTAGGAGAATGAGCGCCAAGAAGTGTGCTCGCGAAGAATGTGGAAAGTCTGTGTATCCCATCGAAGAATTAAAATGTCTGGATAAGGTATGCGATCTGTCAATTGTTGTTTTCATCTGTTGTTTATCGCTCATAGGTTTGGCACAAACAATGTTTCAAATGTACAGTCTGTGGAATGACTCTCAATATGAAGAATTACAAAGGATACGATAAACGTCCATACTGTGAACCGTAAGTACATCTACAGATCTTTGTTAACCATGTCATCCTCTCAGTCACTACCCCAAAACCGTAGCTTCTTCTGTTGCCGACACCCCAGAGATGAGGAGAATAGCCGAGAATACGAAAATCCAGAGTCAGGTTGGATATTCCTCTCCATTTTATGATAATTATATGAGACATATGTTGGGAATTTTGATTGCTTCAGGTGAAATATCATGCTGAATATGAGAAGATGAAAGGAACCAAAATTGAAATCGCCGACGATCCCGAAGTTACTCGCCACATGAAAAATACAGCGGTACGAGGTGTTAAATATTTAGGAAGACAGGTTTCGTTTCTAGGCGCAATCCCAACTGGCATATACGGGAGAAATTGAAAAGAGGAAGAAAATGGAGGAGGTTCGACCAACTGAAATGAGTGCGACAGACGGTTCAGGTGGGGAAAATTTAGATGAAGCGAAATATCCTATAAAAGTAACTGTATATAGTAAATAGAAAGTTAGATAGATACCTAGGTTGCTAGATTGATCAGCCAGAGAGCAAAGTTACAGATTTGAGTTATAGCTAGTATAGATTTTTTAAGTTTCTTTCACTCTGTTTGTTTTGAACGTTCCTAGTTTGGATGTTGCTGTTATCTCTCTTTCCGGTTGTTTTGTGATCTCCATTTCGGAGGTTTTCAAGTTTTGTGAATGCTTTCAGTAGTTGTATTCTCTCAATAATCGCGCTTCCATAAAGTTTTCAATCGACCAGTGTGAGATTACAACGAGTGATCTTGGCCATTGAAACTAATGTCTGCCATTCAGTTAGCCAAATGGAAATAGCACTCGAAGAACTTTGATATCTTAAACTTCATTCAAATTTTTCGTGTGATGTACTTACTTACAAACGTTTACAGGATTAGGTAGAGTAACTTCCACCCCACTGGAAACGCCGGCATTTAATCCGTCGACGATCTCTCCGTCAGAACCTCCGTTTAATTCAAGAATTAACGAACAACCGTCTTTAATTTATTCTTCTGATAAAGGACCTGTAGGCATGTTTTTCTTAATATTTCTTTTTCTACTAATCATCCACTTTGCTTGTTTTTTCTATGCAATTCTGTTCTTTGAAATTACCCGCTTATTGCATCTCTTTTAGTCAACCAGAATCCGGCAAGACAAGTCGGAAGTATTGCTGATTACGATCCTTTAAATGGTCAATGGGGGTCTGTCGGACACAACAAATCAAGTAAGTCGGAGTGCTTTTGTATTGCTTAGCTTCTTCTTGGTGTGCATTTGATTGAGGACAAATGATATTTTTCCTAATCTTTTCCAATGATTAAGAGAGCCTTAGCGCGTGTGTGTGAACTTCATAGAGTGCTGTGTTTTAGAAGAAGAGGCTCGGTATTGCGTGGATTTTGCAGAAGAAGTCGCACAAAGAAGAGAATCCAATGGCAGTATTACATCTCCACCCAATGGGAAACAAGTTGGTTTCGCTGTAAAGGCTCTCTATGACTACTCAGCTGCTGACAAGGACGAGGTAACACAAAAACAAGTTGTCCCCCAAAATATTGAGATGATTGCAGGTGTCTTTCTTGGAAGGCGATATTATAGTGAACTGCGAGAAAGTAGATGAAGGATGGATGACCGGAACGGTCCAGAGAACATTACAGTGGGGCATGCTCCCGGCCAACTATGTCCAATCATACAAGCTGCCGACTGGGTTGCACAGAATTAAGTAGTGCATTTCTTCGTCGGAACCACGCGCATTTGCACATTTTTCGAAACTCCCATCATATGTAAACAGATTGCCTTCACACATAATCAAGAGCATATTACAATATATTAACATGGCATATTATTATAAGAATTAATATCATTCATAATTTATGCATAAGAAATCATCGTCTCGCTTGTTCCAAAAATGTTGTCAACATCTTGTTTTATTTCTAACTACAATTCCTTCATTAATGTTGCTTCTATATGTAGATATCATTCTCATGCTTAATATACAAACTATTGCCGGGTGTTAAGTTTATCTTTGTTTAGCTTATTTATATAGTTTTATGAATTGAAGCTGGCAGATTTATACGAAAGCTTGCTTGAAATTGTTTGAAGTGCCTTGGCGTTTGATCTTTTTTTCTCAAAATAGTACTCAGATGTCTCAAAATACATTAAATATATTTCTTTTATTCATTTTTCATATATTCAGGATTGAAGTCTTTCAGATGTCGTCTTTCAACGATGAAGAAGGTAATAATGAACGGGCTATCAGGCCGATTAAAACATCCGACAAGGTATTCAAGCTGATTCTAGTGACATAGCAAAACGAAAATTTCTAGTCGAAGATAGTTGCATTGCCGAGAACTCTGACGACTAGGAAGGAAATACGTTCCATTCTTCCTGAGGATGAATACATTGACAAGCTTGACCAAATCATAACGAAAAATTATTTCCCAGAAGTAAATAAAATGAAGGTACAAATCGTATGCCTGATCTCTCTCAGCTCAAGTTTGTGTTATAGGCTCAAATAGAATATGTCAACGCTGTGACAAACAATGATGTTGTGAAAATTAGAGAGTTGCAACATCGATTCAACACCCAAAGACGTACGGATAGGAGAACATCTCCATCTTATCGGATGGGTACACAGCCTAAGGATGTGTTACCTTCTCCGGCTCAGTTTGATCCTGACACGCCAGGACCTAGTCGTGGACGAGCAAACTCTCCTCCGCGATACACAAATATCGAAGGAAATAATGACGTGAGTTTCTCTGTGACAATAGCAAGACATTACCAAGTTCTCTTCAGTTGTATATGGAGAAGAAGAAGCTTAAAAAAGATAAAGATGTTGAGAACTTGTCTATCGATGGTGAGTTTGCAATTAGGAACCATGTAATTCGTAAAGCGCTTCAGGCTTCTTCAGCAAATACACATCAGAAGACAATGCTTCGTTTGAAGAATTAGCGGTTATGGCTCAGAAAAGAGAGCAGGAGAAGAATAAATGGATTTATGAGGCAGCTGAAAAACATAATAAGGAGTTAGTTGTTCAACAAGCCATAGCTGCTGACGCTGATGTGCAATTAGCCTTGAAATATGAAAGAGAGGCCAAAAATGGTTCGTCGAGAGTTTTTTTTACGTCCCAACTTGATTTTCATGTGTTCAGATAAACCATTAGCGCTAGACAATTGGGCCTTCAAAGCACGAAGCAGTGTTCTGTTTTATCCAGAAGGGGCTGAGTTGACAGTTGAAGAGAAAGTAGAACAAGCTAAACGTAATCAAAGGATCATTAATAAAGAAGCCACGAGATTCCCGGATGATGTCAAAAATAAAGTGAATACTTCATCTGTAAACAGAACCTCGATTCTACAAGCTGCTTTCAACTCCGGAAAAGTTGATATCACGGGTAAAGAAGCAGGAGCTCCACAAATGGACGTTTTGGCTACACCTACTCCTGCGCCAGGAGTGGATGACACTCCTCTGATGACCTGGGGAGAAATCGATGGAACACCATTCCGGCTAGACGCTACTGATGTAGTCTGCCCTCCCGAGGATGCTCCTGCTTTCAAGGTGATTGCTCAATGTTTTGATTGCTTTACTGTAATCTATTTTTCAGATGCCAGAAGTGCCTCAACGAGAGTTAGTTGCTCAGGGAATGACTGATAAAATATCCAAGCAGTATAGAGAGCGCAAACGAGCGGCTATGGAAATTGCTGAGAGGGCACAGTAAGTCAATTGAGTGATTTGTTCAAGGTGATCATGACAATTTCAGCAAAACCCCTTCCTTCGGATCTGTCAGATCAACAAACGCTAGGAGTATATTCTCTCCAGCAGCTAAGCAACTTTCCAACAAGCTAGGGATCCGTTTAGGATCAGGTAGCAGCTTGCTCAGGAAAGAACCAATAACACCAAAGTATCATAGTTTACACTTTAAGAATCATAACAACCCTGTTTTAGTGTTCGAACGCCTTGGTCTACTAGCTCTGCTCACTGTGCTTCACCTAGTAGTGTATCATCAATGGTCAGATTGAAGAAACCTCCGCCAAAGATCTCGATCACGGATAACTTGATGAATGTGAGTTTTGAAAAGATTTGAAGGTTTCCAAAGTGCTTTGTCCAGATTAATGATGCGGGAACTGGCGACGACGAGTCGATGAAAGGAGCTTCACGACCCAAAGCAAGCGACTTCTTCTAAAGTCAAGGAACATGTGATAAAAAAAACATTTTTAATAAAACTAATCCACTATCACAGTTTGCTAGACACAATTACTCAAGGCATGCTTAATAAGGAATGTCAAAATTAAGTGATACAGTTAATCAAAGCTATTTTAAGCTTCAGCTTTCTTTGCTTCAGCTTCTTTCGCTTTAGCTTCTTCTCGCTGCTGCTTCCAACTTGAGCCATCCAAATTGATCCACTCTAACCAATCATCAACGATTGATCTCATGTGCTGCAATGATAGTTTAGAAAAGAGACCAATCTTTGAGATAACCTTGTCATACACTACTCCACTGAAAGCAATTAAAGCTTTGTCATCTTTGATACAGAAACTATTAGCGAGGAAAGCGTCAACTTTTGCTAGTAGCGCAAGATATTCACCTTCCTTAGTGAATCTCATGAACCGTCCAGTTTTATCCATCATGACAATATCATCCTTATACCTTAACATGCAACATTCTATATATTTTCAGTAGTTGTCTTACGGTCTGATAGAACGTGGGAAGAATATCTTCTCATCTTCTTTACCAGCTTCACCGAAACTTTTCATAATTTCTCCGGTCGTAGTATTGATTATCACTACTCGTTGTCTGGAATAGTCATCATAGATAAACTGGAAAGAGGATATGATCCTACTTTGAATACAAATTGACTGGTCTAGAGGCGATTGAACACATCAAGCGATTTTCGTCTAGTATACAGAGAGTTTGGAAACATTCAGCTTCCTCCAAACTGCACAACTTTTCGCAATCAATCGGACATTCGATAGTTGTTCTGAGAAATAGTAATTTAGACACTCAGTACATCGTTATCCCTACTTGTAAATAGAGGAATCCTTACCCTCAGGTTGTTTACTGAAGTAAATATCTCCATTCTCAGTGATAACCAGAGAAAATACTGAATGAGATATAGAGCACTGAATGAAAATGGGATATTACGCAATCCATCAATATACTGCTCTGTTTTCAATTCTCCATTTAAGGTATAAAACTTCATTTCTGTTGTTTTCAACTGATCTTCTGCTGAAGTGTAGATGATCTGAATGTCAAATGTACTCAAGGCAGTAGCGGATCAGTACCGTATCCTTGTGGCAAACTACTTGAGGAAAACCTGCCATCTTCTTAGGGAATGGGTTCTTGCTCATCCATAGAGTTGTTCTGCGTTCAGGGTCGAACTTGAAAAGCCCACCTTTGCTGGCTACCCAGATGTTTCCTTCAGTGTCATGACATACAGAGAATGGTGTAGAAGCTGCTCGTGGTGTGAGGTGGATGAACATCTCATCAAACCTCTGCATATCCGAAGTATCAGAGGCAGGTTCCACCATTTCTGTAAAAATTATGCAGTTTAATAAAGCTGTGCTATTCGGAAAAACTGTTGGAACACTTCTGTAATGTCGATTGTTGAAAGTTCAAATGTTGATCCTTCACTACGTCCATTACGCATTCTATCTTCTACCGTAACAGAAAATCGAAAACTGGTGAACTCATTATAGACAAGTACAATCATTTATGAAAATCAGAAATAGTTTTTCAATGCTTATTACTCGCTATCCAAATTCAACTAGTTCCCTAATCAGACCGCATTTGAAGCATCTTCGAAACACTAAGCATGCGTCATGAGCGATGAAACAGCAAAGACACTAGACGGTCAAACGCTGTTTGATGACAATCTGAGTGCTCATAGCTTAGAGAAGCTCTATGGTATGTCATCAAATGACACGCTATGACTCCATATATGTAGTAGATATCGTCGGCTTATCATTGAATTTCTGATTCACCTAAAGACCGACGATGCTCCTTGACTGTTTTTTTGTCGAAAAATAGACATTGTTTGTTGTCAAGATAGTTATAAAGTATTAAATCAAAAAGAGGAAGAGGATTACTCAGGCTGAGTATAACTACAGAATCATTTCCTAAGCTAATTCATACATAATACACAAAATTTTTGTATAATACATTTTTGTCACAAAAACGATTTATGTTTATTAAACGTAATCCGTGTTGTGTTAATTTTCATTGTATTATACTCTTCAGTTATTCGATTACTAGAAGTGTGTTTTTCTTAACTATGTTTAATTTAGATCTTATTGAGTATGCCAACTTTTGCTTCTACTAGTTCAAGGTTGGTTTCACTAGTTTGTTTTTTCTATACATTTTAGAAATATCAATTTGAAGATACAATGTTCCCTTCTTTCAGATCAGTTCCAATTTTGGACGCTGATGAGGTTGGAAAGCAACTTGACTTGGATCCAAGAACTGTGGAGTGGTTACGGAAAGAGCCTGCAAATGATGATGACCCTATTCTAGTATTAAACTACCAAAATGCTTTTTTGAACAATGGAAATTTCGATGTGAACAAGCAGATAGTGTCAACCGCATTAGTACGTATTTTTAAATATTTATTTTGTTAATTTTGATTTTTTCAGACCAATTTGGGTGCTACTCATATAAGCGATAATGTGTATAAATTTGATGATTGGCAAACAATGCATGCCGCTAAGCATAGTATGTGGGTAGATATGCCGTGGTGTTTTTTTCATCCACATCTTGCCACAGCTCAACAACTTAACATCAGTCAGCAGCCGACGATCACAACCACAGCCATTAGTTGGTTTACAGAAACAACAGGCAAATTGACTATACAGCCGTATGAATTCTTTGAATTGTAAAGTTTCTGTATATCAAAAAAGATAATTGAAATAAAATTATTATCATTTATTCATTTGTTTGACTAATGCACCTTTCTTCAAGATTTCACGGGATTCGTAATTTCACCGCCGAGAACATTAAAGAGTATTACTCTCGTTTTTCTTAAATCAGTTTAATATGTGGAACGATAAACTTCATTCCATCATACCATTCTTAAATGTTTTTTTCCACGCATACGAAGTACGGAGAAAAAAAACTGAAGCCTATTTATATGAAGCGTAAATCACAACTTATATGCTGGTCCGATGTCGTCGGGTTACCTTCAGAAACTCTCCCGGAGGCGCTTGTTCGACTGTGTATACTTTTTTATTTTCCTTCTAATCAACAATGATACATGGATACAATAACTCAAAATTTTTTTATCTGAACCAAATCTATAAATAAATTAGTTTATTACACCCCGAAGAACGGACTCACAAGCATTAATTTGAAGAGGTGTACCCAAAAGTGGAGATTTTATGGAAAAGTTATTTCCTGATCTTCTACTCTTATGATTAGAAAAAGATCTTCAAAATCCGTTTTACAAAAAGCAAACAATAACAATGAGACCCCCAGCTCGGGAACTCCCTTATTGCCCCCGAAGCGCCGAAATGCACTCCGGTAGAGCTCGGGAAGATCTCATGGTTATTTTGTTTAAACATTTTAATTTTTTTTTTAAATTTGACATTTCATTTCAGGTTTCGTACACCATAGAAGTGTAGAAAAAGCAATTTCGAAAACAGAATAACTGCACCGCCATAAGTAATCTTTCTACTGATAAGGAGCTATGATTATTTAAAATAAAAAAAAGCATAAAATAACAAAAACGGTCAAGTGAGCGACACCGGGGTTGTGAACGATAACCCGAAGCCATCGGACCAGTTAATGACATAGCATCCGCTCAGTATTTATAACCGTCCTATTTTTTTCCCCGTATTTAAAGGGAGTGCGGCTACGAATAGTGTGAAATTTTGGAGAACAAAAGCAAAACTACGGTCAAGTGAGCGCCAACGAGTTCATCGCCGACATCGGACCAGTAGGAACACTAAACCCCCGACCATATATTAGATTTACAGGAAAGTTAAAAGTAAGCTCCGAATAAGTAACCCCTCTTTGTTATCACTTCGTATTCCATACGCGTGTAATTCGAAACTGTATGAATCAACAGAGGAATAATGAAAGAGCGAACGACTTGATAAGATCAAGTTGTATTCCACCTTTGATATGCAGTTGTATGACTTATGGACTTAGTGCTATTATAATTATTGTAGAACCTTTAACTATAATGAACTTTATATGAACTAAATGAAATGTTCTTACTTCAATGGTATTCATGTTGCGATCATACTGCTCATACACTACACGCACTTGTTGCTAGTTAACGGTTGAATAATTTCACAGTTTTACTTGCGTTCAGTTGAGCTCACAGAATTTATTGGTCATGTCTTTATGTGCCCAAGCGATATGAAGATGGTGTTAGTCTTAGTACTATTTCTCCTACTAAAGAATATTTTTTGGGTGAATTCATATCAAATCAAAATCTGTTTTCTTCTGATTTTGACCCTGTCATCAAGAACGGGATTCATAATTTCACCGCCGAGAACATTAAAGAGTATTACTCTCTAGTGTTACCCAGAAAATGTTAAGTTCAATAGGTTTTGGTAGTTTAAGTCGTGTCACTATTCGTTTACCGCAGACTTTAACTAGTGACGAACTCGTCATGGTAATTGAGGAATTTCCTTGTTTACTATTCAAAGCAGTCAATTAAACGGCGGGGCTATGAGACTTAATTCATTTCATTATCGTAGGTATCCATTATTAAGAAATTTAGCGTTATTGACAAGTCTTTAACCCAAGAGAAGTACCAAGTTGTCCAAAAAGATATGGGATCGAATCCGGTGCAGTTTGTAAATGCTGAAATACCCTATATACAGTGTTGCTGTCCTATTTTATCTACAACTGATGTACAATGGCACCATGATTACATGACATCTACACACAATACTTCCCTTACTTCTAATAATAGTTTTAAAAAATCATAATAATAATATATTTATGACTTCATCTATTTATGACTTCACCCCAGCCGATATAGTAGCTCCCTCAATAATGGTGAAACTATTAGAGATGGTGGGGTTGTAATATTTGACCCTGTTGTGTTTTTATTCATGTTGCGCTCATACCACTACACGGATAAATATCCGATGTTACTCGATAATTATATATCGTAACTATTAAGATAACATGAGCGTGCCATAAACTTAAGGGCTTGAACATCCCAACAGTACGCATCACAAGAATAATGAAATAGCGAACGGCTTCAACCACCAAATATGATCTATCCTACACTTCTTCTTCTCAAACTTCAAGACTTTACAAAGAAAAATTGAACACAATATACTAGAGAGAAATTCCATATAAAACCATCAGATGCTAGGGTAATTTTTCCAAACAAAAGAAAAATACAGTCAAGTTGGAGCTAACAGGGTACAGATTCAGGATAACCTGATAAGCATCGGACCAGCATGTGTATACAATGACTAAATATTATTTCTATAGTCGCTTGTGTTTTTCCGCCGTACATGCTATGAGTGTTCAAGAAAACATTATATTCCTCAGGATCATAGTCAAGTGTTCTCTTCAGCTTTAGCAGAATTGAGTCATATAGTTTTCATGTGAAAACATATCATGGAGCTTTCCAATACTAATGAGCACTCATTTTGAATAAGGGAATTTGTTCCTGGCTTCATACAGCCTTATAAGTAAGAGAAATACTGTGCTGGTCCGTTGCTGACGGGTTTTCAATTTAGCAGGTGCCCTCTAGGAGAATATCTAAGAATAAATTACCAAACTAGCGATTCGTTAGACCGTCTAGCGTTCTTTCAATAATTTTGTTCCGTGCATGTTTCGAATTGTCCCAGTTTTATACCATTCCACACATGACTCTGTACAGATATCCAACTTTCTGGGCTTCAAAACACCAGAAAACGAGGATTCTACAAAAAATCAACGCGGTCAAAGATAAAAGAGGAATAGTTGAAGAACGTTTGGGAACAAACAGACGAAATCGAGGATAATAGTTATATCCTTGTCTTGCTTTGGATTGAATTGCGCCCCATTGCTAACGCTTGCTTTATATTGTCATCTTTTCCGTTGCTTGCTCTAGAAACTTGCATTCAAGAATACCCTGTATATTTTCTGTTCCAAGTTAAAAGTTTCGATTCGTAGTGAAGTTGACTCGTGAGTCTTAAGCTGTATTGATCTTTACAGATTATGAGTGCTATGTTCGCCAATACGCGAGCCAATCAGTCTTCTTTGAACACTGCTAGCCCTAACCTGATAGAGTTTAAGGTTCGATTTGCTATGACAATAAATTCAGAAGTTGCTTTAATTCTAGGCTGGACGTTCTAATTTGCAAGCAGGAACGGAGAACAAGAAAAAAGTTGTTGCCGACAAATGTAAGGGGACCATAATCATTAAACAATCCTCTGACCAGTTGATGCATTTCTGCTGGAAAAACAGAGAAACCGGAGCTATCGTCGACGTATGCTTTTTTCAATTGTTCTGTTAAATGTTCTTTTCTCAAGGATTTGATCATTTTCCCCGGTGATACTGAATTTCGTGAGGTGAAAGGATGCCCCGACGGCCAAGTGTTCATGCTTAAGTTCAAAACTTCCAATGAGAGTCGTTTCTTCTGGGTACAAGAGCCAGATATTGAAAAAGATATTGTTCAGAAGGTTCATCTTTCAACTGTGTGATGACCTCTATAAATTACTTCTAGGTTAATGATACTCTAAACAAGCCTCCTTCTCAAAGAATGGCTGCCCGTGGAGGTTCCAGTGAACGTCATGTTGCTCCATCCGTAACTGGTTTCCCAGGAACAGAGGTAGTTTATTTGAAAAGTATGTAACTGAAATGGACAAACTTAGGAGTTCTCAACATTGGGTGGAATCGATCATCAGCAGCTTGTTCAGCTGCTCCAATTCATGAATCCTGTAAGATTTCATTAACACGCCGGTTAGTATAGTGGGTTTTTTCAGGGAAACAACTCTGAGTCTGGATTGACTCAATTGAACAATGCCAGTAACGAATCAGGTAAGCCATGTGAAAGCATTTCTGTTCAATTCTGTGTTTTTAGAGCTCCAACAATTGGTTAATCAGCTTCAGCAACCTGAGGGCTCTCAACCCTATGTCCATTTGGACGAAGTTCTCTCTGGAGAACGTGTTGCAGGGACTGTTCAGAATAATCAAGGTATAATTCCGGTTGCTTGATTGAAGAGCTTCAATTTTTTTCAGACCGATTGCTTCCTCACATTCCTGAAAGTGATAATGCAGCTGAAGAACTTGCCAGCACTATCCACTCACCTCAATTCAAACAGGTATTGCAGCAGAATTTCAATTTTGAATTAGCTTGCTGAGCTTAGGCTACTAACGCTTTTGGACAAGCCCTCCAGACAGGGCAAATGGGTCCTGTACTCGAGCGTTTTGGTGTCTCCTCTGAAGCTACCAAAGCTGCTGCCAATGGAAGTACGTTATAGAAATACATATCGACCTTATTATTACGTTTTGAAGATCTTGTTGAGTTCGCCAAGAAGTTGACCGAGGTTGAGCAAGGTACTGCCTCAACCGAAGCGGGAGCATCAGCTTCAGATGACAATATCAAAGAACCAGTTCCGAAAAAGGGAAAGCCTGATGATGATACTATGGATCTTGACTGAACATGATGATTTATTTATTACCGCTTTGCTGTACATTGACTGATTATAAAGTTCTTTCAGCCGTGTACGAAGTATAATATTTTATGTACGTTTGCCCGTATGCATATCTGTTTTTTCAACGTTGTGATCGCGTCTCAATCAGGTATCATTCGATGGCGCGATAAAGGCATTGAAGTCTTTTAAATAGGGTCGCCGTCTTATCTATTCACTTCTCTTGGAACTTTTCGCATCATTTACCACTTTACTCTGATTTCTTTATTTTTTAAGATGACGGACTGCTGTTGTTTGAGTACTTTGGGTTTCGCTGCTGCGGCTTACTTAGCCTATAAGCTGTTCAACACTCTTTATAATATTTTCTTCCCCTTCTTCATTAGTAGTCCAATTGATCTCAAGAAGAAGGCTGGTGCCGATTGGGCCGGTTTGTTGTTTATATGTGTTTCATAGATGGTTCTTATTTCTAGTTGTTACTGGTGCCACTGATGGAATAGGAAAGGCTTATGCTTTCGCTCTTGCTCGTCGTGGATTCAACCTTCTGTTAGTTTCTCGTACTCAGCAAAAATTGGAAGACACCAAGAAAGAAATTCTTGCCAAATATAGCAATGTGAGATAATGAAGAGTACCTGATAAGTTACATTGGGTTTAGGTTGAGATCAAAGTGTTCTCTTTTGATTTCACTGTCGGATCTTCCGCCGATTATGAACCACTCTTCGCTGAGTTGAATAAGATTAAGATCGGAGTCCTTGTTAACAACGTAGGAATGAGTTACGAATACCCTGAGGTAGGGATTTACATAACCACGTTCTATTAGCTATGCATCTTAGGTTCTCCATAAGGTTGATGGAGGAATCAAGACCATCGGAAACATTACCACCATCAATACCTTGCCACCAACCCTCGTAATGCCTTTTTCTTTCTTTCCAATCGCATATGATGATTTAAGCTATGTGCCTCAGTTCTTCCTAATATGGTCGAGAGAAACTCGGGAGTTGTCATCAATATCTCCTCTGGAGCTTCATACCAATTGATGTCTCTTTGGGCTGTCTATTCTGCAACCAAGGTTAGTTGAAACCTCTATCGATTTCTGCAACCACTGTTTTTGAAGAAATATCTTGCCTGGTTCACCGCCATCCTCAGAAGGGAGTATGCCGATACCGGTATTATTTTCCAAACTGTCTGCCCCATGTTGGTCGCTACTAAAATGAGCAAGGTTATCTTATCATAACTCATAACAGCATGCAATCTGATTATTTATAGGTCAAGAAACAGTCTTTCTTCACCCCAGGAGCTGATACCTTCGCTGAGTCTGCATTGAGATCAGTTGGAATCGTTCAGGATACCACCGGATTCTTCTCTCATCAAATTCAAGTACTGTTATCCGTATGATGATGTTAATACTATTATTGCATATAGGCTGAAATTTTCAACTGGATCCCAGCTTTCATTAAGGAACATTTAGCCGAGAAGTTCAGCAAGGGAACCCGTGCTGCAGCTCTCCGCAAGAAAGCCAAGTCTCAATAAATGTGATATTTTGTACTGTTTAACTTGAGAATTATGCACTGTTTTTACTTGTTAATAAACTATTTCAAAGTATGTACGAAATCTAATGAAATCAGTTACTTTCTTATAATATATATTTAAAAGAGCAAAGACAACACTCATTTTTTCTTTAATTGCCTGCGTATATGTGCATGTGTGGCACTTTTTGTTCGCTATGAGATATTGATTTTTGTGTTGGGACACCGTCATCGTATTATCATTTAGCTTTCCAGGTATTCTAGCTATGAGTAGAGCTAAGGTAGATCCTAAAAAAGAAGAACAAGAACGATTAGCTGTTATTCTACAAGATTTATTGAAAGAAGAAGAAAATAAATATTGTGCTGATTGTAACGCTAAGACTCCAAGGTTTGCTTTCTCTCCTGTCGCCTTTCTCACTTTTCTTTGTTCACTTTTTGTAGATGGGCCTCTTGGAACTTAGGAGTTTTTATTTGTATCACATGTGCTGGTATTCATAGAAATTTAGGAGTACATATCTCAAAGGTTCTTATTTGCCTTTTTCACGTTTTGCTTATGTTTCGCACTTAAGGTGCGATCAGTTAACTTGGATTCATGGACTCCAGAACAAGTTCAATCCATGCGTGTTATGGGAAATGAAAAAGCTAAAAGAGTAATAACCTATTTTCTTTTAATCATTATCAATGTAATCCTCAGGTGTATGAGCATTCGTTACCAGCCACCTTTCGACGTCCCATGGCTGTTCATCAATTAGAGCAGTTCATTCGTGCGAAATACGATCAGAAGAGGTTTTTCATTAGTGAAAGAAGTTTGAAAAAACCTCATTACTTCGTTATAGATACATCTTAAAGGATTTCGTATATCCTAAAATTGATGCAAGTGAATTGCCTAAACCTGGTGCTCCAGTCAAAAACACTGTAGTGATCAGAGATGTAGGAGTTCCTGTAAGTTTAATTTTCTGTATCCAGTAGCCTTATCTTGATTCCATCCTTCATTCAGTTTTTACATTCCCGTTTCAGTCTCTCAAATCTCCACCAGTTACTGCAAAGGCATCTTCGAATAGCATTAGTACACCAGGAGCTTCGAACGGGTTGGATCTTTTGGATTTTTCCACTCCATCCAAACCTACGAACACTGCAAAACCTGCTCCTGGACTCGATTTATTTGCTGATGATCCATTTGGAGCTACTCAGGTTTGTTCAAAATCTTAACATATCCAAAAGCTCTTTTCAGCCTGTCGCATCGGATACAGCTAATGACATGGACGACATGTTTGGTAACTTTGTTACCGCTGCTCCTGTGGAGCAAGAATCATCTTCAAACATTTTGGTTGATAATTTTGCATCTTTCCCATCTACAGCAGCTACAGCTGCTCCTGAAGCATCAAACGCTTTATCTAATGATATCATGGGTCTTTCCTTAAATGAGCCCAGCTCAAGTATGTCCACTGCTACAGAAGAAAAGAAATCGTAAGTTGTTTATAATAATAAGCTATTCTCATATTTAATTTTGCAGCAATGCTGATATCTTGTCTCTTTTTTCGAATTCTTCGAACACTGCCCCTCCTCAACTTGTTGCTCCTGGTGGGTTCGCGGCTTTTGGAATCCAAGCTGCTCCATCAGTGGCTCCTGCTCAGCCATCCCTCAACTTGTTCGACGGTATGTTAAACAAGAGGCCAGTTTGAATACAATCACCTTTTTAAGCCCCAGCCCCAACAGCTACACCTGCCGGAGGCGCTGCTTCTCTTCTCGGTCTGAACTTTGGTGGCCCTCCAGTTCAGCAACAGAACCCTCTTAGTGGCATGATGAAGTTTGTCATTTGATTTTATGCTTTGATCAAACTCTGATTTAGCTCCACGCCTAGCATGGGTCAATCATTCCCCAATCCTTTCGGAGCTCCAACTGCTGTGCCATCTAACCTTTTTGCTGGAAGCGCTCCTGCTCCTCTGCCTACACAAACTGCTTCTGGATTCTCCACTCCTGCTGCTGGCAAGGCTGCGAATTCATTCGCTGATTTTTCCATCGGAAACGTAAGATATATATCTCTTGAAATCTATTCTCAAATATAAAACTGTTACAGGTCATGGGTACTTTGAACAACATGGGTTACAAACAGAATGCCTCTGCGTCTTCTAAGCCTATGACTGCTGTCCATGCAACATCCACCCCAGCCCCTGCAGTATCATCAAATAGCATGAATTTCGATGATCTGCTTGGGTTATAGATTGAAAGATAAGAGATATCATAATTCTAACTGATCAATATACTATCGTTTAATGTATTTGTTTCATATCTTTAACATAATTAATTTAGTGCTCAGATGTCATGCTAACCCTATAACCTTCATCTATTTAAAGCAATTGCTGGTATACTTTTTTCCAACACAATTAGCTACCTTTTGTTTTTAAGTGTGATTTATCCAGAGCTAAGTCTTAACTAAGGGAAAAGAGGTTTCTCAGTTGATGTTCTTTCCTATTTACAATTCCATGAAAGTAATTGTGATGTTGCAACATTGTGATTATCATTTGGTAAATAAAATAAATTCCATGTATAGATGAGCGTTTGAATCCCATACCACGACATACCGGATTATAGATGATAGAACTCAATCAAACCTTGGTAGAGATGATGATGTTATCTTTCAGTTATCAATATCTTTCATTCTCTCTGTACTTCTTTTACTATATTATATAGTTTTTTTCATTAATCACGCTACCTTTACTGATGAAATCATCGAACAAAACTTGTTTTCCTACAGTACAAGTGAAAGGAACTTCAATGGAAATCCCAAGGAGATGTCTCTGGAAATCAAGATGAAATCGTCTATATCAACATCTGACTATCCAATCAATTCACACCCCTGATAAACGGATTGATGGGCTTAGCAGCTTGTCCACCACGTCTCCCACAACATTGAATTTTTCTTTATATGGTCGATGAACACTCCCTCTAACTGCAACTTCCTAGGACGTTTGTCAAAATGTCTATTACATTTCCGTCAAATTTCTAATTTCACCTTTCCGGTCTTGTTGAGACTTGACCTTGACTGTCGTTTTGTCATTATTTTGAGCATTTTGTCAGCTACGTTTTCCGGGCATTTAATGTGTGCTGAATGAATAAATTAGCCGGGAAATATTCTCATACGGTCTAGATGATTTTCCTTTTTTGAACATATTAGTTTCTCATCAATAATGAATAGACGTAAGGCCCACGAGGAATGACTCCTCATGCTTCTCCCGCCAAAAGTGTTTAGCTTGTACTTTATATTGACTATATAGGGCTGTCTGTATTGTTGTACGAAACAAATTGATTGTTATATCTAGTAATTACATATAATTGCTATCATATTGCTTCAAACATAAGGGCATTTGAATTAATACTCGAGAGGTCAACGTAATTTCTGTGTCAGTCAACAGTTGTCGTCTTCCAAATGATTTGTGTTTCTTCCTCTCTGAATGATTCTGAGCTTCTCCATATAACATAATCACATTCATCTCATCTATCTTGATCTGAACTCATCGTTTCATCTCGATCTCCACTCTTCATATAAAAGCAACTCTCCTAGGAATGGGCACTTGTTTTTCCGTTTACTAACCCAATGGACGATTTCGAAACGCCAGCTAATGACAGTGCAGTCATTTCTGACACTGTTGCTGTTCACGTAGCTTCTGATGATGTTGGAGGTGTTCAGTTATGTCCAGCTTTACTTCTTGGAAGTCCCCAGGTAAAACAGAGTGATTTCGAAGTTATAACATAAAATACTCCAGGCTCTGCCCAGCGCATCCAAGCACATCTACAGCTCACTGGCGGCAAATGCCAGTGAAGTGGACGAAGGAATGCCTCATCTGATTGTTGCCATGATTTCCGATGGTAACGAAATGTCTTCTAAGGTAGGAAGCTTGCTTTAATTCGATTTTCAAGAGTTAGGCTTATAGTATACAAGCCGTTTACAAAGTGCCTTGACTCCTTTTGTGTCTTCTTGTTCGTTATGGTTTGTTTCCTCTGGAATGCACTATGATCCTTTGGCTCGAGCAGTAACGAGTACTATCAAAACTGTTCTGCCTCAGGTAATTATCTGACTGCCTGCTAGAGTACTCATCAAGTTTCAGACTGATAATCAGGTGGAAGTCTTACATTTGGTTGTTAACTCGGATGAAGTTATTGGTGTATCCTCGGAGTATAAGCTGGTTGACACCACCTTAAACACCCTCCTCATCATATCTCGTAAGGAGATCAACTCGGCCAGTGTAAGTCATCATTTGCAAGCAATACTTAAAGAATCTGGATTCAGGAAAAAGCAAAGTTCAGGGCTCAAGCTACCGTTAGACTTTCTCACCCACCTCCAGGTGAAAGAAATATAATTCTTACTTACTTTTGAATACGATTTTCAGCCTTACTGATCGGTGTCCCATCCGAGCATTTGTCACAGTCAACATCGTGTCATTCACCTCCTATACTTCTCTCTCCATCTAATGACAAAAGACCTTTGCCAATATCAATCTTTGCCGGTATTCTTTCTACTCTCTTCTCGATATTAATAATTTTCATTCTAAAGGAGAATCTTCTGCTGCTCTGGAAGAGCTTCTGGTTTACATTGAAAATGGAATCCCTGCGGTCATTCTCCAGGTTCAGTTTTTCTGATTTATCAATCGAGCGCATGGAAAGCGTGCTATAACGTGAATTATTCATGAATTGACTATGCAGTTGACCGGTTGCTCATTAAGTTCTCGTTTTCAGGACAGCTGTGAACTGTGCGCAGTTTTGTGGAATGCCAGTCTTCTATACAGAACACCTGAGTTTGAACATGATCGCTTCGTATCATGGCTACGAGAACAACTCATATCTATCTCCATGGATGATGTTGAAGTGGCTACCAGTGTAATTGTTAAAATTTTCGCTATCGGAATGACTGATCCGCAGCTTTTAGATTTCCTAGAATCAGGAGAAGTAAGTTAATCAAACACAAAATCCTATTTCATGAGTTACTGCTTTTTAGTTAGATAGATTGAGAAGCTGTGTTGTTGATTTGTGTGTTCAATCGTATGCTGGAAATACAGACATGAAACAGATGCTTCTACTGGCCAGTAGATTGAACCAATCATCGGCTTTGACGGCGATGAATTTGAGTGAAGTTTTAGATGATGAGGTTATAATTTTCTTATTTATTTGCATTAAAATATCTTACAGGCATTGACACTGTTACTCTGTGATTGTGTAGTGCATGATGAGCGAGTTGGATTCCTGGCTGCTTTGCTTGAACTCAAGTCACCAATTAACGTGAACTCGCAAATGCTCATTAAAATGGCCAGAGCTACAGATCAGGTATGAAGTACGCTTTGAGGATTGTCTATCTTTTCGTTCAGCATTTTTTCCATACTATTGTGTTATGTAGATGTATGGGGTACTCTTCAGTACCAGATGATATTGATGATATTTTCGCTCATGATCTCAACATTCTTTTGGTTTGTTTATCAGTATCAGCTAAATTTGATAAAGTTGTGTTAATAGAGACGACTTGCATTTGGCGTTAAAGATTTGTTCTCACCTCATGCTGTCAATGGGGACTCCATCGGCAAGGATAGAGAGACTTCAGTTAAAATCCTGGCGGTATATATTACTTGCACTACCGGTCATGTAGCTCATTCAGGTTTGGAGTTTACTGTTGCATAGACCCGCCATGGTTCGATGTCTTTGCTCCTTCTCTGAACAGCCACTTCCTTTTGCCATTGTTCTTTCTCGTATAGCCAGATCTCTTAGTCATGAGGTGTGTTTTCTTCTCTTAGAGAAAGTAAAACAATATTTTTTTGGGCTCATGATTGGTTTTTCTATGAAGAGTCACTGATTTCTCTCTCAAATAACCTCTCAAGCACAGCTGAAGTGATACTATCGAAAGTGCATGAGAAGACTCCTCAAAAAGCTTATCAGATGTTGTGCCAACCTCTGGAATCCTTCAACAGCCAAACCATAACACAGCTTGCGTTCCAGGTACCCAATTACCTTACTATTGTTGTAATCTCTACTTGTAGTCAAACAATAGAGTATTGGTTGCTCACGAAGCATGTCAAAGATGGGTACATCGTTTACTGTATGGACATTTGCAAGCTCGAACAAATCCTCTCATGCTACCTCGTTGGGCTAAAATACTGTTTGCTGGTACAGTTTTATTTTTAAAATTTGACTGCGTATGCTAATTTTTTCCCGAGGAAAACGCCAAGTGGCAATTTGTTTGGTAAAGTCATTTGAATTTGTAAAGCGTAGCTGAGCGGTCCAAGAAAACATCTCTGATCGCTATATTTCTTCTGTTTCAGCTTTTTTCATCGTTCCCATTCGATGGTGGATCTCAACAAGACCTTCTTATAATGGAGGGAATAAAGAGGATAAGCCAAGTCCTACGGTTGCCCTTTTGAATAGTAGTCGACAACCCAAGCGCACTAGAGCAGTGTCTACCTACAGGTTTATCGAAACATTTACCCCAGAACCTATTTTTTGTTAAGCATAATTTCTACACGGAGCGAGGCTCTAACTCAAATAACAGCTCCAATGTCCGTCAATTTTCCCTTACAAGTTTGTTACTTTATGTTTAGCCGAATACTGTTGTATTCCTAGCATATGACAACTGGAACAACGAATGGAGCTGAATCGGCTACACCACAGTCTATGATATTCCCGTTGAATGTCGAAGAACCAGAAGCTGATATTAATATGAAGTATTTCTCTAAGAAGGTTTTCTTTTCGAAATCATCTGGTTAATAGTATTAAATATCAGACTCGTATAAGAAAATGGACAGCTCCTTCCATGGGATTATTTTACTCGACACCTATTGTTAAATATTGGTTATCTCTCTTGTTTCGTTTAGTTCATATTTGTGCCTTGGCTTACTCCGTAAGTGGATTCGAAAAACAAGCAATTTAACATAACTTTGTAGGTTCTTCTGCCAGGATGTGGTTCTACCACGTTGGACACGGCCGTATGGGTATGGTCATTTATGTGGTGGGTGGAATCGTTATGGGTTTTAAATGTTCGCTTACAAAGCATAGATTTGAGTTTAATGCCTTGGAGGGTAGGTTCATATGGTCGATTGCAAATAAAAACAATGACTTTAAGGTTTTCGATATTTTAACAACTTTCGTGTTCCTAGCTTTAATACTCATGTTGAAGATATTAGGAGATGGGGTTGTGTCTTGGGCACTGGTGAGTATATGAATTTTCATGATTTATCAGCAAAGCTTACAGAGAATTGATTCTGTCTATCCAGCGCGAGTAGTCTCAGCTGTTTTTCTCTTGTACTGGTGTTACTCTACTTTATTCTTCTATATTCCCCTGTCTGATATATATGGTCCACTCATGGTTAGAGTTAAAATCATGATATTGAGAGATTTCACCAACTTCTTGATCATGATAGCTCTGATTATGCTCACGTCAGTTGTTTTTTGTTAATTGTCCCTATTTTCAACTCTCCAATATTTCAGTAGCGCTGCTTCCATCCAAGCGATTCTTTATCCTGATCAACAGTTATCGCTTTCGGTTATTCGATCATCCTTGTCATGGGTTTGGTTAAGCTTGTTCACCACGGATCTTTCAAGTATCTAAGTGATGAGATTCACGAGCATACATTCGAATTTTAGGTCTTCGAGAATCAGAAACTTGTCGGAAAACTTTTCTCGGTGCTCCCAAAGAGTATTGTACATCCATAGGGCAATATGGAAACCCCACCTGTCCTAGTCAATCGTGGCCTGCATATCTAGTAATAATAGAATACTTTGTGATACTGAAAGTAAGTTTCAATTGACTATATTATTGCAACCTATATTTATTAGCTAATTCTCTGGCCGATTCTCTTTGCATTCTTTGCTCGCACTGCTAAGGCTGTTGACGAAGAAGCAGATAAAATATGGAAGTACCAAATGTACTCTTTAGTTTCTGATTTTAGGTATACTAATTATATTATATTAGCAAGTATTGTTTTGATATTCTTCAGTGTCCGTCCTCCTGTACCACCACCGTTGACACCTTTCTTTTTCCTCTTCTTAGCTTGTTGCCGTGTACGTGGGCGTCTTTTCGGATTTTCACTTTCTTCTTCAGACCATCCTGATGTTAACTATAAAGAGAGGTAGGTCCATTTCATTCCTGATCTCCAAAAGTGTTCTCACAACAGATCCAAATCAACACATCGCTTCGGTGTTGTTTATAGAAACCCATCTGTTCCTCATAAACGTCATGAGTACGCTAATAGTTTTTGGCGACAAATGGCAATAGATGAATGGAGAGAAAAAAACAAAAAGCATGGATCATCAAACGATGAATCGAAAACATTATTAAAAACGTTACAACAGCAGATGAAGATGATCTCACTGACTAATGCGTACAACAAAAAGACCAGGATATCAAAAATAGAAGTGAGTATTGGATCGTTTCATGCCAACTGCCTTACTTTCAGGTAGAGAAAGTTAAATATGCGGATGGAGATATCCGAAAAATAAATGTCTCGTATGATCAGCGGGATTGGACTGTACTTCTACCGAACTACTTCCCTCCTTTCTTTTGCCGAGCAGTTGAAGACTTCCCTGCTGAGTTAGCCCGATATGTGGAAAATGCCACAGAGCAGGTGGGTAAGAAGATGAATTGACAGTTTGTCAAAAATTAGAACTAATGTAGACCACTCAATCAATAGTGCACCACAGAACAGTTGCATTCCAAAAATGTTCAAGTTATAAATCTAATTCCCATGTTCTATAGAATGTTTGTGATCTTCGTCGTTCATGGAGAACAAGACAAGTGCAAGATCAATCAAGGGCTTGGCTTTTTAGTTCAGCAGGTTTTCCTCTCAACCCAAATGGTCGCAGAGGTAATGATTAACACGTGGAAGATTTTTGATTCTTGCTATAGGTATTGCTGGAAGAGGAAACCATATGAAGTTTGGTTGTAACCGTCATTCTTTCTATATCATCATAGTGGGACTTAATAGAAAAGAGGCCAAGGTTAGAACGTGAACAAACTTTTCCCATTTGCCAAACTTTCATTAATTGTTTTAAAAGAATCAACCAATTGCTTTAAGATTTTGCTTGATGGACAAGGCAAATTACCGAATGAACCTCATCCAGATGTGAATCTGCGAGATGAAAACTTGGCTGGCTTATTGAGACTGATAGGTGTAAGCGAGCACGATGTACAAGTATAGTAATGTTATGTACCCTGTTAATGGAAGTGTTTTCTTCAGACAATGTCTGTTTGTCGGCAGGAGACTCCGCATTTGAACGAAACAGCGTCCTTAACAACTTCAGACAACGGTCCGGTTCGCATAAGTTCTCAAGTAGTAGAAAAAGAAAATGATACTGACAATGCTTGGACGGAGTATGAAACATGGGCTGTTATTCTTAGGTGAGTGAGAGCGCAATAACACAATAACAACTCCATTGAAGGAACAAGAAAGTTGTGAATTCGCTGATCGGATACAAGTGGGAATCGATATCCAATAGTTATCTTCCCAATATGGATATGATCAACCGAGCGCTAGAAATATTCAAAATGCCATAGTGCTGTTTGTATTGAAAAAGAAACACAGAAATGTGGATAAAATTTATACCCATACTTCGAAGGTGAAATATTAGTTATTTACATGAGTAGCTCAGGCTAAAACGTGCAATCTATATACTCGAAGAAATGCTTAAGCATTATGTTATATGTAAGTAAAACTGATATGTTGAATTCACAGACAATCCAAATATGTATATGTATGTACAGGAGTATTGCACATGCCGTTATGAGCTGATGGGCTTTCTTTTTCTTCTTCTTTCACAACTGGAATACTCCGATCAGTAATGTCTAGTAAATAATAGAAAGTATACCGAGGACATATCATTGAGCGTCTTTCATAACATTTTCCATGAAAAACAGCAAAACAGTCCTGACACATAGCTACCCCTTCAGAGAACGGGTAAATAATCTTCAGAGAAAGAGAGAAAAATATGAAATCATCTTGTTTTGATCTATACCTCATTCTGTTTCTTTGAGTCATCACAGAGTTCGCAATAAAACCCATGTCCTTTGCATGTTTCACATTCCTACGCAAAGTTCTTCATAGAAACTGCTGTTTGAACAAACCTCTTCTATGTGTTTTCGGAAGACTGTATGTATCTCTTCAAGTCTTTGTAGTAACGTTAAATTACATAGCTCTCTTAACTATAAAAGGAAAGCGATGAGAATGAAACAAGGATAGACCCACTTCTCGCAAACTATACATATTACTATTTTCAACAAAGTGTTGATGATCATGAAGATACTGCAGGATACGTAACTTTCTAGCATTCTGAATGATATACACACTCAAAAACATCCTGGACAATCTTCAGTCTTACCCTACAGCTAATGAAGTAGCATTTCATATACAAAAAGTTTTTTCTCAACTCCTGTACACGAGCAAACTCCTATAACATCTTATTTTTTTTTTTAAATAAGCGTCTCTCAACCTTATGAAATTTCAAGATTAATGGGCCGAAAGAGCCCACGTCGATTAAAGGTCTTGAGTCAACCATTGATAGCAACTGTTTTACAGCACGGCAGACGGGCCTTGGTGTAGCATCCATATTAAGAACTATCCTTCAATAATAACATTATGACTAGCTCGTAACGCATCAAAAACCTAGCCGGAATACTCCATTGGTCTCCCCAATGGCAATTTTCACAAAAAAGTAATCCAGAGTAATCACAGAATTTGGGTTCCAAATGTGACGGCCCATCTGGTAATAACTCTATGACCAACAGAATGATGTCATCAACAAACCGAACATAAGCGGGTTCTTACACTCGGCACATGAGTAGTTTTGAGCGGCAAGACCTCTTTCGACTGATAATGTAAGAACTAGTGAGAAATCAGTTCTTGAGGCTAATAATCCCGCACAAGTTCTAAGTACAGATGAGCAACATTGATCATGAGCTCTGAATCCACAAACTAAAATTAAAGAAAATGTAGAAATGTTGGGTATTATCAGTTACTCTAACCTGTGCACCTCCTCCAACTTTGTACAAGTCGCCAGATGGTGTGCATACAAACCTCACAACGTGGGTTATATCGACCTCGTGTAGGTTGCATGACAAAGTCATGACCCTTACATATCAGAACTCCATTAAGACCATTATCCTAACACAACTAATGAATAGGAAAAAAGATAATTCTAAACCTCCAAATGCTGCTTCTCAAGATTCAATTTGACCACCTTATCGAGATAAATCTTTTTGAGTGAAGAATCCTCTTTCTTAACACACTCAGCAAGTTGTTCCTTGCAATGAGAGATGACAGCGTTAATCTCCCCCAATCTGAAAAATGTAATCAAACTAACTCAGATTTGAGCCGATAAGGTTTCCTAATGAATTTCGACTTCATCCGAATCTCATGAAAATTTATATAAAGGTGGGAAGGTGAGTATTAAGTCCTTAATGATGTGAAATAGACAAACCGGATTGCAACATAACATCAAAAGACAGAGAGATGAACGAAGTTTCTCAAATAAATGAAATTGGGATATCATACCTGTCACAATCAGGGTGTCGGCGTCTCAAATCTTCATAAACTTTTGAAATTTCATTATCTATGGGTGAAAGCTCTTCTTTCTCAGCCTCAATTCGAAAACTAAAATCTTGAACTGACTGATCCAAAGACATGCAGCCTGCAAAGGCAATGTCTCAACTTCTTATTCATCAATCGCATCTGATAAGACCAAAGAAGAAAACAAAATCACTCCAAGCTTTAGAGTTTACACACCAACTTTAATAGCTTTAGCCAATTAAATTAATGATTTTCTTTGAGGTGATTTAACCGCGAGAGTCTTGCTGATACCTGTGTAGCAAACAGCTGGCGATTTCTCAACTGAAACAGTGAATGATAGCCACTCCTGATAGAGAGAAGCCGTTCGAACTTCTATCAGCTAATCATTTTGTACAATTGCTGAGCCATCACATTGCACCTTGACTATTGCAAACCTTTACGCACCCGCTTTCACTCTCACTCTCTCATATATGTGTATGTTAAGTAATTGAACTTGAAGCTTTTCATCCTTCACTATCGTTTACAAGAGACTTGTTAGAGTATAAAGAAAGCCAGTTTCTCTCCATATGTCGCCATATCAAATTGATGAAAGAAAGAACTTTTTGTTAGTTTTAAACAACACAATTTTCAATATCTTCGCCATTGTCTTTTCATTTCATTAGTAACATAAAGATAATAACAGTCTTAGCAAATGGTCAGAAGATATTAGGAGAAATTGTTCTCTAAATTCTCACACACCACCACACCCAACTGGATTCCGACAATAACTCCTCTCACTTTCTCCCATCTATGTCTATGTTTTCTCATCATACTATAACCCTGATGATACAAAGCCGTTGTGACAAGGAAACATGAAAATCCACAAACTAACAATCTCGCCATATCCTCCCTCTTTCCCTCTCTCTCTGTCATCAATTTACCTCAACTCTGCTCTCTTTTTGTGTTCTCGCCCCCGTACATCCCTATCACTCAACCGATTCGTGTCGCCATTTCAGGTGGAATAGTTGGAAGGATTCACTTAATCGTCCAACTCAAACCCTCCCTGCTTTCATGATAGAAAGACTCGAAAATGTAGTCACGTAAGTCCTCAACAACTTTGCTCATTTACGAAAAGACGTTCTCTGCAGGTTTTTGGACAAATACATCGCATGGATGTTCGTTCTAGTAGCTGTTATATTATTTATATTATTATATTTAACATACCAATGTTGTTTGAAATATTGCGCAAGGAATTTATCTAAGGTTCGTGAAAAAGGCGTTTTTTCCCTCTTCATCACCTCTTACTCCCTACAAGTTGCGATCTGCCATCGATTACCAGACACGTACGAGAGTGAGAGGGATGAGTTGACGCAAAAAATGATTTTATCATGCCAAAAAGATCTTTGAGGCTGTAATGTTTGTATTTCAGCGGGACAAACCTCGTCATTACCGATCATCTACACTCCAATACATACGCTTTACACAAGTTGTGAAAACCCCTCCTCGATTATCTACTGATTCTCATTATCAAACTATACCACTGCCTAACTATTAATTTCCGTAGATATACATAAACAGATGAAAAACTGCAATTGATAAAGCAAATGTTTAGCGTAGTCGAGTTTATTTGGTCGTATGTTTTAACGATTATCCACAACAATCAGACTTAAGGAACACAATAATGTACAAAATATTAGAGGAAATCCCTGGAGAGTAATAGCTACGTGAAGTGCGGAGTGGAAACACAAGACTATGCGCTACGAATTGGACATTTCCAATGAGGCAGGCATGTAGTATAAGAATAGAAGGAGGAGGAGGAGAAGAGAGGGAAGATAACGGTTTAGTTGCTTTTTCAAAAGCACAAAACTAAACGTTCCATAAATTCATTGGAACGCCGTGAATGTCGTGAATGTAGTAACTTTTCTTTCACACGGGTAAAGTTTTGAGTGATCCTCATTCGCAGACAAACGACCTGAAGAACACTGAAGATAATCATTACACATTCAAGCGCACTCGCTTATGGTGAGAAGGAACTGAGACAGTTCAAATTAATAAAAACATAGCGATAATATAAAGTAGATGGGAATAATGCAGCCACGAATTATTAAAAAAAATCAGATAGCGCCAACAATTTGACCATGTTGCATATCATCCACATGCACAACATGCATGCCTGAATGGCTGTGTTCATCTTCCAAGTGATCTAAACCAGGGATTTTTGTAATGGCGGACTTATAGTCCCGCATTTCCTAAAAGATTATCCGTTGGTTTGTCAAATTCACATTTACTAACCTCTGCATATCTTTCCTTATCTGCCAACGCCTTGCGTTCATACATGTCTTTTTCTTCAACAGAAACTAATTTCCAAAGTCGACCCAACTCTTGGGCTACCTACAAATACAAAACGTTATGTAACAGACTTCCAACTACAATGTATACCTGGCCCACTTTCCATTCTGGGTGTTGCTGTTGCACATCAGGCCGTCTGTCCTGTGAGAAGAAGAAGAAAGCAGATCTGCAAAACGACAATTTTAAGCTGCTCAAATTCTCATCACTTACAAAGCTCGTTTGGGCGCATTGGGATCTTTCTTGGCTCTCTTTCGTTTTCTCATGGCATCTTCTCCTCCATAAGCGGCAACCTAAATGCTTGTTGCAAGAAAAGAGCAAGAGAAACCCAACCTCAGCTTGGTATCTCTCAGCATCCTTCTGAGCGAGTTCATAGAATCGTCTTTTTTCATCATCAGACATTTCCTACAAATACGAAAGTAATTGAAGGCTACAAAATCGAGAGTCAAACCTTCCATTTTTCGCTGCATTTCTTTGAAATTTCGGTAACTTGGACGTTCTCATTAGGGTACTTCTTCTTGTGCTCCTCGTAACACATCTTCACAAAAAATCCATACGGCGACGTCTTCCCGCGAACTGGAGGTTTGCCAATGTCCCTCATGTTTCTCGAACTGTATGAGCCTATGCCAAAAGAATCTGTCACTCCTTAAAATCTCCAAAGTATCACATACAAGGCGTCAAGACGCATAGAGCCCGTTTTTGGACTTAACATTGACAGTTTTGCTTTTAAAACTGCATAAAATTAACACAATAGACATCTATGGCATTTTGACGCTTTATAAGGATTTATAGAAAAGCAAGAAAAACAGTTTCAGTGGTTCAAAAATTGCAATGGAAAAAGCGAAGAGAAGAAATAGCAGGCCCGACTAAGAGGGAAAAAGCGGGCGTGCAGCAATAGAGTGTGACGTGTGTGTTAGCACAGACAAGGACAGAGAGGGAGAGAGTATGGATAAAGAAGAGAAAATGAAGAGAGAAGGAGAGACGCAGGCAGAAGGCGTAGCATTCACGTGCTTGGGTATAGACTATCTCCTAGCATACTAAATTATCGATCGCCCGCCTATTGGCCTTACAGCGAAGCGCGTTGCGGCGTCCTCTAGGCATCTCGTGTCCACAATTCTCACTACCGTAATCCAAAAGACGCTAAACGGCATATTGCGACCAAAAATCGGCGAAGAAAAATTAGAAAAAATGATACTAATTGAAATCCTTCAAGAAACTTTTTGTTGAAATTCAAATCCGCAAGTGTGAAGGGAACGCGCAGTTGGTAGAATGTGTCGATAGGGAGAGGGGACGTAGCGAAAATACGGAGAGAAGAGTTACGTAATCAAGTTGAAAAAGCATTAAAGAGGTTATTGCGAAAGTGCTCCATCAGCAATTTGTTAACTTGTATCATTTCAAAAGGAGAAAGGAAGCAAGTCTCAATTAAGTGGTCTGTGAAAGTCTTCTCAAATGCATCAACTATTACTCTAGAGAGGGACCTGCTACTAGTAAAGAATTGATTTTTTGCTGTGCTCATCATCACAAGTAGTGTTAGCCTGAGCTGGGAATTCTCATTCGTTCCACGGGCCGTATTTGTTGGTGAGACTTTTTTTTTCAAAAACGTTTTTTTAGTAAGTCCTGCTTATGTTTAGCGTAATATGAAGGCGACATGTAAAGCTCAAGAAGAATATCCCTTACATTGGGCAGTTTTCTTGGATGACTTAGAGTTATTGAAGGATGAGATAAAAACAATCAAAAAAGATGATATTGACGCTCTTGATAATAGAGGAAGGTAGAAAAAGGTTGAATAACAGATGACTAACGATATATGTCTTAGAACGCCGTTAATGCTCGCAGTGACCCTGGGTCACAAGGAATGTGCGTTTGAATTGCTGCATAATGGAGCTGATCCAGATGTTCAGGACAGAGGTATATAGATATATCTAGTTACACATAAAAGATACATAATAATTTGAAGAAATGTGGTCCGTAAGTCATGAAGTAGTTTCATTAAAAGATCATCAGTTGCTAAGCGATGTTTTAAAGCATCGAGACTTCTTACGCAGTCAAAATTCTATAAGAACAATGAAAGAACATCTGCTGGCGCTGAAGGTATAATTTCTTCATCAGCAGCAGTCAATGCATTCATATTAGGAAACTCCTGATTTTTACTGCGAAATGAATTGGGAATTCTCGAGCTGGCTACCATTTGTGAGCAAGATGTGCCCATATGATACTTACAAGGTAGATAGAATATAGGTTGACATAACCAAATTAAGAATCTAGATTTATAAACAAGGATCAAATGTCAGAATCGATACTACTTTAGTGGGTTTTGAAGGAACTGCCTGGCAAAGAGGCAATCACTCATATATCTTCCGGTTAAATAAGACTGCTGTACCAGAATTTATTATCCTAGACCATGACGCTAGGACGGTATGTTGTTCTAACAAAGAAATCGATACTGGGCAAAGAAAGTTTCGTGTGTATTGTCCTTATAAACGTTAACGAAGGAACAGAGGAGAGAATAAGGGATTTTGGTTAAATCAATTTGGGGGAAAAAACGATCATGTATTACATGAAGATACACAGAGACTTCTTTTACATTCACCTTCCTCTCACAGATCGGTTGCATTCAATTAGAAAGTTTTTGATTAGAAAAACTAATAGCATGTTAGAAGGATTGGGAATGGACGTCACAAATTATTATTTTTATATTAAATTTATTATTTAATTACTGTATAATCTAAACGATTATAGTCTTCGAGCCAAACGTTGAATGACAATGAGAAATTGGAACAATTTACTCCATCAGTTGAATCTGTGGAAAATAGGTAAATAGGAAGAGCAATTTGAAGACATTTCGAAAGTGATAGTTCGCGGGAGAAAATTATGGCTTTCAGAACTCATGCGCCTATTTCGACTTCCTACGTAGACGTTGAGAAGATAGGATTCGAAAGATCAAAATCTGGTGGACTCTTATCGTGGATAAACAGTTCCGATAAATGGGAGAAAGTAGATGGTTATGATTGCAAGGTTTATACAGACTCATCCTGAATTGTTTCAAATTATTTTCGTTATTTACAGCTGTTCGATGCCTCCAATGTGACTTTGGTGACAAAGACACGAACAGAACATCTCTCAGAGGAGGACAAAGTGCGTTTGAAGCAGGTGAATAAAGAAAGAAAGAGAGATGAGTTTGTGGAATGAATGAAATTCAGGAAGAAACATCGAATGCTCTAAGTACAGTCTTATCACTCGTTCGTTCTGATTGTGCTGATGAATGTAAGACAGTAGATGTTCATGAAGCAGGTTAGATTGAAAGCTTTCGAAAGAGAACATTCGTTTTTGAATCAGGACTAACAGCAACAGAATACTTGGATCCAGAGTTCCCATTGCCAGAAAGTATTGGTAAGAAGGACAAAAAAGAGAAAAGAAATTCATTGGGAGAAATGAAATGTTGTAGGACGCAAGAAAGAAGTGACAAGAAAATCAAATAGTTTCAAGGCTACATTATGGCTAGCTGAGGAACATCCTCTGGACTTGCAGGTTTGAAGGTTATATGTCAGTCACCTCAACATGATTATGTGCCCAATGTAGGATCAAGTTGTGCGAATAGTAGATTTAATGGCTGCCAATAATGCACATTTTGCGAGATTAAACAATTTTATTCGTATGCAGCTACCATCTGGGTTTCCGGTTAAAATAGGTATTTCGGTAAGTAATATTAAAAATAAGTAACTCAATATAGAAATCCCGGTATTCCATGTTTTGAGTGCTCGTATAACGTTTAGCAAAGTCAATGAACCCGGAACGTATGTCGTACCCGTGGAGAGCGAGGTAGATCAGAGTGCCATTCTCGACAATAATTCTCATACGGTTTCGTTTCAGACTGAAAAAGTGAAATCGGTCGTTATAGAAAACGAAATTTTCGAAATTCCTGTAACATATAATGCTATCGATGCCAATGATTCCATAATATCATGGCCCACGGAGGAAGTAGCTGATGACCACAACCGCCATTCTATGTGTTCGTTATTGGCATTTCTGTAGCTCACGTAATTGTTTTTGTTTTTCAGATCGATCCATTCAGCAACAAGAGGATATGCTTCTACAATTGGCCATTCAGCAATCATTGGGTCAGACTAATGTAACAATGACTGATTACGGAATTCCTTTAAATCCTGCAGCACCTATTACTGGTTTGTTTGTTTAATAGCTGTGACTTGTGCACCTTGAACAACAGATCAGTTGGTTGGATGGGATTCGGAAGAAGCGCAGTTGGCACGCGCGATTGAAGAGAGTTTACAGATTTCTAATAATATCCCTCAACCAGAAGTACCATTAATCATGCCGATTGAAGAGGTTAGTGACCGTGTTATCATTTGAAAGCTTCTGCGTTTTTCAAGGAAGACGACATCTCTAAGGCCATCCGTTTGTCTCGTGAAGATGAACAGAGACGAACAGAAGAGCAGAATGAATTGGATGAAGAAATGAAAAGAATTCTTGAACTCTCTCAAATTGAGAAATAATTTTTTGTACATAAGCATTTCGTTTTCCTATGGGTATGTATTGTGCTTCGCTTTTTCCGAAGTTATGAATCTTTTTGAAAAGTGAAGAGCATCAAACACAGGTAGATTGCTATGATCATACGATAAGCGTTTCAGACAAAACATATCCTATTTATAATTATTAAAGCTTTATTCCTATGGAAAGCTTCAGATGTTAGGAACTAGATGCAGATCTGCTCGATATACAACTCAATGAAAAAGCGTAAATAAATAGGTTTGTAAGTGAAATTTGGTAGAGTTGCATCAAATTCGCATTTGACTGAAAGGTTATTGCTTGACCGAAGTATTTGCTAAGACAGATATACACATCAATGATTATAAAAATCTAAGAATTCTCTGGTTCTTAATTACTTTCTAAGTGCTCTGCATACATTCTAACTATTGGTAGGAAGAACTGACATATTTGTCATAAGCGTCCTGCGTTGGGTCTTCCTCGGTAGCATTGATAGCACCGTAATTCGAGTTCATAACACTGGTTGTGTTAAAAGCACTTGTCAGCTTTCCGTCTCGAGCCATTGGAACACCTTGAGGAGCTGAAAAGGGATTTGAATCAATATGAATTCGTATGATATGAACTTACCCATCATATCCATCTCATCTTCCTCGAACATGTTGTTACTGTACTTTATGCCCTCGTACTTGAAGAACTTGTTCAAGAAGTATCCACCACCACAGGCAAAGGCGCAAATCACAGCATACAGGAAGAAAGTCAGGCGGGAACCTTCAATATCAGATTGAGATTGAGGATATAAACACTTCACTACTTACCTATATTACTTATTACAATACCTCCGACAATACTTCCTAATCCTCTTCCAACACCGTTGAAAAGAAGTTGAAGAATATATTGAGCGGATGACTTGACATGTGGAGGAGATACTAACGTGATATAGGAAGTAGCTGTTGCCCAAACGGTGGCATTACATAAACCTAATGAAGAATATGAGTATTAGAGATGAAAATAATGAAACGAACCTTGCAAAACTTGGAGTGGTAGGACCAACCAAGGATTGGAGAGCCAGCTCAGCACGAGGAAACGAAGGAAGTTCACTCCAAGACATATGTACATAACCTAAAAATTGTTTTTCATAGATATATGAATTCTGATGAGGATCTCACTTTGACATGTCCGTACTTATTGATGACTTGGAAAACGTAGAAGTAAGCAACAATTTCTGACACGTGGTTTGTGACAGAGAGAATTCCGAACAAAACGGGAGAACCACCCAAGTCCTACGAGTTCATTCATGGTCTCATTCATGTTCTTAGAACTTACTTGTAAATGCCAAAAAAGGAAAGAGAAGACGATTCCAGCTCCACCTCCCATAATGCACATAGATGATAAATAAATAATCATGTGAGGGTTGGCCATAGCTTTAGCTGCAGCTAAGACCGTGTTCTCTTGGTTTCCGCCATCCACCTATTGAATACAAAATGAAAATGTGTGAAGATTATCAAAATATACCGTAAGCTGCCTGGCTCTTGCTTTCTCGGCCACAACATGTGATACTTCGGATTCGCGAATGTCCATAACCAATCCCATAACTTCGTCAGGCCGAGCTGTGTCATCTCCAAAGTTTAACTGAGTGCCTGAATTGATGGGGATAATCAAACAATAGTTGAGTAATCCTAGAATACCAAGAAGCATGGCTGCAGCCATGAAAAGAGCACAAAAGATGAAACACAATACGTAGTTCTTCTCCGTCGTGTTTTCTTCAAAGAAAATCATTATCAATTCAAAGTTTTCTTAATCTTTACCAGTTGGACATGGATGATTTCGGAAGGTGTTGGAATAATCCAAACCGATACCCATCAAAAACATAGCAATTCCCCATCCTACGGAAGCGAAGAGACGAATTTTTCCAAACTATTAACGTTAATTAGTATTCGTATGCATACACTCATTACCTCGGCAGGATTTTCCTTAGTGGCTTGTAGTGTGGCAGCATCAGCTAACGGAAGACAAGGCGAAGAGAAAAACTCGCCCATAGCTATTAACAGAAGCAACAGCATGAAAGCCTACAATTAGCATATAAAAGTTGGAAATAGGAATAGTTCACTATACTTGTTCAACAGCAGGCTGACGATATACTCTTGTGGAGTGTGGAGGAGACACAAGTAAGCCATACTCATTTTCATCATAGTTGCAAACCTTAAGAGCTACTTTTCAGAATGTGATTTATGATTCAACAAACTCTGTCTTTCGTTATAAATTCAGGAGCAATACCAACAACCATATCCTCTTCATTATCGAATGTACTCAGATCCACAAACTTGTCGATGAGCTCTTTAAGACAAAAACAATTTCGAAATGTTCGTTTCAGGAATATCTTACGACTCTCGGCTTGACGTTTATTTCTTCCCACAACAGCTTCCTTCAACATACCCAGAGCACCACCTCTAATTACCTTTCCAGCTGGAGCCAAAACAAATTGACAACTCGCATTTCGTTCTAAAAAAATGAATATCCGAAAGAGTTCAAAGGAAAATACCTGGAACTAAAACAACACAATAAGGAGTGACGGGCTGAACGAATCCAACTGCTAGAGTGAAGACAATCAATGATCCTGTTGAGAACATTAACAACAGTTTCTGCTTTCTTAAAAACATCTTTTATAAACAAAGTATCAACTCTTGGCTTCACCTGAATCTGCTTGCAAATGAACTCCAGAAAGGTCCCGATGCAAACTCTACGAGCGGACGACATCCTAATAGTATTCCAGACTAGAATAGTTAATAGAATGCACAACAAAATCTTTTAATCGAATACAAGATTTGATTTCATTCTCGAAAGCTTCAAAAGAAAATGTAAAAAGTGATTCGATGAACGAAACAGCCGAGTAATAATTGAAGCTCAACTCTATTTAGAGAAAGAAACTTAAAGCTTCCACCAACCTGAGCAGCAGTCATTCCTAATTGCTTGAAGTAGACCGAAAGCAGAGGAAAAAGGGATCCAAAGGCCGCAAAAAACGCAAGATAAAACAAGCGACATATGAACAAATCTCTCGAAATTACTCGACCGAGAATGCTCACAGTTCGTTCTCCAGCTTGGTTCTCCATCCCGGTCGAGTTTCCAAGTATTACTTCGACCGGAAAATCTGATCCTTAAACAACGCAAATCAAATGGAAAGTTCAAAAAAAATATATAAAAATAGTAAGTAAAAAGGTGATAAAATGAAGCTATGACGGACATGAATCGGGAATAAAATTTGAACGAAAGAAAAAGATGTGGCATAGCTCAGATCGAAGCGTGGAAGACGTGAGAGCAAAGGCTTCACGAAAGAGATATAGTGTGAGCATTAGAGAATAGAGACACCATTCAGAAGCCAATAGAGAAGCAGGCTGGTAAAGGCAATCGATGAAGAACAGCATTCTGCCAAGCATCCAGCGGAAGCTTTTGCCTCATACAAGGAAAGAGAATATATAGAGAGAAAAGGAATAGTAGATAGAGAACTAAAAGTCGACAAGAGAGAGAAAGAGAGAGTGGGTGTAGCTTGAGCAACCCATCTATCCCGACCACATAGCTTACCGAGTCTATATTTGGCCTTCCAGACGTGCCAGACTTCAAACTGAAGATTGAAGACTCATCAGCAGGCATATCTCACATAGCGATTCAAACAACAAACTTTGATATGTTTCATGTCTACATACATCTGAAATAAAGATAATTAGAATATTGTTTTTCTTTAATTTTTCAATAATACACACAAAATATTAAAATAATTAAATTTGATATATACCTTCTAGGGTTAACCGTGACGGAATTTATCGATTGATTTCACGCGTTCAAATTTGTAAAGAACTGAAATAAGCCAAATTACTGTGATAGTTTGTGTTATGAAATATTCAACCGCTTCCCGATGCTTTGCATCTCAAAATAACGCGTAAACATCACACGTATACGTCACGACATGTAATTAGCATATTTAATGCAGGAGATGTTCTTCCTTCAAATTTAATTAAGATGATCTGTTACTGCGGAGAGAAAGAAAAAAATGAAAAATGATTGTCAATAACAAAAATCGCTTTGTCTTGCAGCTAAGCACCTCCGTATTTTTATTCATTTTTTTCTTTCTTCTCATTTTCATCTGCTCATTCGGGGTTGAAGAAACGATTTGTGAGTTTCTGTTGACTTGTAAAACAAAACAAGTTCCACCAGCTTTACAATGAGATTATTCTATCGATTTTCATTTCTAAAAATTGAATGCTTCCCTTATCATTCGTCTATTTTATATATTTTCTTAGGAAAACGTGATTTTTCGGAATTGATTAGCACTCGTATGGATAATATAAAAATGCAATCTTATCAAATTTGTCTGGAGAGTTCAGTTCTCTTATCATTTGCTTACCTTAGATAAGTGTCCACTACGAGAAGGGTATTCCTGATGGTATACGTGTTATCCCTTGTTGTCATCGATGTCCATTTCGTTGTCGTTTGGCACTTTCATCATCTCCTTTTCTGTTTTTGTTGTTCTGTTGACTTCCTTAGCAATTTCGAAATATCCGAATTTCAGTGTTTTTATAGATTACTGATCTTCTGATTCTCTTATATTATTCTTGACGAAGCAACGAATTCTATGAGATAGTACATTATGGAAGTTCTGCAATCACGTTATCAACGTGATTGATGATCTAGTGATCATTTCGTAATGCTAGTCTTCCCTATTTAAACTCACTTGCTTACACTTTTCTCTCAACTGTTCTCTAATGGTTAATCCGTGATTAGCTAACTAAAAACGTTTTTTCCAATTTCAGAAATGCTTTCAAGTGCCAAATTATTAAAACAAGCGTGTTCGAGGTCTGCTATTGCTTCTCGGAGCTTAACTGCTCAACAAATTTTCGACCGTGAAAAAAAATACGGATGTCACAACTACAAACCATTACCGGTTGCTTTAGCTAAAGGAGAAGGTTGGCGGTTGTTGCCGAATTCCTCTTCTCTAATCCTTTCATTACTTAGGTGTCCATGTTTGGGATGTTGCGGGCAAGAAGTATTTTGATTTCTTATCTGCTTATTCTGCCGTTAACCAGGGTCATTGTCACCCAAAGCTCGTTAAGGTACGCGTTGACTTTTAGTATTGCATTCGTACACTGGACCTAGGTTATGCACGATCAATCCAAAGTTCTTACTTTAACCTCAAGAGCATTCTATAACGATGTACTAGGAGAGTATGAAGAATATATCACTAAGCTTTTCAAATATGACAAAGTCTTGCCAATGAACTCAGGTTTATATCTATCTAAGTACGCTTTGTTATCCCAAATCAGGTGTCGAAGCTTGTGACTCTGCTGTCAAGTTGGCCAGACGATGGGCTTATGATGTTAAAGGAGTACCAGATGGCCAAGCTAAGGTTTTGGATTAATCTGGCAGAGAAAACTCAGTATGAATAATTAAGGTAGTATTTGCCAAAGACAACTTCTGGGGAAGATCTATCGCCGCCATTTCTGCTTCAACTGATCCAGATTCCTTTGCCCGCTTTGGACCATACGTTCCAGGGTTCGAGACTGTTGAATACAACAACATTGCAGCTGTCGAGGTATGTAGTGTGGCAGTTTGATTCGAAACATTGTTTTAGAAAGCCATATCTGATCCTAATGTAGCCGCCTTCATGGTTGAGCCTATTCAAGGAGAGGCTGGAGTCGTCGTTCCAGACAAAGGCTACTTGAAGGTATATTGCCAAGTCATATATTTATTTAACTTTCTCTTTCTAAGACTGTTTCTGAATTATGCAAAAAACACAATGTTCTCTTCATCACCGACGAGGTTCAGACAGGACTGGGAAGAACCGGAAAGTGAGTGCTTTTTTAAACTTGTCAGAAGAAATTATCTGTTCAAGACTTCTTGCCCATTACCATGATGATGTCCGACCAGACATTGTTATTCTTGGAAAAGCATTGTCCGGTGGAATGTACCCTGTGAGTGGTCTACTCTTTAGATTGATTGTTTTATGAATAATTCATATAGGTGTCTGCCGTTCTGTGTGACGATCACATCATGATGAATATCAAGCCAGGACAACATGGCTCCACATATGGTGGAAATCCATTGGCTGCCAAAATCGGAGTTGCCGCTTTGGAGGTGAAAATACTGGCGTAGATGTTCAGAAGTTAATCAAAGATTCTCAGATCCTTATTGAAGAGAATTTAGTTGAGAATTCAGCTAAGATGGGAGATTTATTGATGGACAAACTGCGTACATTACCAAAAGATGTCGTGTCGACAGTCCGTGGACGTGGTCTGCTATGCGCTATCGTCATTAACTCCAGTATCTAATCTATCATTAAAGATATGCATAACAATACATTGTAGAGTATGATGCCTGGCAAGTATGTCTCAAGTTAGCCGATAATGGTTTGTTGGCTAAGAACACTCATGGAGATATTATCCGATTTGCTCCACCTTTGTGCATCAATGAACAACAGGTATGAGAGAGAGCGAAGGAGATTTATAGTTTTCATACGTCGTTTTGAAGGTAAATGAAGCTGCTGATATTATCATCAAGACCATCAACGATTTCGCCGCCAAATCACAATAATTCTAGTGTAAAATAAATGACAAATAAAGAATTGATTCTCTTGAAGACTTTCAAATGGATATTGTTGATTTGCTATGACCGTATTTAGTGGATCATGAAAAATGTCCGAGGTTGGAGGATGAGAGGATCGACCATCATAAACAAGTTCTGACACTAATCAGCTGGAAGAGAGAAGAAGACAATTACAATATGAAAGAGAAAAACAGAGAAAGAAAGAGAGAAGATTAGAGGTTACGAAACGACTGTCAAGGGCATTAATTGTCGCCAACTATGATCGTCAGAGGAACATTTTGTTCATCCATATCGCTTATTATAGATATCGTCAACACCCTGAAACATTCAGATCTTGTGTGTGTTTCATACCTATCAATGTCATTCGACCGTTCTTCTCTCATTTTTTTTATAACCAAATATGGTTATGATGAAGTGAAACCTTTTGGACTGTGTGTGTATGTGTGTTCAATCATTCCAATGTCTCCCTTCATTACACTTTCGTCAATTTCCATCACGAAAATCGTTTAGCTCTGCCATATTACCGCAACGATATTTATTATTGTGAAAATACTTTAAAACGGAGTATCTTCATCGAACTAGTTCTCATTCCTATTTGCTTTTTTTCAATCCAACATCTATTCTAGAATGACATTCTTAGATTTCATCAAGTACATCGCACTTTCTTCATTATTTATGTTATTTCTATCTTCAACTTACATATTTTTAGATTAGGAATGGTTCATAAAAGAGATTATGAGAAAGATGTTGTCTATCATTACTGTTTTCCACGTGCTGATACCGTCCCCAATGTGTCGCCATTCTCATTAAAACTTGAGACATTCATGAGATTACATAACATTCGCTATGAGGTGGACATATCCTTCAGTTCAAGCAAACAAGTGTATTTTAGAACGTTTATACACTTACCAAGAGATCCAAACATGGTTTGTTGCCATTTGTTGAACTAAATGGACAAACGATAGCCGACTCTCAGCTTATCATTGAGAAACTCAAAACCGTTCATAACATCAAGGTAATTGTAGACTACTGAACATAGCAATTCTAATTCCGGGTTTAGGAATTCGAAAACCCAGAGGAAGCCGCTGTTCATCGTGCCTTCCAAAGAATGATTGAGAATCACACATTCTTGTAAGGAAACACTTCAAATTTTCAAACAAAAACTATCTCTTATAGCGTTTTGAACAAATTCAAAATCCTTGACCGTATTGACGAAATGGGCAAAGCATTCCTCAAGAATACAGATTTACCAAAATACTTGAAGCCACTCGCTAAGCCAATCCTTAAATGGAAATTAGTATCAAGAGCAAGTTACTCCAACTAATAATCTGATGAAATGAACATCTTAGGCTAAATCCCGTCAGAACGCAGCTTTAGGAAACTATTCTGATGAAGACTTCAAGATGTTATTGAAGAAAGATTTAGATGCTTTCCGTGACTTCTTAGGAGAGAAGAAATATTTCGCAGGAAATAAGATAACACTGGTTAGTTGCATATTTTCATCATCACTGATTAGTAGGATGCAACCGTTCCGTGCGTTCGTACATTCAAAATGAACTTCGAGCGTGCATGCGATACACTTTTGTATGCAAATTTTTCAGACTGACTGCTCACTTTTCGGAATTCTAGCATCAGCTTATTACTTGAAGATCGAAAATTATTTCAAGCAATTAATAAAGGTCGATTACCCAACAATCGTAGCATTCTTGGAGAATGTCAAGCAAGAACTTTGGAAAGATGATTTTGAGAAAAAACCTGAAGTTGTCGCTGAAGCTGAAGCAGAAGTCGCAGAAGCTGCTGCAGCTCCAAAAGAAGAGTGATCTAATTGTTTTAATAAGTCTCTCAATGTTTAAGCATAAATAACTAATGAACCAATGATTATAAATTTTCCGTAAATGAAGTATTTGATATGTTGGGCTGTTCACTCTCTGCTCCAAAACAACAATTTAGCATCCGAGCGTTCTTCCTATCACAATGACAATAAACAGAGCATGTTCTTCAATAATCTTATCTCTGTTACTAACTGTATAATTAATTTAAATCTTATTCAGACGAAATTTTTGGGTTTAAAGTTATCAGATCGCTTACTCTTTTACAACTACCTATCAAAACAGCTCGAATCAGTTTCTCGAACAGGTATCAGTTGTCTTTATCGTGAATTCAAATTTTCATAAAAACTGGGTGGATATGTAACCTTTGGCGCGTTAAGTTGATACCACTGTTTACGACATTCATATGTTTAAAGTTCTTATCACTACCATCACCATACATTCGACTGACATTCATAGTCTCTTCATTCTTTCAGTTGCTCTGTGAAATTACCAGAAGCGCTACCGAAGATGTCAATGGGTCCTGCAAGTAACGAAGTGCGCAAAGCCGCCCAGGAATTTGTCACTTTCTTGAACAAGTCTGTTACTCCTTTCCATGGTTTTCACATTCATACTATTATGTGTCTAACTGTAAATCTTTCTAGCTGTTTTCGAATGTAAGGCCAGACTCGTTGCTGCTGGATTCGAAGAGTTGACAGAGGCTGGACATTGGGATATTCGTCCAAATCACAAATACTTCATCACCAAGTAAGCAATTGAGATTGAAACTTCTCTTATCTCATCTTGCTCAGAAACCGTTCTGCAATTCTTGCTTTTGCTGTTGGAGGAACTTATTCTCCTGGCAACGGTTTCTCTATCGTCGTCGGTCATACTGATAGTCCATGCTTGCGAGTAAAGCCAATTTCCAAATTAACCAAAGAGAAATTCGATCAGGTGAGATTGTTTTATCAGCTTTCTGGAAAATTCCAGGAGTTCAGGTCGGAGTTTCAACTTACGGAGGTGGAATTTGGAGAACCTGGTTTGACCGTGATCTTTCTGTTGCTGGAGAAATCGTTGTTAAAGAGGTTCATCTTTGAGAGAGGGAGAATCCTAACTTTCAATTTGTAGAAAGATGGGCTCGCTCATAAGCTCATTAACGTCCAGAAGCCTATCATGACCATCCCCAACTTGGCTATCCATTTGGAAACTGATAGGTATAGTGGAAGTAGGTGTGAAAGAAGGTCAAATTTTTCAGAGAAACCTTCAAGCCTAATACGGAACTTCATTTGAGACCAATCTTAGAAAGTTTTGCTGCTAACGGTTTGAACAAAGGATCTGAGAAACAGGAGAAGGTATCACATGTTTCTACGTGCTACTGAATCTCAGCCAATTGTAGGCAACTCCTAAAGACCCAAGAAGCGTTGTTGAAGAGCATCATCTCAACTTCTTGGAAGTTTTGGCCAAGTAAGTCTTGTTTGCAGTTTTGATTAATCTTTTGATATTCTCTTATCACCCTTATCATTAACTTACACAATAGTACAACAAATTGAGTCATTGTAGAACCGCCGGTGTTCAAAAAGAAGACATTGTTGATCTCGATCTCTATTTGTATGATACCCAACCTGCTGTATGTTGAACAAGTTTTAAGCTACAATTGCAATCTCTTCTTGCAGGCCATCACAGGATTACACGAGGAGTTCATCTCAGGTGCTCGTTTGGACAACCTCGTAGGAACTTACACAGCTATCAACGGTAAACCTCACCTACCTTCTCAACTTAAATTCTTGTGTTAGGTTTGTTGGAATCTCTCCGTGATCCAGGTTTTGCTTCATCTCCTCAAATCAGAATTGCCGCTTGCTTCGATAATGAAGAAGTGGGTTTTCTTGGAATATCATAAGCATCTGTGTTATCTCAGGTCGGCTCAAACACAGCCATGGGTGCCGCATCTTCTTTCACTGAGTACGTTCTCCGAAGACTTTCTCAAGGTGGAGTTCCCACTGCTTTTGAAGAGGTATTACTAATACGATATTATGGTTCTATAGCTTCCTAATAGGCTATCGCCAAGAGTATGTTGATTTCGGCCGATCAAAGTCACGCTTGTCATCCCAATTATGCTGACAAGCATGAGGTAAAGTCAGAAATAAAATATATTTTTTAAATCGATGAATTGATAGGAGAACCACCGCCCAACTTTCCATGAAGGAGTTGTTGTCAAGGTGAATGTTAATCAACGATATGCTACCACATCTACTACTCATGCTGTTCTGAAACAAGTTGCTTTTGAAGCTGAAGTTCCATTACAAGTAAGATCTCTGAACAGTCTTTGTTTTTCACGAGCTCTCTCAGAAAGTAGTTGTGAAAAACAACTCTCCATGTGGATCAACTGTCGGACCAATTTTGGCCACTAGACTCGGCCTTCAGACTGTTGATGTCGGATGCCCACAGTTGGCTATGCACTCAATCAGAGAATTTGGAGATACTTCTAGCATCTATCAAGCTGTTAACCTGTACTCTGTAAGTTTCCTTCTCAAAAATGCGTTTCTGAAGAATTTGAATTTCAGAAATTCTTCAATCGTCTCCCTAACATACTCCAATCCCTTCTCTAAGTCTTATTTATTTAATAAACGTTTTATGGAATGACTGGATTCGAATAAACTTTCCAAACTTCATTCAATGAGAAGTGGTTGTGGGGTGAACTTGATTCTGCATATCCAAGAACAGAATTGAATGAAAAATTCAGCAGTGCTCCAGACCATTGTGACATAGAAAACCTTAAGAATGTTCTCAGAAATTAGAACTTTTGCTTTTCTCACTTTGGACAACAAACAGAAAGCCATTAGAACAACATGAATACTTTCATCAAACTCTAAATGTTTTTCATGAAAGGGCAGCTTCTCATTACATCCCACCTATTCCATTTATATACTCGGAAATGTGTTGCAGTGCGGGCAAAAATTCCAGAGACTCAATCCAGCAATGAATACAAGTCGTGAAGAATATTATGATCTGAAATTTAAATTAGTTCCGCATGATTATTCTGCGGTCGAAACCATATAAATAAATAGTGGAAGAAGACTGGGATAAGTGTGTTGAACTGATTGAACCAGCTCCGACCGGAAGTGTGGAAGGATTCTGTTGAAAGCTTCACTCCTTCCTTGTTCTTATATAATAAACAATTAAAGAAGCCTTCCATCCATAATCTAACCATTAACTACTTTGATTTCAGGTTCTTTCCCCTCAGCCAACTGTTTATGGAAAGTCAGGAAAACGTTCTTCTTCGGAAGCTTATGTTTTCTCTCTTTCGGTATATAATCTTAATCGAGATGATTGAAGCTAATAGTTGCATGAAGGTGTTCAAACCAAAACATTCCTGTAATGTTTGCGTAAGTTTGTTTGTTGCAATCATGCACAGGATGTTGAAGATGATGTTCAAAATGAAAATGTACAAAGACATCCATTTTGAGTTTTTGATTTGGAGGAAGGAACCTGAAAATGAACAAATTGACCTCTATAAAATGTAATGAAGACTGAATACACAACCAGATCTCACGTCACGCAGCTTTGAAATGAAAATTTCGGTAAAACGACAAATTTATGCAAATTAGTTGGGATGGGGGTATGGTAAAGTTAGACAAACCTATTCCGGTTGCCAAATTAAGGGATAATTCCAGGCTTTTCTTTGATTCAATAGTTTGAGCTTGAAGAAGATCATTCACTTCCTCGTCCATTAAGTTAAGTAGTTCATAGTAATCCTGATAGAGGAAACAGAATAACTGAAACTCGATCGAAATAGCAAACCTCATAACCTCCCATCGTTAAATTGACATATTTTTTTATAACTTGTTGACGAACATGTTGCAAACTGCTGCTCGTATACTCTTTGAATTCGAACAACCTCCACGAAAGAACAACCATGAGAACAAACAAGATACATGTGGCTATATAATGAGAACGTCATTTATTGAATCATAATTGAGTTCAACTTATTGTTATAGATTGAAGAAGAGACGGCATAAGTTCTCGTAAGTAACTTTCGTAACTTCCGATATCCTGAATGCGCCATCATGTTGCTAGGATTTCATTTTATTTCTAAAAAAAACAGAAATTGCTTATTTCCCTTCTATTTTTTGCCTGCTGAACGGAACAATATTCCATGACAACATTTTAAATCTTACTCGGCAATAATTAGCTTTGTTATAACAAATATGAAGACGTCATAGCTCTCAAATAACGAACAACATTGAACTAAAAATACGATTCGTGATTCGTATGATCAAAGCATGTAACAACTCACGTTTCAGGAGATTTATCTTTTTTCCCGAATATCGCTCCCCTCCCCCCCCTCTATTTTCGTCGGAAAACTCCGAAAGAGGCATTAATTATTTTAAAGTTTGATCACCAATACCGTAATCCTCTCAAATCATATGGAGCAGACCTTTTTTTTCCGACGAACACTCCACTTTACGCATTTGTCACCATGAACAGAATCCAAAGCAATGGTGCTGTTTTGATAATTATTAGTGATTATTCTCTTTCTTTTGCTTCATTTATTATAGTTTTGAATAATACTGATGTTGAGCATATCTTATAACTCACTTTTCTCATGAAAGTCAGCTTCTGTCTATGTTGAACACCGTCTCCGTTAATAACGATTGTTTTGCAAGCAAGTCATCTTTTTAGAAAATGGCTCCCCCAGCAGGAGCTGCAACTCTTATTTCTACTCAAGCCACTATTCAACCATCTGATGAGCAAACTTTAAAGAGATATTATAAAACTAAAATCGAGGAAGCTACTGTTCGCGCTGCGCACCATGAATAATCTTATTTTTGAATTTACAGCAAAAGGCTATCGAGAAGGGTCAAAACGTCCGTCGTCTTCAAGCTCAAAGAAATGAACTCAACTCTAAGGTGTTGTTGATCATCTATTTCTTTTTTTAGCTTCTCTGTTGTAGGTAAGATTGTTGAAGGAAGAACTCACTCAGCTTCACGAACAAGGCAGTTATGTTGGTGAAGTGAGCAAAGCCATGGACAAGAAGAAAGTTCTTGTGAAAGTAATTGAATTATCTCTGAGCTTTTATAATCTGATTTACTTTGAAGGTCCACCCCGAAGGTAAATTCGTTGTAGATATTGATAAGGGTATTGACATCAATGAAATCAAAACTGGATGTCGTGTGGCTTTACGTGCGGACAGTTATGCTCTTCACAAAATTCTTCCAAACAAAGTGAGTGCAATGGGAAGAAGTTCAAAGAATTACATGATACTTCCAGGTTGATCCTCTCGTCTCTTTGATGATGGTCGAAAAGGTTCCTGACTCCACTTACGAAATGATCGGAGGTTTGGACAAGCAAATCAAAGAAATCAAGGAGGTATGAAACCAGACCCTTGTTTTCGTCATTGATGCTGTTCTTTAGGTTATTGAACTCCCTGTCAAGCATCCAGAATTGTTCGAAGCTCTTGGTATTGCTCAACCTAAAGGAGTTCTTTTGTACGGTCCCCCTGGAACTGGAAAAACTCTTTTGGCTCGTGCTGTCGCCCATCATACCGAATGTACTTTCATTCGCGTTTCCGGATCCGAACTTGTACAGAAATTTATCGGAGAGGGAGCTAGAATGGTTCGAACACCAAAGCATTAAACGCTGTTAAGCTGTTCGTTTAGGTTCGCGAACTCTTCGTAATGGCCAGAGAACATGCCCCATCTATTATTTTCATGGACGAAATTGATTCCATCGGATCTTCTCGTGTTGAAGGAAGCAGGTAAGCTTTTAATTATTTGTCAGAGTTGACTTTGTTTTCCCAGTGGTGGAGATTCTGAAGTGCAAAGAACTATGCTCGAATTGCTCAATCAATTGGACGGTTTTGAAGCCACAAAAAGCATTAAGGTTTTCCTGTGCATCGTAATTGTTTTTCTAACTGAGAGTCCTAGGTTATTATGGCTACTAACAGAATTGATATCTTGGACCCTGCCCTTCTTAGACCTGGTAGAATCGACAGAAAGGTTGGACTTTCCCATGTTCCAAAATATTTTCATATCTTTCAGATCGAATTTCCTGCACCTGACGAGAAAGCTCGTGCAGATATCCTGAAAATTCACTCTAGAAAAATGAATTTAATGCGAGGTATTAACATGAGAAAGATCGCTGAAGCTATTCCTGGAGCCAGTGGAGCTGAAGTTAAGGTTAGATCATATCTTTTGACGTATGTGTATCAAAAACAACAAATATAGGCTGTATGTACAGAAGCGGGTATGTTTGCCCTTAGAGAAAGGCGAATCCACGTCACTCAGGAAGATTTCGAAATGGCCGTCGGAAAGGTTTGATTTGCTTTTTGAATGCAATCTGAACATTTGGTTGTTTGCAGGTTATGCAGAAGGATTCCGAAAAGAACATGTCTATCAAGAAGTTGTGGAAATAAAGGCATTACGATTTACTCTCTTATTTATTTTTCTGTCTGTACTTCCTTTTTTAACTTCGAGTCGTTGGACACCATGGGACTTGTGACTTTTAACTTTTCCGTGATCTTACCTGGAGTCCAAAATATTTGCTCTCTTTCTCTCTCTCTCTCTCTCTCTTTATCAAATGAACTTGGGTCAGGAAAATGGTCATTTTCTGTCTGTTTTTGACCTTTCTTATTTACATAGTACATGCTTTTATGAAGTACGATTGCTGGAAAGTTATTGATTCATCCGGTCCTTTTTTGGTTTTACATCGTTCTGTATGAAGCTGTGCTTACGATAATCCTAATTGTCACTGATTTTGTCTTACTGGTTTCAGCTTAAATATATTGAACCTGTTGTTTGTGTGCGTGTGCGTGTTAGGGGGCAGAGGAGGAGTAGGAGGAAAATCGTGAAAGTCAGTATTGTTGAGAATGTTGTCGTTTCCTAATTTGGAACAAATCGCAACAGCACAGATCCAATTACATGCAAACGTTTTGGTCTTGTTCCACATCTTTAACATCTCCAATATCAAAGGAAAAATATCGTATATCGTTATGTGTGATAGTAAAATGAAGTTCAAAGAATAACTGTACGTTTCTTCCGTATATGGACACGCCTCTCACTCTCTCTTCATATGTTAACTGGCAGTGGCCATCGATTCGAGCTTGTTAGGCTTCGTCGTCGTCACTCTTTCCAACCCCCTTCCTCATCCCTCCCTCTCTCTCTCTCTCCCTCTTTCCAGCCACTGCTTCGAAGAAAGCAGATTGAATGGAAAGAAGCAAGCAGTTGCAGTTGGCATAGAGGGTCAGCTGATTATGTCATAAACTTCTCTTAAGCTTCTTCCTTTAAACTTTTGTTTCAAGTTTTATAATCTTATGCTTTCTGCTAATTTCCAAACTACTGTTTCTGGCTCTCTCTTTCTCTCTCTCTCGTAAAATCTCTTGATCTTCCCTTCTCTTTTGTTTTTGGCTAAACAAAGACGTTCAAAAGGCGACAGTCCTTTTGAAAACATTAATACTGAACAAGAAAATCTTGAAATCTATCCGAATTCCCGTATTTGTTGCTCATGTCCGAAAACTAGTCATGTGAGAACTGTTAGAACAGGCTTGGGCCATTGTTTGAACAGTGTGGTAGTGGCCTTGGCTCCCTCTCTCTCATTTCCTCCTGCCTTCTTCTTCTCTCTCTATCTATCTATCACTGCCAAATAGTGACCGGCTGCTGAGATGGCTCAAGCTCGCTTTGCTCTTTCTAGGCCACTCTATGGTCTCAAAACGATACAAGGGTTGTAAACGATGATTTGTCTTCTCGATTTTGCCTCTTCTCTCGTATTCTTCCGCATTCTCTCTCTCTTTCTCTTGTTCCTTTTTACTTTATTTCTTTCTCGTTAGGAACGCAAGAATTCTGGGTCATTATTGATTTTTCATTAGAAAACCTAATTGTTCATGAGAGTTCTATTGATTTTTGCAAATTGCTTCTGATTAATTCTATAATTGTTATTGATTTCTATGTATTTGGGTGGAATGAGGCAAGAAAATATTCGTCGAATAGAGAAAGAATGGCCGAAAGTAGAAGAACAAAATAGTCGAAGAACGCTTTTTGTTGGAAAAATGGTGGTTTTGGTTTGGGAGAGGGGGAAGCTTGAAAGATTTCAAGATAGAGAAAGAGAGAAGCATAGCTAGTAGCAGAGAGGCAGAGAGAGAGACATACATAGAGAGAGAGAGAGAGATGATTTACTTATTCTTATCTTATTTATTACTTGAAATTTTCCAGTTTCATCACAAGTTATAACACTTGTAAATCCATTCTCGCTGTCGTTAACGAACGTCATCGACCAGTTTAGCCATTTATGGTTGCCTTATTTGGACTTATTTTAATGTTTCTTCTTCTTATTCTTCTTCCTTTCAACAACTTTTCCTCTCTTTTGTAGCTTTTTTGTTGAAATTACGTGAGTGTTAGAACACAAATGAAAAATGTTTCATTAAAGAGTAAAAATGATTTCTTCTTTTTTCCTTTTTTGGCTTTTCTGCCATCTCTCGTCTTCTCTCTCTCTCTCTCTCTCTCTTACTCTCCTTCTTTTTCTGTCTCTTTACACTCCATCCAGCTACCTCCCTCTCTATCTCTTCCTCTCTCCCTCCCTTCGTCGTTCGTTCGTCATTAATGAGAATAAAATTATAAATGGAGAGAGTAGCGGAAAATTTTTCTTACTTTTTTTTTTTTTTCATTCTGCTGTCGTCATGAAAATATTTTCTCAAACAAAAAATTTTTTTGTCTGTCCTCATTATTAGTAACGAGTCCTCAATTGCTACGTTCCTTTTATTCCTTCATCCCGTGCATGGCTTGTTTTTATCGATCCACATAACACATGGTGTGCGCATGCACAAGAAAATCTCCTCGCGTTTCAGACAACTTTCTTGACTTCATTCAACCTTTAATATTCTTTTTCTCTATATATGGATTATTGATTTGTTGTTTACAGAGAGATATAGAGAGAGAGAGATGAAAGAGATAGAGAGAAAGAGATATAGTTTGTGAGAATGGATCATAGAGATGAATTAAAGGATGAGAGAACGGCAGAACCATATTTGTCTTTATTGAATTAATTGGAACAGGCACTTCTTCGGCTAGCCTCCTCAAATATCCTTGGACGGCTTTTTTTGTATTCTTCCCTAATTCATTTAAATATTAAATATAATATTTATTTATTCGTTAAGAATGCGCAGGCGGCTTCCCTTTTATAGACGTTTTCGATGTGCTTCATTAAACTGACGTTTTTTTTCTTTTTTCTTCTTCATTTTCTCCTCCTCCTCCTCCTTCTTCTCTTCTTCGTCGTCTACGTCTTCTCCTTCTTCGTCTTCTGCTGCTTCTTTCCTTTTGCACATTTTTTTTTCTTCCATTTGCCGTTGCTTGTCAAGGTTCGTGGTGCTGTCAAAATCAATAGTCGGTACTTATGTTATCCAATATATGTAATTAACTATTACATATAGTTTATAGATAATATTACTGCATTCATCTGATAGTCCTAGAGCATATAAATCGCTCAGGATAACACAAGGCTTACAACGCCTCTCAAGCTGCCTCAGGCAATACACATACACAGAGAAAGCTTCAGCCGACGCCAACAGCTTCTCCGTCAGTCCATTTCAATAATTTGTCTCATTTCTTAAATCTCCACAATCTGCTCTCCTGCCAAGCGTGATGTTTTTCTACTTGAAAAACGATTTGAGGATGAAGTAGAAGGACATTTAGATTTTTCGACTCTCCTTCTCTCCTTCCTCACCCTCCTTCTTTTTTTTTCATTCGCTCTCCCTGCTTCTCTTCACCCCTCCCTTTTTTTTTATCTACCTAACCCTTTCTATAGAATCAGACGGGTAGAGTATGGCAGCTGTAAGCTGAAGCTGCTTTACTTCCTGCCTACCGGGTTGTTTTTGCCCGTTTTTCCGGATTTTCACTTCCTATGCTTGAGCTGCTATTTGGTATGTGCACTACTGAATTTTATTTCTTTTAATCTTTCTGAACTTTGAACAACTTCACTGATTTCATTAAATGCAGTCAGTTGCATGACCTTTCTTGTTCTTTACATCATCGCCTCCCCCTCGTTTCCTACCGCTCTTTCATTTAACAGAAAAAATGATATAATATAATAAATTAGAGAGACAGCCGTGCTTTATCCTTGAATATGCTAATTAGCATACGTGGCTTCTGCTGATCATTTCGCTTTTATGCACATGCGCTGACTGGTTGTGTCTTGAACGATCTCCATCTCATCCACAATCTGTATTGAAAGATTCGAATCACAAATTAATTTTTTATTCAGCAGAAAACGAAAAGTTAATTTGCCGTTGACAGCTTCATAGCTGAAGCTTTTCCCTCCCCTCTTGCCACTTTCATTTTGCTTATTTGGAAATATTGTTTTGTAGTTTGACCATTTTCGTGTACAAAAATTGCTTTTTGCTGCCATTCATATAAAATATATTCGTCATAGTTTGCAATAATTATTTTCCCTCCGTTTTCAACTGTCTTATGGGTTGTCCTCTGTTACTGTCCTTCTCTCTCTCTCTCTCTACCTTCGTTACTCTTTTTCTCCATGTTTCCCTCTTTCTCTCCATGTCTGACAGTGTTGCTGTTGATGAAGTCCCATACTCCTTCCCACATTTCCTCTTTAAATTTTCCCTTCACACAGATTTTCAATCCTATCCACTCTTCCTGGCCCGTTCCCTCTTCAAGTTGCCCTCATTCCCTCTCTCTCTCAATCTCTCCTTAGATGCCCTTTTAAGAATGCCCTCTTTCTTTTTCTTTTTGTTCACTCTCTTTCTTTCCTTTCTCTAATATTTAAAATTACTTTATTATAACAATTGTAAAGTTGGTCATAATTATACTTGGAATCATTCCTTATATAAACGAAAAGGGCAATTGTGCTCAAGCATCCCGTGATGTGAAGACATTAGTTTGCCAGAATGAAGATGAGCTTCATAGAAAAAAAGCTTTTCAAAAAGCTTTTTTGGCAGTATTGTTTCCTTTTTGTGAATACAAAAGATGATCTCTTACAAATCTTTTTCAACCCGACATCAGCTCCAGATACGCAATCGGCGTTGTTTTCAGAAGTTATCTTTATACAGCTTAAGCGAAACGTTTTTTTTTGCTCCACTAACAAGGCCAGCAAGAGAGATGGAGGGAGCGAGAGAGTGAGAAAGATGCAGAAAATGAGTTATTGTTCAGAAAGTGTCAAAAATCTTTTTTATAAATTATTTTTGTAACATGGAAAGATGTAGTCTGGTCTCCCATGAGCTGCATGTGTGTGCGTGCGTGTGTGTGTGTGTGTGTGGAAGTACGTGAGTGACTATTGAACGCGGAACTTGCCGTTACCTTCTAAGCCTCGAAAGATCGCAGGAAAGGAGACATTTCTCGTTTTTTTTATTTTCTTCTCCTCTTTCTTTTTTTTTGTTGTTTTTTTTTTCATTTTATTCATCAGTTTGCTGTTTGTCTGTTTTGCCTCTCTCACATCTTCATTCTTACTCATCTTGCCGACGACATCATTTGCAATAAAATACCTACGAGGGCTCAGAAGATATTGTGTTGACAAACATGGATCTAAGTGATGTGAGCCAAACATAGTTTGTGCAAGAGTAAAACGATTTGAATTTAGAAAAATAGAAAAGAAAAAGAGAAGGAAAGGAACACACTTGATGTGTTTTTCTCATTTCTCTTTTAGTTATTTGGTATTTCACATCTAATCTCATCCTATACTTCTTTATTCTCATCTGAACTTTCTGTCACTCTTTCTTTGGATTTTTCGTTATGTTTATACGATACATAACACTTCTCTCTCTCTCTCTCTATCTTCCTCTCTTCCTGCCTTCCATCTCTCCTTTTCTCTCTCTCTCTATGTATATCCTTCTCAATCTCTCTCTCTCTCTCTTTTCCTCTTTTAAGTTACTTGTGGGGCTGCATTCATCATTTCTATCTCTCAAATATATTCTAGTTTTTGATGTGCTCGGCATAAATTGAGATCGTTCGTGTCTTCTTCTTCTTCTTCTTCTTCATCTTATTCTATTCTTCCCATCTTTTCTCCATTTGCGCATCGTCATCCCTTGTCTTCCTACTCTCTCTATCTCTCTTTAACCTGAATATGGGAACGATGAAGAGAATGAGAGTTCTGTTAATAACCATCCCCACCAAATACGGCTAATAACATGGCCATTGTACATGCAAATTACACCTGTTGTATTCATCCTCTAATCCATTTTATTTATGCGTATTTCATCCAACTTTATGTCATTTTCTATGTACTCTCATGCAAAAAGAAATTTGCTGAAGGTTTTTGTAATCATTTTCCATCCTTTCACCCAACTACAAAGAGCATCCTATACGATATGTGACTGTATGTTAGAGAGAATGCAAGAGAGAACGGAGAGAGAGAGAGAGAGAGAGAGATGGATGAAGCTCAACCCAACTGCGAACTCATTTTCATTTCGCTCACTTCATCTTCTTGCTGCTTATTTTTGTTTTCAAAATAAAAAAAAAGTAAAATGTTTAATGTATAACGATAGGCAAACGATGTCATCGTCATCGTTATCTTCCATCTTCCATTCGTTTCAACGCCTTCGGGGCCCAACCTAAATAAACAATTGAATTTTGTCTCAAATCTTGGGAGTTGATAGTATCGTTCATTCTCTCTCTCTCTCCCCTCCTCCTCTCTCTCTCTTTATCTCTTTCGCATTCCATATATAGAAGTTCTTTTATTCATGTATACTTTTCTCTGATTTTACTTTATAATACGCAGAATAACATGCGATATTTGCTTCCGGCCACTATCACTGTGACTTATCAAGCTTCTCGTATCCCAAGAGCCACACAGAGGGGACGAGAGTGAGAGAAACAAGAAATTTCTGTTTTTTTTGCTCCTAAAAAGGACGTCGACGAAGAAGCACAAGAAGACGTTTTTATTTTCTTCTTCGTTTCCCCAAAAATTAACTTTCTCTTTCTCTCTCTCTCATTCTCTCTATATCTCTGTCATTTCTGTTTTTTCGTCTCTTTCATGGCAAAGATCTTTGATGAGTAGACGAATAATGGTTTCAACTTCCGGAAACGAAGAAAAATCATTCTTATCATTCTCCTCTGTGAGAAACTTTGTTTTTTCTTCATTTTCCAGAACTTTTTTTGTTTCTTGATGAGCTTGTCAGTTTCAAGTTGGTTAGATTCTTGTCTCAAACAATTTGTATCATTTTTGCTGAACGTTAATTGGAGTTTCTCTTCTTTCAATAGTTCAGATAGCGCTTTGGGGTCAATGTACTTTGCCAAGACTCAAGTACTTTTGTACTTTTTTCCTCAATTTATATTTGGACATTGCTCATGCTTAACTAAGTTTTTAACGTCATCCAACAAACTCTTGATCGATTTCTAGTCCGTTGTGCGTTCAGATAACAACCTTTTTCAAGCTATAAATGGTTTTTTCGTTCTTCCACTCATGTGTCGTTCTCTCGTCTGGCTTCTCTTCCTTTTCTCTTTTTTTTTCTTCCTCCTTCTATGGCTAAATTAGAATATGATGCTTCAAGTGGACTACATCAATGAAGAGAAAGCATTTAATCTTTAAGATTGTACATCCTCAAGGCGATTTCAATTGACGCCTCAAGATGCATTTCATTTTTAAATGCTATTGTCAGACATTAGCGGTCGTTCATACTCCATTCAATTTTTTTTTCTTCTGTTGGTTTGTGTATGTGTGTGTGTGTATTCGCTGTGTTGCTTCATTTCATTCTCATCACAACAAAACGGTGTTGAGCGGTCGTGCAGTGCATAGCTCTGCCGTGTGAACTGAAACCATAAACGATTGATAAATGAAACAGATGAGTGTTGCTCTGAAAGTTTAAACATAGTCCTCTGTTGCCTATGTTACTATATATATATATATATTTTATATAATTAAAACTTATGTGTTTTTCAATGCCCACCTTGTACGCGCCTTGAAACTAATTGTATTTTATGTCGTTCTGAAAACAGGAAAAAAGTGTATTCGGTTAAGAGCACACCACCAACAGCACCAACACACATACACATACATAGCGAGCAACAGCCGTAGCAGCTGGATAAATCCAACTAAATGAAAAATAATATGTTTCTCCTTCTAATTTTTATACTCTTCTAAGCTCTAATAGGAAATGTCCTTTGATGGAAAATGAGGAAAAAAGTTGAATTAAATTGTTTTTTTGCGATTCACTCTATCTCATTCGGTCTTTCCCTAACGACAACTCCTCCATTCCTTTCCTTTTGCTTCTTTTTCTCTTCTCCTTCTTTTTCTTCTTCTTCTTCTTCTTCTTCTTCTTTTTTTCTTCGGATGAATTCCTTTTGTGCCGTCTGTTCTACCTTTTCTGTAAGCATGGCTGGTGCTCTTCTAGTGTGCCATACGCGCTCCAGTCAATTCAAATTCATTGACAGAGAAAAAAAGGGAGAAAGATAAATGAGAGACTGAAAGAGAGAGAGAGAAGAAAAGGGCGTAACCTAGGCTGTACATGATTTCCGGAAATTATTCACTTTTACTCCCAGGACACTTATGTTCCAAAGTGGGTGAAGTACTGTTTCTCACACCTATTCATCTACTACTTGTTCTTGTGCTCGATCTATCAATTGAGAGAGATAGAGATAGAGAGGAAGAGAGAGAGAGAGAGGCTAAAAGAGAAAAAGAGTAAGGGAAGAGAGCAACAATCATGAAGCGCATTGTAAAAAGCGAAAGTCTTTCGGCATGTGGCTGTCACCGTGGCTGTCGTTATGATGGCGAAGGTGCAATTGTCGTTGCTCGGAAACGAGTTGCTTCATTCATTTTCATTGAAGCTTTTGTATGTTTTGTGTGTTGTAATTGTTGAGGTAATTTTATAAAAAGTTAGAAAAAGAGCATGTGTTAGTGTGAGAGAGAGAAGTAGATAGAGAGGTAGCTGATGAAGAAAAGAAGGAGAGAGAGAGACAGTCCGAAATCTAAGGTGTATAGAGACGGCAAGCAGAAGATTTGTCAGCGAAAACTGATCCGATTAGAAATTCTTTGTTTCATCCAAAGAAAGCGAAAAAATGTATTTTCTCTGCACATAAATATCATTTGTATTTCGTTAATTTGCTAATTAGCTTGACGCATTGAATGTGGCGTTGTCAAGTGACTTGATCAATCAATACTCACTCACACATAGAACGTTCACTCTCTCTCTAACACACACGCACAGCATAGCATAGATACGTCTATGAGACTTGTAATAATTACATTTAAATATATATATATATATTCATTAAGTACACTCAATGTAAATGATAGATTGAGCATTTGTCATATCCAAGTTGTTGTTTTATTTTTTGTTTTTCCTTCATCCTCACAACTATTGAACAACTATATTCTCCGCCTTCTTGCTAGTACACTCGTTTCATCCACACTAGCTATAAACTTGTATATATATATATATCTTTATTTATTCTGTTTCATTTTATATATTTCAGTTAAAAAACGGAAACAATCAATCTGTGTAGGCTATCGGCCGAATGAGTGCCAAAAACTCGCATGATGCTTCATTAGATAATGTAAGTTTCAGTTTCATTCTCGTTCGTCTCTTTCATTCTTCTCACTTGGCTATTCAATACCGCTCTCGTTCTACTTCGAATATTCTTCTTCTCTCTTTATATTTCTTGTTCAATTGCCATTTGGTCATGTTTATGAAAATGAAAATGAACTTATATGTGGACATGTTGCCATTTTCTGACCTTTTTCTTTTCATTTTTTTTTATTTGGAATTCTTGGAACGCAACCGATCTGCCATCACATGAAAATTGAAAAATGAAAAAACGCCAACGTTAAGCGTTGGCGTGAGTTCCACGTCATTATCTGGCGTAATTCCGATTTACGTGAAAGATGCTTATTTTCATTTCTCCACTCTTATAATTATATATTATTTCATATAATATATATAAGTATATCAAATTAGAGCTATTATGATGTTGGTGGTCGTCTTGCGGCTTGATTTTTGTGATCAAAGAGAAATGAAAGTTGCCGACTGAAGACCATATGCATCAAATTTTCTTCGTTTTTTTTTCTTTTTTTTTCTGTCGTCGTCATATTCCCTCTCATCTCATCTGAATATAATTACCTTATATTGAAGCGACGTCAGCTGTCAGACGACGGCAGCTGGATTGTTCAGTAACCGACATTAGTAATAGAATAATAAATTCTTCTTCTTCAAATTGACAGATTTGATTCTTTACTATATATTTTGAGTTTAAGATGAAGCTTAACTTCTATTTTGAATGTTTCTTAGAGCATCTCTCAGTCAGATGTGGGTATGATGGAAACATAGAATAGAAGAGTTAGGAATGGTGTAAACAAGAAAGTTTCGATTAAAAGTCAGCAAAAAAACGAAGAAGAAGAAGAAAAATATCTCTCATTAATCTCTTATGTAGTTTGTAGGAAACTACTTGCTCTTGCTCTAATCATTCGAACATTCGTTATCTCATTACTTGTTGTGTCTCTCTGTGTATGTGTGTGTATTGGTGTGTGTTTTGCTAATGATCAGCTGAACAGCCATCTATGACCATTTACTTAAATTATTTTTAATTTCAGGTGACGTTACGGCTCATTCTAGTTAGTGGTCGGACACATGAATTTTCATTCACACCTCAAACATCAGCACATGATGTTACGTTGCGAGTTTTTGAGCAATGGCCATCAGGTACAGTCGTTTTACAGTTATGATATCGCCCATTAGCCACCCTCTAGTTCATTCACAACAGCATAGTTATGTAATGAGAAGTAATTTGTATATTAGAGATCTAGCTTTAACATCTATATTTATTACTATTGAGTGTGAATATGTGTAATAGAAGATGTGGCCTAGTTCTTCTCTCCGTTCTGGTTGTATATCTTTTTTCCGACGATTTGGCCACAAGGCCGGCTTCAACCTAAACATGTTCCTCTCTCTTCCCTTGTTTCTTGTCTCTCACTCTCTGTAACCTTCTATAACTCTTACTGCTCTCTATCTGTCTGGCTTATTGGAAGGGACTAACCTGAAGAAAAGAAATAAAAAGTAACAAGTGTTTGAAGAACAAGGCACTTTCACATTTTTCTTCAAAAGCTCTTCTTCATGTTCATTTACAATGAAAGCACTCTGTTTTCTTTGAAAAAACACTCAAATGACCATTGAAAACAGAGAATTTGAGTGATTTCCCAACAGTTTTTGCAGCGGCAAAAGCGAGAGAAACGAATAGAAAGACGAAGAAAAGTTTTTGATTGAAACTTTCAATGCATTTCATGCTCTTAAGCGATGTAGAATAAGAGTCTTGTAAACATGTAAAACTGAAAACAAATTCCGATATAATGTGAGTAAGCTGTGTGTGTGTGTGTGTGTGTATGTGTGTGGCTGTCTGTGTTGTGTGGATGTTTGAAGCATTTCATTTCTCTTCTTCGTTTCCTCTTTTAATTCTTCCTCCATTGCCAATCTCAAAAACCCCATGACCCTCTTTAATACGTCACAACAATAACATTCATTACAATCACGTTTTACAGAATGGCTGGATGAAAAAGTAGAGTCAGCTTCCATGTTGAAGCTTATCTACCATGGCCGATTCCTACACGGATCCGTTACTCTGGGAGCTCTTCAGCTTCCGTCTGGTAAAACGACCGTCATGCATTTAGTTACAAGGGAAAACTTACCGGAGCCAAATTCTAGTGGTACGTAAACGTTTTCATTTCATTCTATCTATCTCTGTGATTGATGTTTCTCTATCTCCATCTCTCACACACTCACACCCCAATCACAAACTCATCAAATCCATTTACAATGTGTTTATAAGTAATTTTGAGACATAAATTTGTCCTCAGCCTTTTCACAATAGAAAACATTCCTATTCAATAAATCTAGTCCGTCCAAAACTAATTATGTTTTTATTATAATAAAACTCACTAAACCATCTGACAAAGTCGATTAACCACCTAAATTTGGTCACTCAAATAGCCATTGACAGGTGTGTGTGTGTGTGTATGCGTACACACATGCGTGTGCATCACATACGTGTGCCTGTCTGACTGTCTGTCTGCTCTTTCTTCTCTTTTTGTGTGTTTTTTTCACCCAAAATAGCCCTAAATGGACCGTAAATAACAGAAAATATAGAAAATTTCTCTGTTGAATTATCAAAACATCTGTTGTTTATTCTTAAATATGCTCATTTATTTTCGAAATTAAGCATTTTCTGTTGCAGATTCACTTGCTAAAAGGAAAAGAGGCGGTTGCTGCCGATGTGCAGTTTCATAGATTTTGGATGAGCTTGGAATGCTCTCTTTCTCTCGTTACTCTCTCTCTCTCTCTCTCCATCTTTCTCTCTCTCTCTCTATCTCTCTCTATCTCTCTCTCCCTTAACATCCATATCTTCCACTTCATTTATGATGTTATAACTTCTCTCTTATATTATTTAATAAGTCAATAACAACAAACAAAATAATTTTTGATGAATCTCCAATCAGCTTCGTCAATTTCCGAACAATCCTCGTTCGAACACCCCAAACATCATCATCCGAGAACACACACACACACACACATACACATAATGAAGAGGGAAGTTTATGGAGATTTAAGCTAATTATAATTCTTATTGTGTGTGTGCTTAAATCGCATTCCTCAGGAACAGTTTTAGTCGTTGTTTTGAATTGAAGAAAAAAAAAAGGAAAAAAGAAAACCAAATTTAGAATTATTCCAATTGCCTGATAAGCCGCGCCTCGATATACGTGCTGACCCATCCTCCCCACCCCACCTGTACGTGTAATCAGATCTTCTTTCTTGTCTTTTTTTTTTCAATAATTATCAATATTGTAACAGATAACAAAGTGAGAAAATGATTGTTTTATCCTCAAATAAGGGAATGATTTGTATGAGCTTTCATTTAAACTATTAAGAAGCAAACTACTTAAAGCATTGTCATTAGAGTTCGTCTTCGTTAACACGTCATCCAAATCCAATCAGCTAAACTTCTATCTGTGTGTTGTTGTACTGACTTTACAAACATCAATGATCTACATTATACTTTATAGTATAATCGATTAGTGTTTGAACTGTTTTTACAACTTATTGTGATATGCCGCCTTCAATCCATTTGTGTCTGCTTCAAACCACCTCTCCCTGTTTCGGCGTTTAGTCTCTAGTCGATTGAGAACGTTTTATTATATCCGTTAACTTCTTTCTCTTCTGTTCATCAACCACATACACTATTCATATATCTTATTACATATAATTATATAAATGCAATTGTAACGTATGTTGATGAACGGATGCGAAGGAGGGAGACAAACGATTCTTAAAACGTTCTCCACGCAAGTATATAATAAACATAATCATTCTCAACATCGAAATCGTGCCTTCTCTGGTTGTTCTGTTCGATGACACTTTCCATCCAACCTCCTTTTTTGTATATTTCTCATATTCATTCTAGCTTTCATTTAACTCTGGTCTATTTTGTTTTTTTTTTTCAATCTTTTTCACTTTTGAAAAGATTACTTTTAATAAAAAGTTTAACTATGTGTTCGTGTTACATTGCCATTCACACATACTCATCGTGTATGTGGTGTATGTATGTGTGTGTACAGCTTATCGTGAGTGAACGGCGAGACAGTACTTTCTCAGCCAATAAAAAGTACAACCGTTCGTAGCGTCCACTGCACTATGAATGAAACATCAACTCACGTCTCACGCATATTCTAATTCGTTCAATGTACAGCTGGGAATAGAAAAATTAAAACATAAACTGGTAATAAACTCTTTACTATACTTTGGAAGCTGTAACAAAATAAAGTTTTGATTCCTGAAGTGAAATTACACAAACATAGACACACAATGACACTAGAACATCTTTTCACAATCAATCTACTTAAGCGAATATACATGATGGTGTTGTTATATACACGTGGATAACATATGAAGCGATTAACTTAATCAAGTACCACCTTACGCTTGGGAATCAACCCGGCAGGCAGCGATTTGAATTCCTCTAGCTTGGCTGTATAAAGATATTCATCGACCTAAACAACAGTCGGTCAATTTTAATGATCGGAAGTTTCACTTACAGTTTCCACAATTATGATTCGATCTCCTTTAGATACATATAGGTTGGATGGATCATTCGTTTCATGATCTTCAATTACAGTTGCCAACTGGAACATAAAAACATAATCTCAAAAACGACATTTGAATCTCTGAACCTGCTTAGCCTGATGACCAAGCGATGAAATTGCGGCTAAGCCTGTTGGACTCTTCTTATTTAGCGTGGAGGTTAAATATGTCATAGGGGCTAAGCCAACACATCCATTGCACGAACCCTTTATCCAATCAGAACCAACATATTCTAAGATGGCAACTGTATCACCTAGGAATTCGAAAAGCTTATGAATCATATTTCGCATGTGACTAACCAGCTTTGAAAACTAAATCATCGGCAACACCTGAATAATAATCATAAGCTGCGTACATGGTTGTGAGAGGGACATTGCTTGGAGCTCTAAACAGGAATTGTGATCAATTTGAATTCCTGAAAAATGACATACGAATAGGAAGAACTGTAAGGAACAGCATGTAAAGTAGGACAGGATACGAAATTAGCTGGGAAAATGCCTGATCGTCCATGCAATTCTCCGCGTAGCCAATCTGTATTAACCCATTCAACTAACTTAATTTGATCATTTGCTCTGAACTGAAAAGGGAGTGGAACTGTACAAACATTTCTGTGAAGATGACTAACCTGCAAATCTTGAGCATCATAGGAAGAGTAATCATACAAGGCCATAGCCATGTTCTGTGGGGCACTAAAGCTTGGAGTAGAATATGAAGGAGCATGAGATGAAGATGAGGTGGTAAGTGGGACTTTGATATCTAAATAGTTCAATGGAATGATTCCGTGCTTGGTGGTTCTTGTATTTAATCCTGCAAACAACAGAAGCTACAAAAAACGACAAGCAAGGAGTGTATGCTACCATATATCCATTGTTCATCGACTTCTCGTTTCAAAACAATCAGATCCCCAATTTCGCTAGATAATTCATCAAAATGAGTACTCGTAAACTGATATGATACATAAGCATGCGGACCCGAAGTGTAGTTGGAGTTACCTTAAAAGAGCAGTGTGCTAGTTCAAAGGTTATCAATCTCGAAAATCTATAGACGAACAGAAGACAAAAAACAACACGCACTCGACACTGAAGGTTTTGGAAGAGGTGGTCTTGTAGGACCTGCTGGAAGAACTGCTACCGGAGCAGCCGACGATGGTGCTGGACGTGGAGATTCTACATTTAGAGGTCTAAGAGGCTTCAACTGAGAGGGTGTACACAAATCTACATAACACAACACGGACAGAGTTAAGTATAAACATATTTTGAAAAACTCACTGGAAGAAAAATCGCCAGGCTTTCTTAATTGTAAACTTTGTAATTCAGAGACTATTGAAGAAACTCCAGCACTGGGTGCTGTATAGCTCGTACCGGACGAGTATGGTTTTACACTTGAGCTAAAGTACATGAATAGGAAATGATTCCATAAAACTATAACTGAAAAACCTTTGTGGTAGTGGAGGAACTGGCTTGCTTGCATAATCTTTGGGAGCTGGCCTATGAGGTGGTGGTGCAGGTTTACTTTCAGACTGTTTAGGAGGTGGTGTTGGCTTTTTTGAATCTCCTATTAATCCCAACATCTACAACATTCTCAGTGACTACATAATCTTTCCATATTCTCTTACTTGGTTTCGTGTTTCAGGGTTTTTGGCCGCATTTATAGCTGCATTACGTATAACAGGATTCTTGGCTGCTGCCATAGCAGCCTTTTGAACCTCAGGTCGTTTAGCTGCTTCAAAAAAAGCTTTCGCTGCCGAAACTGAGAAAGCATCTGGAATGAAATCAAAGATAAATGTGTCAAGAGAAAGGAGCTGTTGATGATCTATTATCTTTTTGATCGAAAAAGGCAACAGATAAGATGAGGAGTATGTTGAAAAGTGTATGTGCGCACCTGATTTAGACATGTTGCTAGCTTAATATAGAATGAAATTAAACGATTATAGCTTTAGAGACGTTCGCCACAGATAAAATGATATTAAAAAAAAAGGTTTAAAATGTACTCCGACACGGATGAGTCAGGAAATATTTCTGTTCTGTGGCAAAAACGCAATATCGATCGGTTTTCAGAAGGACCTCCCCTTTATGTTTTGTCCCATAGTTTGAAATCGAGAAATCTTCATTTGATCCTACTGATCTGCAGTAGCCGGTTGCGTTCTTTATTAAATAAAATTGTATTCGCTCATCAAAATGTGCTTGATTATGCTTGTTCTGTTTATTCAATTGATTTTTATTGAAAAAAGGATTTCAACACGAAAGTCACAGCCAAAAAGGGAATAAGAACTCGATTTCCGACAATGTACAGGTTGTGTTTATGTTTTTGGTGTTTACATGAGACGGTTTGGACGATAAGAACGAAAACTCACTTTGATCGTGCATAACTGATTTAGATGTTAAAGCTGATGATCGATTGGGCAACGGTGGCGGAGCTGAAGCTGACATGATGAGCCAATACTAATGATGAATAATCAAACTGTAAAATGATGAATGCTGATAAGAAAAATCAAAAATGATATAGAAAAGAGAGCGACATGGAGTAACAATGCTGAGAAATAGCTGAAGCAAATTACTTTATTGGTTTTACACTGAGTTTTCTTGCCCAATATCAGCAATTGTGAGGAGTCAAACAGTCTCTTTCTGTACAAATAGAAGTATGATGGCACAGAAAGAGAGAGGGAGTACGAGGAGAATCGTTTGAAATCCTTTTGTATACTTTACGTTCTGACTGGATAGATGGGTATGTGCTGTGCTTTGTTAGTAAAACATCTTCCTTTTTGTAGTCTTGTCTATGATTTGTCGTTCATTCTTTGAGCTCTTTCATCCGACTTGCTTACTAGTCATTCATTATTAATATTTGACCCTCAAATGATAGGACAGTTCATGTGAATCATATTTGTTTTAGCGCTATTTATTCCAACGACCGTTTACACATTACGACGCCAGACGTTTACAATCGATCTCCATCAGATGACACCAAGCACAAGAACCTGTTCGTTATTTAGAATTGTCTTCTTATTTTTGAAAATAGAGTGTATTGATTAGTATAGATTTTGCAATATTTCAATATTTCATAATATCTTCGAATGTTTATTACTTGCTTTACATGTGAAATGGCCTGCTCTATTCGATAATTCGTAATTTTCATTTCATTCTCGTTTTCTCTCTTGTGACGCTGTTGCCCGAAGCCTTTCTATTTCATTCTTCTTTTTCAGTTTTGTAAAATATTATGACGGCTGTTGAGACACTTGATGAAGATGAGCTATTGAAAGGTTCTGCTTTCTCATTAGTAAGTGCTTTCAATAATATTATTTCTTAATTTATGCTTTTACAGGATAATGTAGATGAGGACGCTCTGTTAGGACCAATTAGTAGGACTACTACAACAGAGTTTGATTTAGATATTGCTGAGAGAGAACTGCTAGGGGAAGTAAGTTAACTTGAGTTGGCCTCGTTGTCTTTATTTACATATTCTATGATAATGTTTTACTATATTAGGAAGCGTTTTTTAATCGTTTTGTTAAACTCACCACCCACCCTTACCCGATCCCAGATTTCACTCTGAACAGTTTCATTCCAACTTGTCCGTTTTTAACTTCTCTTATCTCACTCCTGTCCTGATGATATATTCGCTACGAATGCCCATGTTTCATACCTCACATTCTGCTTTCATTCTCGATCTCTATATTATTTTCTGTTTGTGAGTGGATTTAATTGGCCATGGAAATTATGACGTTCACGTTTACCATGTTTGAAGAACTGAGCCAAATGTTAAGCTTTGGTTTTTTATAATTAATATGTCACAGCTTTTGATCGATGGCTTTATTCCCTCGATGTTGTAGGGTTTCTTTCATATATTTTGTAATTGTTGAATGTTACTGCTATCTCTCTCTCTCTATCACTCTTTCTCTCTCTGAAATGCTGGTTTCCCAATCCACTTTCTGTAGTCGTTGATAAGCCGTAGCTGGTCTCTGGAATGTCAGGGCACTGTTCAATTTTGAAATGTTTATTGCTTAATCACTTGCTCTCAATCTCTCAATCTCTCTCTATTCCAATCTCCCACCCTCATCCCCTATCCCGTTTCTACCAGTATCCTTACTATTGATACATCTCGCTAATGAGTTGAATGTCGGGAACATCCCGGTGATCGCCACCAATGTCATGCGTTTTTTTATAATTTTTGAGGCTTTCATCAACAGATATTGTACTAAGTTGATGGTGCCAATAAACAAATAAAACTATGAGATAAGTATGGGGTTGCGTACACTCATGTATTCGAGGCAATATACATACCCTTTTTGGATTTATTTTGTTGAAAACGAATTTTCGAAATTTTGAAGTAGTCGAAATGCCTCTTCTCGGTGCGAAGATCAGATCGTGTTCGTTGGTTCTCGAACCTTCGGACTATTTTAGTTTTAATAAATGGGAATTAAGTTTTGATTTTTGTCTACAGAAACCCGGCGTAAAAGAAGAAGCTGCGAGTTGCCCCGATGGTAGTTTCGAAAGAGAAGAGTTGGATTATGATGAAGATGAAGACGAAGATAAAGAAGAGCGAGTAGGGAGGTTTACCTCAGAGAGAAATAAGGTACAGCTTGTTCTAAGTTCTATTCTTTACTATTTTGCCTTCTTCAAGCAGGCTACTCCATCTACGATACCCAATAAAGATAATTCCGCTATTCCTATACAAAAAAAGGGGGGCGAACTCAAAAAAACATGGAATAATAATAATCGTGGAGGATTCAATAATCGAGGACGTATGAACCAGTGGAACCCTCGTGGAGGCAATGTATGCTTCATCACTATCCATATCTTCATAAACTTTTTTCTGCAGATGGCGGCAGGCAGAGGCCGTGGTGGTTTTGTAAAAAATTTCGGAGGTCCCCCTTCGTTGCTTTCCATGCACATGGAACCCCCTGTTATGCTCAATGGTCAAAATGGTGGCAAAATATTAGTGAATCCTAATTTTGTTCCAGGACCTCCACAACCTTTAGGTACCATTCACAATCTCTTTCATGTATCTAACTTTGTTTAGTTCGACTTAATATACCTGGTGCTCCACCAATTTCTATGGGACCTCCTTTGGTCCCTAACATGTCCGTTGGAAATCAAGCAGTTGGACCGATCGTTCCTAGATTACCTAACGGGATTCCACTTGTTCCACGTACGCTTTCCTATTTGTGAACAGTCCTTTACCATATTTTCAGTCCCCAATCATAATCTACCTCCTAATCATGGAATGGCTGGTTTCGGTAATAATAATTCCCATCGACACCATCATTCCCATAATCCCGCATCTATGTTCAACAATGGAGGCTGGGATCAACAAGTTGAAGAGTTCATAAATGGGGGTTTCCGTACTTCCAAGAGAAGAAGCGAATCCTACAGTAGTCGAAGTGGTTCAAGCAGTTATAGTGGAAGGTTTGTTTCCCCATTTAATCACCTTTTTACGAAATCACTTTTCAGTTCTCGTTCTCGATCTCGTTCCCGCAGTCGATCTCCCAGAAGACATCAAAGATCTTCTTTCAGAAAACATCGTTATGATAAGGAAAGCAAGCGAGGTGAAAGAAACTCCAGAGGTAGAAGAGGAGGTAGAGGAGTTCCTGGAAATCGTAGATATGATAGATCTGACAAACCAAGAAGGAATGATAAAGGAGAAGTGAGTTCAATACAGCTGCATTCGTTTCAAGGGAGCTTTCTATTTAGGTTGCAGCAGAGTGCGCCAAAGTCGTTGGTGTGGATAAAGACTACCTGTCAAGGGTTGAAGAACAGAAAAGGCTACGTGAAGAAATGATGCGAATGAAAGAACAGCGTCGCCATGGACATGAAGAGAGGAGAGCTGAACAGCCTAGAGTAAGTACTTGGAAAATTAAACGAGTGAATGAAATGTTTTTGAGCAGATGAAAAGCGAACCGGGATCCAGTACTGCTTCAACTACATCAAAAAAGAAAGCTTTTCTTTGTGTGAATGTAAAGAATTTGAAACAGCTGCCAACAGCTCTGAATAGAGTTGAAACTCTGGCAAAGGAAGTGGGAACCGTTAAGGTAAGAGTTCGAAGAACATGCTTGTTTGCAACAAAGGTTATATTCCAGAAAGTGTGGCAGTTCAATGATGATCAAGTAAATATAATATTCACGGAGCTGGAGAAGGCCAAAGGCTTCATGTTGAAATACAACAAGTACAGTGCTTTATAGAGCTTTGTGTAAATCTCATGTTTGAATCTGTTTCAGCAAAGTACTCTCCGGCTTACGTATACAAGTATCCTTAGAAAAAGCTTATTTATCATTAGCAGAAGTCCAAGGATAGAAGATGGTTGTATTAAATGCAATTTCCCATGATACTCATTTTAATTTTACACTTTTAATTTAATTCATGTTTATATAACGTTTGATTAGTGATCGGGTTATAAAAATTATATAACTAAACATGTGTATATGGATGTGTTAATATATCGATTATGAAGTAGAGCAACTTCTCCTTATTTGTATACTTTTTTTTGGAACCTCAAGTAAAACAAGTGTTGTGAGCGAATTAGCTGATAAGATGGAACTCTTGACTTCGAACGAGACACAAGTCACAGTTCGCAAAGAGAGAAGCTCATCTGAACGGTTGAAGAAACTGATTGGACGAGTGTGTTCACAGTTTTTGCAAGATGAGCCGTTTTAGAAAAACCGTTTTTCACGAGTCCACTATCCAATGAAGCTCTCGCAGAAGGGCAAGCTGTTTTGCTATCAATGGGTTTTAAGCTTTAACATAACATATTGTCGTAAATGTCTAGTCGTTCTCCCTTTCGAGCTGACCCAAAGTAAAGAAGAAATAAGAAACGAGAGAATGAGCTTTATGTCCTTTCGTCATCATCAACGTACCGCATTCTTTTTCCATAACTCTCTCTTGATGCGCTTCAATGATAAGCTGCTGTCTCGCTTCGTGACGAACTGATGTTTGCGTTAGCTCTACTACTTCAGACACTGACACGCTGCTCTCTCGCACTGCTAGCTAGTGTCCACTATCATCTTTATTCATTTTCTATTAGTTAGATAAAACTATAATTATTTGAGACAGAGTAAGTCGAGATTGGAGAAGATGATGATGATGATGATGATGAAGGCGAACGATGAAGACAACAATTTGAAAAAAAGATGAACGTCAAATCTTTTCAGTACATAGTATATATACGGAAGTTATTTTACTATATGTGCGAATGCAACCGATTACTCTGCCATTTATATGCTCAAATGATTTGTTTTGAACTTTTCAAATATGCTGATGAAGATTAGAACAGCTAACGTCATATGCTAATGAGGCTTCGGGACGCGATGAGAATGAATGATAGTTTCAGCTGGACAACAAGATTGTACATGATGACTGTCATATACAATTCTGGCTTGTACTGTACGAGTGCTTTCCCATTTATGATATTTTTAGAGTTTCGTTCATGATGTCATTCGCTTCAAAGACATTTTAAGATTGTCTGTTGTGTCTATGTGTGTGTGTTTGGAATTCATCAACGGTCACACACAAAAAAGAACTGGTCTGTGTGAGCCACACTCATTCAACCACATGCTTTCGGTGCATATTTGGTGCGAAAAAAAAACAAAGAAAATGGAAGGCTTCATCTTCAGACACTTTTTCTGATGTTCTTTGTTGTTGAGTAAACGCGAGCCAAATTAGCTCCTGATACGATGAAACCCGAGAATCAGCTCTTGGCAACGTGTCGTAACTACCGTTCTCATTCATGGGCTTGCCGGCGATGTTAGTAGACGTAGTAGATGTTGCATTCCGATGGCCCACGTCTTGTGTCCCTAACTTTATGAAAATGGTAATTGGTAAGTGGAGTAAGCTCATCAGTTGAGAAAGGAACATCATTTCATTATATTTGAGATGTTCTTGTCGGCAGAAATATCTTTAAAGAGGATAAACTTGAAAATGAAAATTGTGAGGTAACTGCATCGTCACATTGTGAAATCTCAATTTTTTGTTTCTTCTTTTGATATTTTTTTTTACCCTTCAGCCTCGTTTGCTAACAAAAAAAGAAAGTAAAGAGATAGAAAGAGATTGAGAGAGAAAGAAAGACAGCCAGAGTGAGAAATTCTCTCTCTCGTAGTGTTATTATAACAAGGAAACCTTGTACTACTCTAAGGTTTGTCGGGACACAATCAATGTAAACAAAGCAAAGAATACACTGATTACCTCATTGGGAGGAAAAAACTACCACCCAAACCATCGCGTTTTTTTCTGCTTTTTTTGGTTAAGAAGAAGCCGAGAAGCTTTTCTGCTTACAGATTATCTCAGATGTTGTTTTTATATTTTTTAAAAAAACAACAGCACAAACATGCTGGTACTGCTGCTGCTGCTGCTAATGATGAGGATGATGATGATGTCTTGTCTCCAAACAGCTTTGACCGGAACATCAGGTTACAGTCTCTTGATCCAGGAACGAAAAACTTGAAAGTCTTTTCGCACTTTTCAACTGATCGTGCCACCCATCAACGTTCACAAAGTTCTTGAGCAATTACACAGGCACAGCAAGGTTGTAAACTTAAAGTTGGAAAGAAAAAAAACCTCTGAAAACAAATACGATAATCAAACGAATCACAAGAATCAGCCATTAAGGAACGTTCGTCTGTCTGATCAACTATACTACTTGCACTCTGTTTGAAGATGTTTGTCAAAGACAACTGAATTTGGTTTTTTGGAAGGCAATGTCTGAATGAAGATTTATGCAAATTAGTCCAGTTCAAGAGCTAACGTTATCTTCTTTTAAGCACAAAGAATGTTTCAAGAAATTTTCGAAGTTCAAACAAGCTTGTCAAGGGTCTAGCTATAGTTCAAGTTTTAATGAATTCTTTGCTCTTAAATGCTTGGCTATCATTGACTAAAACATGAAAACACACAATACCTTAGTCAAGTTGGAATCTGTCTCTCTAAGCTTCTGAGAAGAATTTCCCTCTCTCTCTCTCCCTCTCTCTCAAACAATCTGTTCTTCGTCTTCCTCTTTGTCTTCTACGAATATCTTGTTGCGTACCTTTTGATCCCAATAACCTTGCATGCAAAGCGGAAGTTGATAGATTCTCTTGTTTTGCAGCTGTCCCTCTCTATCTTCATCTTTCTCTCTCTCTCTCTCTCTCTCTCTTTGTCTCCTTTCCTCTCAATATTCTCATCTCAATATTTCCCTCGTAAACATATGTTTGTTCGAGAATATCCCCCCTTTTGACTCAATTTTTAACATAAAATTAGAAATTTGCTTATCAATCTTCCTTTGCATCCTCATTCGGTTCTGTGCAAACTCTTGAGATGATTAAGAGGAAACATTAGGCAATGCTTTCGGCATTTCAACCGTATTTGTTCTCTTCGAGACCCAAATTTCGAGAGAACGAAATGACAAAATCAAGAAGTAAACGACTAAAGAAGAAGGATGTTAAGAAACTACGATGAAGAGCTTGCTATATGAGTACAAAGCTAAAACATGCCGTGAGCCATGTTAACAGACGATATTAACATATTGCAAACAGAATCAGAAGTACACAGCACATCTTTGACTATCAATGAAACCCAGACAGCAGTCTACTACTCTCAACATGGTTATACACATTAGTTCCAAACATAGAAACAGTGTCACTCTAACCTAGACCATGGATACCAATGTGTCAGTTACAACTTTGAGCTTTCAAAGCTCTTCTCCAGCTTCTACTTCTACATCACTTGTTCTATAAGCATCACAATCACAACTCTTCATTGCGTGAAGTTTATTCGAAGCCTTTTCTGGCAATTACCGTATACCGTAAAAGATATTTGAAGAAGGGATTGTAAACAGAATACAGTTTTTAATGTAAAAACGAGGTGATCGGAATCAAACGTGATGCAAAATCTTTTTTTGTCTTTTTTTAAAGCCGTAGTGCTGTCATTGACCCTCTAGAATTCTTTTGTTCGTAACATTTGACGTTGTAGAGTGATGATTAGAATATGACATTTGAAGCTTCATCCTTCATATCATCGTCCATGTATGACGATGGCTCGAGACGAGCTTCAAAATTTGGATTTTGATCGGAAAGTACAAGTGATTTGAAGCTCAAAAACTGTTTTTCGATGATATAATTTGTGTTTTTTTGTCTTTCCGATGATTTCATCTTGGAATGGTCACGTTTTTTTGAGCTAAAAAAAGCTTTCCTTCTTCTGTTTTTGCGGTTGATGAGAAGTGAGCGTGATGAAAACGCTTTCCAAAAATAGAAAAATGTTGAGACGGTTAAGCTCTTGACTGCTTAGAGCAGGTGAATTGCAATTTCGACATAAAAGTTCCCGTGGAATTCCATTGGTCATTTTCAGTCCTCTCACTTTTTTTCTACATCACTTCGTCTCTCTCACTCTCTCTCTCTCCTTAAGTTCATCTCACAAGAGGAGGTAACGAGAAATTAGAGTGTGAGTGGGAGAGCAGGAGAACAAGAGAAAGCCAAAGAGAGAAGAAGAGAGAGGGAGAGAAAGAAGAAAGTTCAACTATTCTCCCAATTAATACTGAAGACGTCCAACTTTCTCAAAATCAGATGATGAAAGAGAATCGAACGAAGAGTTCAAATGAAATGTGTTGGTCACTCGTGTGACTCTGTGTTTGTGCAGTTTTTCGGCGTTTGCCCCGCTTCAGGGCTTAGGAACGATGATGAAGGACGATGATGAGTTTGAAGAAAAGAGAGACATTTGTCGAAGAAATACAGAAGTAGCCGGTGAAGATGATCGAAAAAGGCTTGAGGTACTGAAGCATTTCAACATCCAAAATAATTTTCTTAACAGAGATGAAGAACAATGGGAGAGTTAAGTAGTCAAGAGAGGGGACTAGAGAGATAAGCTGGTTACCGAAGAATTGTGAAACATGAAGAGGACGAATACGGTCTGTGGTAAAGTTCTGTTTTGAAGCTTCTAAGTGAGAGACTCTGTTTTTCTATGCTTGACCCTTCAGACGCAGACAGCCACCTCAAAACTTCTTTTTTTGAACATCCATAGAAGTAATCTGAGGGAGAGAGAGAGAGATAACAAGAAAATTTCTGACGACGACAGAAATGGGCGTGGTTTATCGAAACTTAACGTTGAGCCCTCAGGGGGAGAGGGGTGGGAGGTCAAGCCGGCTGACAAACTTTTCTTTTTCTCTCACTTTCTCTAACAATCTCTCCATAATACACAGTGTTGTACAGGACTATCTGAGCTCGTAATGTCAATTTCTAATACTTGACTGGACACTCACATTTTGACAGTCTCTTTGGTGTGCGTGCTACCCTTTCATCTCAACTAACTGGTCAATCTCTCAGCTTCTTCTTTTGCGGTACTCTGTCTGTCTTCTCCTTCTTTTGTAATCCCTCCATACCTCTCCTCCCTCTCTCTGCCTCCGCCCATCATCGTCCGACGACAACCAAGACGAAGACGACGATCACACACATAAGCGCCGACCCGCGTCCGGTCTCGCCCCTTTAGTCCCATAACCGTTTTATTCACATCGCTACCATGACGCGACGATCAGCCATTAGTGTATTTCTTCTTTCACTCATAGGTATATATTTTTATTTTACATCAATTATCTATTGCTAATTATCTAATTAGGATAAGATAATTAGGTGCTAGCCCTGAGGCTATCAACTGCATACCCTCAGGCTGTTTTACATTATGATGGCTCATACTTTCATTTATACATATCACCTTTTGTCTTTGAAACACTTTTCACATACATATAGTCTCCCAATTGTTTCGATCCAAGTTTGAGCCATTCAGATATCAAAGCATCCATCACATCACTTTCATTCATGTCATAGTATGTTCTAAGCTTATCCTTTTACAGCAGCCGTCTCTTGTCAGACGCCCGTTATCGGAGGATCCTGTAAATTAGGAACTTCTGATGTCCAAATCGGTGGAAAACAAACACAATTCTTCTTAAAATGTGAAGCTGCTTCTGAGTAAGAATCACATCTTTCGTATCTTTTCATTCATGTATACTTCAGTAGTGCTGATGGCGAAGGAGTCTGGGTTGTAAAGTCCAGAGCTGCTTCTCCTCCAGCTCAACAATCTGTACCTGTTGAGAACTCTCAACCTCAGGCTCGTCCACCAATGAGAAAGATGAGCAATCCAAATATCTGTGGTAAGTCATTGTATCATTTTGAAAACATTATTAACGTGTAGCTTATCGTTTCATTTCTGTTTATCCAATTCTGATGTACATTGGAGTCATTCTGAGACTCCCATCCATCCATCCCCTCAGCCTTCTCTCTCTATCTCTCTCTCTCACTCCATCTTCAACTCTTCTTTGTGACATTTGTTTTTGAAATCTTTTTGATCCAGAAAACTTTTTTTTTTGGTGCAAACATCAACCGTACTTTTATATTTTCTCTCGTTCATTGACTATTTTTGGTTGACTTTTCATCTTGCTCGAACTGTGCTCAGCCAAATCAAAGAGGCTTTGAGTTCTAATTGGGGTTTGGAAATGAGAGAGAAAAGGTTTGAGAGAGAGAGACTTCGAGAGACCCATATAAGGTGATCTCTTTTTACCTCTCCCTCCCTATATCTCACTTCATTACCCTCTCTTTCTCTCTTTATCTATCTTTCTCTCTCTCTCACTCTTGTTATTGTCCACACCGCTAATATTCGTGAGTCAAATAGGTATTACGTTGAGCAAATACAAGTTGAGAGAAAAGCTAAAGAAGAAGAAGAAGATGAAGATGAAGATGATGAGGTTGATGATGACCGCCGGCGCCGTCGGTGAACGGTAGAGATAAAGTTGAAAAAAGGGATTAATTACGAAGCTTTTCGTTCATTTGCTCATAATATGAAACTTCCTTATTAGATGATTGGATTATGAGATTAGAAATGGAATGAAAAGCTTCTGCATTATACAATTTCCCTCGTAGTTAGGCACATCATCATAGCTGCTAGTAGTAGTAGTAGTATTCATACATCCTCATATCCATTGAAACTTCAGTTTCGTGTTCCTTTACTCTCTCTTCATACATCTCTCTCTCTCTCTCTCTCTTTCTCGCTTTCTGTATCTCTCTCTCCTTCGTTATACCTTTTTCCTTTTCATCAACCACTCAATACAGTTAGTCTTATCGAAAACAAATAAAATCCTTAGATGGTCAGAAATGTGCCTCTCCCTTCTTCCTTTCCCTCCACACCCAATGTCCAGCCCGTCAGGTAGCTGCTGCTTGTCTTTCTTTCAATCGAAAACTTGCAACTCGTCTTGGGCTGTATACATAGGAAAGTAGAATAATGAAATAGAGTGAAATGTACATATTCGTCTCGGATTGTTCTATCAGGATTTTTGATGAAAAAGAGAGAAAAAAAAGAAGAGAGAGAGAGAGAGATGAAGACTGTGGGAATGAAGAGAATCAGATGAAACCCCCTATATGGCTACTTGTGTACTGTTCAATCGTTACAAACTGTGAGGGAAACTGTTCTCTCTAAACCTCTTCCCTGGTTGTCATCTCTCTCTCTTTCTCTTTTTGTCTGCATATGGAGAAGCTGGCAAAAAGCTCAAAGGAACTAGTGTTGTTCTTCTGATCAACATCATGTTTGATTTTCGATTTCGTTGAGCTTTACTCGCACGAAAGAGCTTTCACAAGTTCACCAACACCATATTGGGAATGCAAGAAGTTGAAGAAGTCGAAGTGTTTCAAACAATCTCGAAACAAACCATTACAAACTACATCTGAGAAGTTTCTCTCTCTCTCTCTCTCTCTCTCTTGAGTACTGTAATTTGAATTCAATAGAGAGTGGGTAGGCAGATAGATAGAAGGGCGGAAAGAGAGAGAGAGAGAGAGATAACCTCTGATGCTCGTTTTTATGAAAATTCTTATTCTTAAAGATAAAAGGAAGTAATTTTATAAGACTTTCTTCTCTTTTTTTTCTCATGTTTAAAGACTTTTGTTTGCCAAGTGCAAGGACAAAATCAAATTTTTCACGATTTCCGGGTAAGCTTTTGCCGGGCTTTTCATAAGCTTTTCATGATGAGGTGAATGAGACAGTCAAGAGAGAGATAGAGAGAGAAGGATATGATAGAGAGAGAGAGACTGAGAGAGAGATTCCTCAAGAATTTCAAAATCATTCTTTTTTTGTCAATTTTCTCTCTTGATAGTTAAATATTATGTATATTTATTGTATGTTGCTACCATAGCTGGCGAGGAGGTGCGTGACTAAACGTTTTGAGGGAAGCAAATATCGGTTAGATTGACCTGGTCTTCTCTCTCTCTCTCTCTCTACTGCAATCTTCATATGTCTCTCTCTCTCTCCCTCTCTCTGCTGCTTAACCTCTCTTTTCACATTTTCTCGTTTTTCCATTCTCAAATATGAAACTTCTCTCTTTCAAAATAAACCTGAAGAAGAGAAGAAATTCTCTTATTTGAGACTTTGTGGACTTTCAATTTGAACTTCTTTTTTGTTCTCATCAAAAAGTTAAAAAAGGAAATTGTTGAAAACAAGATTTTGTCACACATCATTCAACTCTCTCTCTCTCTCTCTCCCTCTCTCCCTCTATCTCTCTCTCTTTCCCTCCGTTTGCAAATGAATACGAAGAATGAGTTTCTTTTTTCGAAAAAAAAAGGTTCTTCAATGAAGTTTTCATAGCAAATGGCCTTAGGCTATAAAAACAGATGAGGATTCACATCTGAAACACCATTCCAATTGTAAATTAGTTATGAAATGAACGATGAAGCCCAAAAAACAGAAGAGAAAATGAATCTCTTAATGGATAACATTCACAATACTCCATTTGCAGAACAAGATAATGGTGCTCGTGAACAGGATAGTTGCGCTGTATCGGCCACTTGTCTTCAAGCTCATAACGAGAACCCAACCTTCTACTTACAATGCGATCAGACGTAAGCATCCTTACTGACACATTAACATATATATATATAATTATGAATTAAAGGAACATGCGTTGGGTTAAGAAATCCTGCCAAGATGGTTTCCTCTTCAACTTCGAACAACAAACTTGTGTTGTCCCCAAGAGAAGCAACCCAATCAACCGTACGTTTTCAGTAGAATTGAAATGAAAAAAAAAACATTTTCATCATCAACAAAAAGCAATTTTTAACCAAATGCTTAACAATTACAGTATCCATATATACTAACTATACTAACTATACAACTTCTCCTACTTCTTCTTTATCGCTTCTACCAACCTCAGTCAACTGCACTAACTGTCCTCTTGGCACATTTTGCTTAAATGGCCAATGCAGACAGCTCAAAACAAGCAGTGAGCTTCTAATATATAGCCTATGCTTCTACTTCTCTATCAAATTATTTCCTTTATTAGGCTATTAACCATCTTACCTGCATGTTGCTAACCCGTTTTCAGCTCTTTGTCCGGACGGATCTTCTCCACTTGGACAATGTCCATGTTCGACCAAGGAATTAACCTGCACAGCACAAGGAGTCTGCTGCCGATATTCTAAACACATCAACAGTACGCCATCAGCATTGGCTTGTCAACAACCCTGCTCCAATGCCAGCCCTTGTCCTGATGGACTTATATGCAATCCGAAAGATTCATGTTGTATCTTCAATCGAACTGCACACCCTCTTCGTGTACATGATGATCCGACTGCCATGTCGTTTGTATCTCCAGCTTCTATATTTCTTGGAGCTAACTCCATATTCGAGCCTATCAAGCAAGGAACAAGCTCAGCTTTCCGAGTTATAAGTCTTGAACCATCAGCTTATCAGTCGATAAACTCGATGAACTTCGATAGTAACATGGATGCAGCGGTGATCAGAGTTACATCATCGATGCTAGAAAAGCAACAGACGAATACAGTTACTACCGTCACTCCACCATCAACGTCAACAACAACTAAGCGATCCACAGGAGCATCAATGCCTCCATCAATCCGTCCAGATGACTCATATCTGAAAACAACCAGAGCAATTCATACAACAACCCCGAGAAGCCCGATTGCTGCATCAACTCTCATTCCAACCTTAGGTAATTTTTACTTTTTATCATAAAAAAGTTGAGAAGTGAGCTTCATCTGCGAGAGAGAGATAGAGAATTCAAGTTTGCTTATACTCTTTTCGTTAGCCAAACGAAGCCATTTGTGTATAAATAGCATTGAAATATAAGAGATTATCTTAGAAAAGCCTTAATGAGTGTTTGGTCATCGTAAAGAAAAGCGAACAATGAAAAACAAAATGAAGATGGACCTTTTCTTCATTCTTATATTACATTTTGCTCTCTTTCCAAGGTAAACATGATGAGCAGCAAAAAAAATTTACGCAAAGCTTCAAAAACCAACCAATCCGTGCTTAAACATTTTAAAAATGAATTCACGGCACGTGAGCTCGTGAAGTATGTGGAACCGTGTACATCCACGTGAATACGCAAAGTACGTAAATTGACGTCTGAATAATGAGAGAAGAGAAAGATTATTAGAATTTACAATATGGTATAAGAAGTTGTCTTTATTATATATTCCTCATTACAGAGAACTGTCGTGGTACAAATGCTAACTGCGAAGATGATTCTGATTGTCCGACTTCGTTCATCTGTGATAACGGCTGCTGTAGGCTGCATCACTGTCCTTATGGAGGACGATTAGTACGATTCTCTTGTACGACAAACTATCAGTGTGAAGCCGGAGAAACATGCCTATTCGGTGGATGCTGCGTCATGAAGAGAGATGAAGCTGTTCTCAGTATCTCATCATCTAATGACATTTCGGACCGCTCTTCCTATCCATCTGAAGTTGCTGCTGTGGAAGATGGTCAACCCATTATTGAAATGAAGTCTACTAGTGAGCATTGCCGAGTAAGTACCCATTTAAAGTTCACTAATATTAAGTTTTCCAATTATAGATTGATCATCGTTCTCCAACATGTAGCTTAGAACGAGCATGTCCTGAAAACAGTGATTGCGTCTTTGGTGTCTGTTGTATGAACTCTGTCATCCAATGCCAGTCTGGGAAATATGCTCTCACACTACCAGAAAGCTGTAAGACAAATGAGGATTGTCCAATAGGATCGGATTGTGAATATGGAAGCTGTTGTCCGAAAGACGAACAAACACAAGAAGTGCTGGAAGAGTCAACAGAAGAAACATCTGCATATGAATCTTTCATCGAAACCACAACTGCATCTACGACGATCAGTATCGCATCTACTTTGCCACCAACAAAGGTAAATAACTCAAAGATAAAGTGCATTCAAACATATATCTTTTCAGCGTCGTTGTTTGTTGGCAAAAACATGCTCAACCTTATCTTTGTGTCCGGCACAGTTTACTTGTATGAGTAACAAGAAGTGTTGTCGTCTGAACTTCAAATGCCCTTCTGGCAGTGTTCCCGAATCACAGTGTTCATCTGACGGATTGTGTCCTAGCTCTTCTCACTCATGTATCACTATCGATGACGAGAAAGTCTGCTGTCCTACAGGTATTTGATATATCTTATGAAGATGAATCTCAATGATGAATTATAGTTTTCCGAGACGAGGGGCACGTGACGATATCAAAGCCATCGAAAAGATATTGTCCGATAGGAAGTGTAGAATCACGTCCTAAATTCGGTTCATACTGTCGATACAGTTTGCAATGTCCATCCCCATATTATTGTAACCGAAGAGGGTTATGTTGTCTCCCAGAACTTCAATAGGTATGCTATCTAATGGTCAATCATTCAATTATCTTCGATTATTTCAGATTCCGACGAAGAGTATTCTTGCCTTGCATGCAACCATAGTCAATTTCAGATTTATTATTTATTATGAAAGCTTTACAAGAAACTTCACAAAAATAAACATTTTCCCCCTTATGCATGTATAATCTAACACAACTCTACCCTCCAAATGCTTTTTTGAATTTTGAAAAAACTGCTTCGAACATTCTCATTTGTAAATGAGAGGTTCGAAGACAATAGACGTTTTACACAAATGATACTAATTAGCATACTTCTTGTGTTTTAAGGTCTCCCAGTTAACCCATCCGGACTTTACTGTACCTTCTCTTCATGCTCAAGCTCTAATCCATGCTCAAGCGGAACATGTAATAATGGATATTGCTGTAGTTCTGGATCTTCATCTGCTATCATGTGTACGTTTTACTCATTTCATTCATTCTCATCATTCTCATCATCGTCATCATCATCATCATCCTTTTTGAAATTATTTTTATAACTTTCTTTTTATTAATATAAGCTTATAGCACGTACTAATACCAAGCTTAATGCACGGCAGAAAGCTAAAAAAGCACGAAAACCTGCTAAGAAACTAAAAAAGGTCGAGGAGAAGGCTCTTGAATCTTCGAATGATTGGCCTGTCGGACCTCCAGGATATGGATTTCCTGCACATCTAGCTGACTTGGATTCCGTTCTTGTGCCCGCCAGCGGTGACGGTAGTCAGTCAGCTTCAACTTTTATGTTAAAAATTAATTCACAACACTCACACATTCACTTTTGATCATATATTTTGAGCCAAGAATCTCAAGGTGCCAACCTTTTGAGAGAAAAAAAAACCTCACAAGCATGTTCACACACACACACACACTAATCTTCCACTTAGGTACCTGTGCTGGAGGGTTCAAAAGTAGTCTTGCTTGCTCTCCTGCCAGCGAATGCCCACCAGGATTATACTGTGATCGTCAGTTGAAATCCTGTTGCCCATTGCTTTTACCATTAACTGACTCAAAAAATCCTGTGCGAATGAGATCCCGCAAACCTAACAGCTTATCCGACCGAAGCGAAAGTGTTGTTGAAGTAGAGATTCCGTCAAAGATGAGTAGATCAGCCAACCCTGATAGTCTATCATCTTCTCCTTCTTCATCCAACAAGATCTTCCTGAAAAAGCCACATTTTAGTTCTTATCGCACTAATTGTTGTAACAGTAAGCACACGTTTATATGCATGTTCAAGCACAACTTCATATCTTTATCTCTCTCTTCCTTTCTCTCTTTCTCTCTCTCTCTTCCTCTCTCTCTTTTTCTCTCTGTTCTTTCCTCTCTTTGCACAGATATTTTCTAATTCTTCTGTTTCAGTGCAACCAGCCAACACCGGATGTGTCGGATGTAACCAAAACCCACCAATCATCACAATCCGTAAGATTTGCATTATCTTATAGTTTCTTAAACATCCTTGTTTAGCATCTAACAGCTGCCCAGGAGGTGGATATGCCGTCGGAACTTGCAACTCTGGATATTGTTCTCCAGGATACTCTTGCGTCTCTGGATCTTGCTGCCCATCTTACAACCCTCAACCATCTGTCCGTGTCTGTAAGTTTTCGTTTGGCTCTTGATAACTATTTGAAAAACTGATATGCGGTACTCATTTTTTTCTTATAGACACTTGCCCATCTGGATCTCCAGCTGTTGGAGCTTGTATCAGCGGTTCTTGCGCTTCTGGATATTCCTGTGTTTCTGGATCTTGCTGTCCAGCTACTACTACCCAAAATCCATTCGGTAAGTGTCGCTGACGAGGAAACTGAAAATTTTCATTCTCTTACAGTTTGCCCAGATGGAACCCAAGCTGCCGGAGGTTGTGTAAACGGACAATGTGGTACCGGATACACTTGCTCTAATGGACTCTGCTGCGCTGGAACATCCACCACTGTTCGTTGTTTGGATGGATCTGAAGCCGTCGGAGCCTGTATCCCATCTTGTCAAGGAAACGCTTGCGGAGGATCAACTGTCTCATATTATTGTGGATCCGGATATACCTGTACCACCGGAAACATCTGCTGTGCCATTAACAGTTGTCCAAATGGAGGTGACGTTCTTGGACCCAGTGTTAACGGACTTTGCCCAACTGGATATGTTGCTCAAGGATCAATCTGTTGCTCCGCTATGTGCGCTGACGGAACCGCTGGATCAGCTCAAGTTAATGGAGCTTGCCCAACTGGATTCACCGCCCAAAACGGTGTTTGCTGCGCTTCTGTTGGACTCGGAGATGTTAGCTGTACTGCTGATATTGCTGCTGCTCAAGGATGTGTCGCTGGAGCTTGTGCTGATGTTGGATACGCTTGCGACACAGCCACTTCAACCCAGTGCTGCCCGGTTGTTCAATACAACGTAAGCTTTTTCACTTCTTTCAAGTCTCACGACTTTCCTTATTTAGAACCCTGAATTCCAACTCGGACCTGGAGTCGGAGGTCTTTGCCCACTTGGATTTGCTATCGTTTATATCCCAGGAGTCAATGTTGATGATGATGGAGTCAACCAAGGAACATGCGTCAATCTTCAATCAAGTAAGAAATCAGACCACCTTAACTCATTTATAATCATTGCTTTCCAGTCCCCGGTATCTGTGATATTGATCAACAGAACGGTCCATGCCAGACCGGATCTTGCTCAGCTGGATTCACTTGCTTCACAGTTGCTGATGTCTGTTGCCCAACCACTACCTTGTTCCGTAAACTTCGTCCCGGACAACGAATTCGTCCAGTAAACCAGAAGCCAACTTACGGAAGACCACTTCACAGCTACATGCCACGTACGTTTCTTTAATACTATTTGTTGGTTAAATCTTATAGAAGAAAACTGAGTATAAGCCTATATTTGGGCATCATCCGCACATTTCCTCATCAGATCGTTGTTGCATGTCCTTTTCTAGAAAAATCTCTTTGCATGTCAACAAATGACACAATTTGTTTTTTTCTTAAAAATAGAAGGAAAAGGAACAAAAATATAGAATCCATCTTCGTCTTCTCTATTTTTGCACGAATTCAGCACGTAAAGATTTGACTTGTCCCGATGGATCTGCTGCCGGAGGAGCTTGCATGAATGGCCTCTGTGGTATTGGACATGATTGTATCAATGGACTTTGCTGTCCACCCCAATCCTCTAATTCTCAAATTGAATTGAAAAGTTCGTTTTTAGTAATTCCACATCCATCTTTACCTAAGCATGGAAGCTTTTCTCTCTGATCATTCACATTTTTCTCTTCTCTTGTTGTTTTCATTCTGAAACACCTGATGATCATGTCAGAGAGAGAAGAGCTTCCAAGCAGAGATAGGATGTTGGAACCCTAGTATGTGTGAATCAGCCATGAATACATTGGTCAATTGATTCAGGCGTCTGTCCTAACGGTAAGACTGCCGTATCCGGCTGCTTCACCGATGGCACTTGCGGTTTCGGATTTGAATGTGTAAAATCACAAAGCTTGTGCTGTCCACCCGGTGGAAATGATGTTAACAGCAACAATAATAACTTTGGAAATTCCGGTGTTTCCATGAGTAAGTAGCAATGGATTTATGAGCTCATATCAAGCTTTGATTTCTCCAATGTCACGAACATTGAAACTCATTGTCTTTATATGGCTTAAATCGATATCCGAGCTTCATCTCTCGACCTCGTACCTTCAGCCATTCGTCCAATTGGTGCCCGTTGTCATCAGGATTCTGAATGCGTGGGACATGTGGACGGTCTGTCCATGTGCCATGCTGGAGTTTGCCAATGCTCTCCAATCGCCTATTCACAGGGAATTGCATGTGTTCGCCGAAAAGCTCTGAGTAAGGATGTTATCAACATGAGCTTCACCCCCATCAGACCTAAAACCAAATAGTCATCCCTGTGTGTGTACTCCATCCCTTAGCTGTTCTACAACCTTTACCAAACCCTGCAGCAGTATATAGCATTCACCTTAACATAGAAATGAATGATACCCTCGTTTTCCCTCTCCCAATCTCTCTCTCTTTATCTCTCTTGCTCTCTCTCTCTGTCTTTCAGTGCTTTTCAGTTTTCTCTCCGATTTGACATTTTTCTCCATGCAAAGTCAAAAAAAGATGAAATTGAGAAAGCAAAGATACTCTTTCATCCTTTTTTAAAGCAAAATTTTCTAAAAAACGTTTACCAATCATCAGCTTCAATCAAGAAGACTAGCAGTTTCATCCAAATAATCCATTTGTTTTCAGACATGATGATGAACGATCAACCAATGGAAGTTGAGAAGACCAACGGAGTTGCTGCCAGCAACTAAAAACTTTTTTTTTTCAATCAAAGTCTATAAGATTTAAAAAAAAAATTTCGCTCAAGCCGTCCTTCCCCTTCTCTCGACAATCTATTACTTTTCCTTCTTCTTCTCTTTTTTGATTTTTGTAATCTCATTCCCAAATGTTTTAGAACTCTCTCTTTCCATAGTCTTTCGCAGAATTCATCCCTGAAATATCTTTAGCGAAATCGAAATCGCCAGATTATCCCTTTACAATATCAATCTATATCAATCTGGTAGGGCCATTTTTGACTTTTCTCCTCGATTTGTTGAATTCTGTATTATTCGGCTACTTCTTTCTCTTCGTTCCATGCGGCAGCTTGATGTGATCTCTTTTTTTTTATTCAAATCACCAGATTATCGTTCTTGACACACAATTCCATTTGCAATTGTTACTTTCTCGAATGAGAATAGTAGTTGCAGACGGTGTGGTTGGGTGTCGAAAACAATATTCGCGTCCATTTCGATTACCATCTCATACCTTATAAAATTAAATTTCATAAGATATGAGTGGTTGAATCTATGTAATGGAATGTTAGTTAAGAAGTTTTTCTAGTCATTAGACCCCCATCATCTGTTTCTCTCTTTCTATGAAAACTTCAAAAAAAAAGACAAAAAAAGCTCACTTTAAGCCATCTTCTGTGAGTTTCTTCATATGACTTGCTCAACTGACCTTTGTTTTCTTCTATTGTTATCACTTTGATATTTATTTCGACCACGTGCTCTCTCTCGCTTGCTTAGTCAGCACAGATGTAAGCTCAATTTTGAGTTAATATATTATTGAATAACAACAAAATCATTTTTATTCAACGGAATACAAATTATTTCGTTTCGAGAAGTTATTTTCAATGAAAAAAAATGAAACGAATTTTGCTGTTTTTCCTCCCTCAACATACACCCATCACTCTTACTTCCCATCCCCATCCCCACTCCCTTTCAAATATTTTAATAACTTTGAGTTCGTCATCTGAGAAACTTCGTTTTCTTCAAGTGTTTCATCTATCATCTTTCTTATATCGAATGATTCATGTGTATGAATGTTTGATGTCTCTTTATTTCCTTTTTTTGCACAGAAGAGCTGCCGCGTGCTCCTTACGTTCCTTCTCCCCTGTCAGATTCATCATGTGATTCCGTACCGGAACAAGAATAACATATTATATTCTATTATGTTAATTATAATTATTTAATAAAATTATCTGAAACATCCATCTAGTTTATGTACGAGACAATGAATACATGACAAATTGAACATTGAAACACAACCGCACTCTGCGTCCACAATTACACGAATGAACGTGATGAGCGAATGTGCGCATGTGCAACGAGCACGCAGGTGCATTGTAATTAGCATACAGCGATGCGTGAAGCAATGTCAGCTATAAGAACTATTAATAATTAAGTTGTTTGATTAAGAAGTGAGTTTTAAATTCTGAAATGAATAATGCTCAAATCGAAGATTGAAAAATAGTAAAGTAAATGCGCTCTATCTCACTCTCTCTCTTCCTCTATCCCTCTCTCTCTCTATTTCTCTAAACAACGATAAGAAAATAAATTGAGTGAAATAGAAATAAACAAGAAAATTATTTTTCCTTTTTTTTCCAACCCAAATGGTATAAAAGTATAAAATCTGTATTCAATAAAATATAATCAGAGAAAGTAATAAACAATTATATTTGAATAGCCTTTTATTAATTTTTATGATTTCTGTTTTGTCCGGCAGACACATATCAGCCACTGTAACTGATGAAATTTGAAAATGAGCTTGCTGTATATAAGAAGCTGCGAGTAAGCTAGTCTATGAGAGAGTCAGGGAGAGAGGGAGAGAGAGAAAGAGATTGAAAGCGAAGTTAGAAGGAACTTTCGTTTCAGTTAAACGACCATTCAATTGCTCTTTTTAACGAGGAAAAAATGAATATTTTTTTGCTCCTGACATCCTTTCAGAATTCATGTGGTTCAGTTCATTTTCTCAAATTGTTCTCAGCGAGAAAAGATCACAAATGACGCATTCTGCTACATTGAGCTTCATCTCTCAATAGCTTTCACTTCAACTGTCTTATCAATTCATGACAGAGAGAGAGAAAGACAATTGCACGAATAAATAAATAAACTTTTCAACAACAACTTCCGAATATGCAGAAGATGAGATGAAAATGCTTTTCTCTGTTCAAATTCCATATATGGCACATACTGTGTGTGTGCTTGTATGTATGTGCATATATATATGCTGAAAGTCATACTCATTGAGTTCCAATAGTTTTTAAGCTTTGACTTGAATGCTTCACGAATTCAAGCTTCATCATCAGACACAAGAAGAAGCAGATGTTTAATGATTATTCAATAAATAAAAGATTTTTAGTATTTCAATTGAATTTTGAGCATTTTGGGAGTACGGTAATCAATACGGAATTCCATTTCCGTAATGGAATTTCCTTTTGTATTTTTGTGTTTGAGAAAAGTTGTCTGGAAACATTTATTTTTGTCCAATTTAATTATTTGTGTAGTTAGTTAGAGAGAGAGTTGTTATTAACTATATGCATATAGTCAAACATTCAGTTATATAGTATAGCTTCGATCACATCAATATAAGGTAGGAGATCAGTAACAGTTGAACCCATTTATTTGATTTTTCACCAGCTAACACATACGGCATGTTTGAGCGATTGTCTAGTAACTATGAATTGAGGAAAGTTCAGAGACACTATTACAAGTTGAGAATAACATTTCTTGAGAATAATATAATTCAGTCATTTGTTAGGAATAAAAAGTTTTTCTTCAAACTTCCTCGTAACTTGCCGACTGACTTACATGACCGGGGGGAATGTGGTGTAGGAAAGTTAAGTAAATAAGGAATTGATATAATGGAGTTGGATGTTTGTTGCGCAGGATGAATGTGTCGCCATCACACCGTTATCATCGTCATCTGGATGTGTTGTCAAATGGATGGGGTGGTTGTTTGAAACCATGTGGAGAAGCTGATCGCTTTCCAAAACGTATATAGTCATAAGATGCTTTCTTCTTAGGTTCCGATCGTCCAAATCGAACAAAGTCGTAATCACGGCGTCCTTAAAGTACGGCATTATCAGAGAGAATCAACGGAACTAATTGTCAGATAAGTTTTTCAATTTCGCTTATGCATGTAACTCAGTCAAGCTGCGACTAAGAGAAGTCACATAAATCATGAATTTTATATTTTTGCTCGATTGAAATGAATGAGAGAAAATTAAAAGTCTGTCGTTTGCATAATTGCTGTGCGACTTTGAAATTTTGAATTTTTTGCAAATCAGAAAGGGTCTTGAACAAGCGAAATGATAATGGAGACTTCCGGCTCAATCAGTTGATTCTCACAAAGTAGCCCGGCGGGTTAACAAGCGATGCGAGTTAATCGTGAACATTAATGGAGAAAGTCGGACGAGAGCGTAGGTGTACGTAATTCAAGGAAATATACGAAAAACTCACTCTTGACCTGAACAGGCCGATGCTCCTCTTGAGCTTGAAGATTCCGGAAATAAGAACAATCAAACGAATTGCAAGGCATTGAATGACAATAGTTCAGCAGAAGAATAAAACCGATGGTGAGAGCTAATAGGGTCCGCATACCTGATGTCAGGAATTCTAATAGCAATAATTCTTTGAGGCAATTTGTTAGCTTTTCGATCTTACCAACTTTCAGGCGAGTAGACTCTCCGCCCCTTTTCTTACTTTCAAAGCCACGCCCTCTTCTTAGAAATTACATCACCCAATATGTTGAATTATTTTTAGTTCCAAACAAAAAGGCAAAAATATGGAATTAAGAAATCTTCTGTCACAACCGAAGAGGCCCCTCTTTAATCATCAAAAGGCATAAACGTTGTGTGTGTGTGTGTGTGTGTGTGTGTGTAGCTGTACTCCATATATACACACATGTATATATATTCTTCCACAATTAATTTGTTTTCGACAGAAAGTTCCAAGGACTACGAGTTGTTTAAGTAAGGGGGTACTGAATGATTGAAAGCTCTCAAAGCGAAAGTTTCGTTCAATCAGATCAGCCTTAAAAGGCTCTAGCGTAAAGCTTAGAAACTACAATTGAAGTTGTGCCTTTAATAATCCGACACAGCCACATTCAAAGAATGTTGATAAAATTCGTAATGGAACATAAATAATTTTTTATTTTCACCAATTCTCTTGCATTGAATAAAACATAAAAGCCACCTACATGAACCTGCTTATGATGTTAATCTGCTGAGTTTATTTAAGAAAGAAGCATAAAGTCAAGCGTCATGGAAACAGGTGCTAAGATCAGTTTAATCAGATTTATCATATGATTTATGACGATTCACAGAATTATTTCAAACTCAACGCTTTGGTAAACGTAATAAAGCATGATTACATTCGACTTATAAATACATAATATAGCATTTCAGTCGGAAAAAGCATATAAAGATATATAAGTACATGCTATTACTGCATTGTCTTCCTCTCCCCCCCCCCCGTCTCTCCTCCCAAACAATACGCAAGGTAGCGTCAGACAGTGATTTGCACACAGCTCTCGGAAGCTCCATGACATTTCGAAATAGCATGCACATGAGGAT